TGCTTTCACTGATAAAAATGGTACTGTTCTTTTAGGATCTAGAAGAGGATTTATTTGTAAACTCTAATTTAACAATACTAAATGTCAGAAAGCATAGTTTCATCCCTTTAGATAAAATTGGGAAGACTATAATATAGGTGTCAATAATCATAAAGTTACAAGATTTGTTGTTAATACTAATCATGAACTCAAAGTGGAAACATAAATTGAGGCTCACAAAAAAAGATTATAACATATTGATTTTATTTCATTAGAAGGTGATAATGTATTAAAGGAAGGTTAATCTAAAGTAATAACTACATCTAAAGATGGTTTTTTAAAGATCTTTGATTATCCATCTTTTGATTTAATGTGTGCATTGAATGTTAATCATGTACTCCCACTTAAATGGTCGATTAAAATAGATGAACATGAAATTATTAAATTTAAAGTGGCTTTTGCATTAAAAGTAATACATTTTATTAGGTCTTAACCTAATCTAACTATTAGTCATTTAAGAATGCTAGAACCTAATTCAATATTTAAAAATTTATTAAGTTAAAAGAAATTCTTTAAATAAAATACAAATGAAAACAAAGTTTAATTATTGTAAGACTTTTATGAACCTAGAGATTTGGTATTTTAAAAAGTTAAGGGATTCTATAAAAATGAATTATAAGGACTTTCTTTAAAATAAATTGAAGAAAAAAAGAAAGCATTACTTTAAGCAAAAATGTTTGAAAAAGATTATAATGAATAAAATTTTTAATCAGAATAGAAATAAAATGAAGATATAGGAAATAAAGAATTTAAAAGTTGGTAGTAATTTCTTCATCCAAATTTCAGAAAAAATGGAGTACAAGGAGAAATTGAATAAATTGAAAGATTACATATGGTTCATCAATTTGAAAAAAGATTAGATCAAGTCTTAACTAAAGAAGATGATACAAATATTAAGCCAAATGTTTCAGGAAGAAGATATTCAAAAACAAAACAAGAAATCTAAAATAAAAGTGCAAATAAATCTTCAAGATTAAGATCAACGCTTCCTTTCTTTCAATATGCTAGTGATAGAAAATTAGCATCCATTCCTGCTTCAACTGATACATCTCAAAGATCTACTCATGTTGGATATGATACTATGAGAGAAGAATACTCTAAAAAAAGAATTTAAAGAGTTTAATTTTTATCATAAAATATTGGCTAATTGATCTCTGATTTAGATTAGAATAAAAAGAAATAAGGATTAGAAATAGGAGAAAACACTATGAGAAAAACTAGTGGATAAGTATTTAATTAGATTGTTAATAAATTGAATGAGAAATTAAGAGATTCAAAGTTTAAGAAATACTCTAGAAGTATGTGTAAACAAGATTTAGAAGGAATTTTGATTGATGCTCATCTAGATTCTATGCACTCTAAATAATCCTTAAGGAAATTGCCTTGATTTCAGAATTTACATTAATTTTAATTCATTTCTATATATATATATATGATAAATCTAAAAGATTATCATTTAAATATTACTTTATTTTTTTTAGAAATAACACACTATTTTAAATTAATTGTTATATTATAATCAAAAATGGGATAAACTTGTGCATGTCAACAGAAAATAGAAGAGGATCCATATCTTGAAGATTCATAACATTAGACCAATTAATAGAAGCAAACTGATCTCCAACCTAATGCCGATAAGATTGAAGTGGAAGAATAAGAATAAGAAAAAGAACAATAAACTATAGATATTGATCCAATACAACTCAAATCATATGAGATTGAGGATAATTGTCCTTAAGGCCTTTAACCACTTTCATTTTAAGCATAATAAGAATTCATTGATCAATTTCCTGCAATTGTTAAAAAATAACTTTAGAAACTATAAAAACTTGAAATTAAAGCATCTATATCTCCTAATTATAAAAGAATTCCTCAAATTGATACACCGTAATAAAAGTATAATATTCATTATTAGTTATTAATTATTAAATGGAGATGTTTATGTAGGATAATGGGCTGAAGGAAAACCTTTTGGTTTAGGCAAAATATATTATATTGATCACCAAGTTTATGAAGGTCAAGTTATTGATGGAATTCCTGAAGGAGAAGGTAGAAAAATATTCAAAGATGGTTCATATTACAGTGGTATTAAACAAACTATAATTCAAAAGGATAATTTAAAATGGGAGAAATAACTGGAAAGGGTAAGTTTACTAGATTAGATGGTTTCAAATATGAAGGTGATCTTTTATGCGGTTTACCTGATGGAAATGGAATTGAAACATGGCCAGATGAAACCACTTATTAAGGAATGTACAAATTAGGTAAAAAACATGGGAAAGGAACTTTTACTTGGGGTAATAGAAAGAATAAGAAAACAGGTAAATTAGAAACCTATACTGGTTAATTTAAAAATGATTAATTTTATGGATCAGGAAGATATGAATGGTCTGATGGAAGAATTTATGATGGAGAATGGGTAGATGGCAAAATGGAAGGTGAAGGTGAATTCATATGGCCAGGTATTTAATTATTTAAATTTATATTAGATAAGAGAAAATATACTGGACATTATTTAAAAGATTTCAAATCTGGTTATGGTGAATTAGAATGGCCAGATGGAAAAAAATTGGCAGGTTAATGGAGAATGGGTAAATTGAATGGAATTGTTACTCTAACTATTAAAAGTAAAATTAAGGAAGGATAAACTCAACCAGAATCTGATAAAACATTTATATCTGAATGGGAAGATGGAAGACGAATAAGATGGCTGGATAATTTAAAACATAGTGGAATACATAGCAATATTAGTTAGCTTAGAAATTTTGATGAACATTAGGTTTAATAAAATACTAGTTAAATATTACATTCTCAAATTAGATAAGATGAGTTGCTGTCAAATAAGTAGGATTCTATATTGAATAATTCTAAAATTTAACAATAATAAACTATATTTTAATAAAATGCATATATCAAGTAATAATAATAATAATAATAATAATAATAATAATAATAATATTAAAATCAGATTATTGAAAATCAGAATAATTAATCTATAAAATAAAATTAATAGGAAATTGGCAGCTATAATGTTGAGGATAATTAATTTGAATAGTTTAATGAACCTAAGAAATAACATTAAAATCAAGATATATTTGGTAAGGAAAGTGATCAATAAGGCTAAAAAGATAAAACAGACATATGATAATAATTTATATTTATATTTAATATAACATTTTTGTATAAATTTATTTAAATAATCAGGAAATGCTTTAAGTTTTCATTTTTTTAGTTGGTTTTTTAGGTGTTTTCTTTGAATCACTATTAGCTTAAGTTCTCATTCTTATGTTTCTTTTAAATGGTAATAATAAATTAGATTTTTCATCATATTATTTTGAATAGAATTATTATACAAAAGATTTCATAGCATCATCTTCAACTGAATTTATTTATTAAGTTTAAGCATTAGTAGGAGTAAATAAATATTAAGTTGAATTAAATTCTTCAGCCAAATCAATTTTTTAATGATTCAATTTCAATAAAGATAGTACTTCAGGTTTCTGTTTTATTTTTTCTAAATCTTCTCCTAATGGAGCTTATTATTATAAAGCCATAATAAAATTAGCTTCTTTTTCAATATTACTTATAGTTCCCATCCTTCTAAAAGTTCTAGCAGTATTTACTTTATGAGTATTTTCTGATTTCAATTTTATGTCTTCTTTGACAATAGGATCGAAATTAATATGCATCAAATCTTATTTGGATCCTTATCTACTGAAATAATCCACAAGAGCATAAAATTTCATATCACCAAACTCGAAGTATTTCTTAGGTTTTTATTAACTTTCTCTTAGTTCTTATGAAATTTGTTTTACTCTTTATAAATAACTTTTGCTAAAAACATCTAATTTCGGAGGTCTTAAAGAGTCTGCATACTTTTTTACAGCCATCATCTTTTAAAGTAATACAGCATTTTTCTTTTTTTCATATTCATTATATTATTTAAGGATGGCCATTTCAGCAGGTGTAAATTTTTCATTCAAATCTATATCAATAGAAGAAGTTACCTGCTGATTCTTTATAACCAACTCCTAAATCATATTTCATAAGGAAACCATGCTGCCAACCTTTTTCTCCCAATAATCTGTCTGGCAATATTTTCAATATTTTATGTCCAGGTGGTCCAATAGAGGATTGTGTTTAATCGATCTAATTTAGTTTGACCCTACTTTGCAGAATTGTTTTCGACAAAATTTTCTAGCAGAATTCTTCTCACAGCCTTCCTCTCGCAATTTAAGATACATCATTGCATTGCTGTTATAGGATGCATGAATTCGAGTACACATAGAAAATATATTAATGTTTAATGAAAATCTTCATTAAGAGTAATAAATATTCTTCATTAAGAGAACAAACAATAATAATGAGAAATATTGATATTAGAATAGATCACAAAACATAACCTTGCCTGAATTATTTAATATAACATAATTTATATTTTTCACAATAATTTTATAAATATAAAAGTCTTTTAAGAAAAATATACAAATTTAATTATTATTTTATTCAAAATTTCCTTACTTCTTTCTCTCATTATTATTTATCAATGGATTCCTTAATATTATATACAGTAATTGCATAGAAGATTTATGTTTGCCTCATTTCTATAATAATGCATTTTAATCTTCTTTTTTATGTTCTAATCATGAAACTTAGTATCTAAGTTTTAAGTAATTAAATGTTATTTTTATTGTTACTTTTTAATAATCCTATTTTACTTTAATTCATTTTCTACTAAAAATGAAGAATTTTCTAAAGGGGGCTCAGTATATCTGTTTTCCATTTTTATAAATCTATTTAATGTGATAATATTAATGATAATTCTTATATTTATACTTAAACTTTAAAATTAAAAGATATATCACTGAAACCCATTATTTTACGAATATTTTGATTATTCAAATGAGTAGATTGAATAATTAAGTACTGGTTTGAATTAATTCAAACCAGTATTTAATTTGATGAAAAAAAATATTATTTTTGACAATATAAATTATGTAGAGAATATTCATAGATTGCAGCAATAATAAACAATTCATAAAAAGGTAAAAAACTTGTTTATCAATTAGTAATAATTAGATGAAAAATCTTTATAATAAATACAATAACTCAAGTTTTTAACATAAAGATCTTGTTAACTAAGTATAATTTAACTCTTAGAAATTTGTAAATTAGTAAATTTAAAATTAACTTTCCAAAATTATAAATGTTTAGATATGTATGATAATAGATTATAAAGAAAATCATTAAATTTGATTAATGGAATTTATTGATTTTTAGCAAAGTAAGAAATACAATCTTTTGATGATAGATATAAGGAATAACTTAGAATATAGATGATTACAAATAAGACAATAATAATATTTTGAGTATAAAACTAAAGAAAAGAAGAGAGAAATGTTATTATTGAAATTAATACAAAAGTGAAGAAAAAAGAACTGAAGAACCTGTGCCATTCTTAAAAACAATTTAATTAAAAGAAAACAATTGATATCAAATATAGAATTAAAAGATTATGGTTGATAAAATATATTTATGAATTAGACTAATGATTAATCTTAAGATACAAATGAAATTTTTTTACTATAAACTAGTGATAACTTCTAATTTTGTCTTGATGGGGTATAGGTTTTATAATCAGAAGACATTACGGAAAACAAAAAAGAAGTTTGGAAAGAATTTAGTATAATGATTATATTTATTTTAACTCAATGAAATCAACCAAAGCCAGATAAGTTACAAATACATCACAAATCGAAACTACACTTAATAATTAGAGTATTTCTTCTCGTAAGGTTCCAAAATTGCCATACTTGTATACAAAACATAATCAAGTTCTATCTACATCTCGAAAACTTTTGTTAGAAGAGAATTCTGTTATTATATAACTAAATGGATAGAAAAAAGAGTTACTAAAACTGATTTATGATAGATAATTAGATGATGCTATAGATAGTAAGTTATTTTTATAATAGTGTAGTAACAAAGAAATTAGTTTAGTAATGTATTGCCTATGATCTGAATATATTTGGTAAATCACTTCATATACTGGCAGACCTTTATATATCTAACAGAGAATTTGCTAATGGATTGTACATTTACAATGTACTTAGAGTTTTGGCAGACGTTTAAAACAATTAAGCACTTAAAATTGAAGCTTTAATTCAAATGGGAGATTTATGCAAATTATAATAATAATATCATCTCAGCAAAATATTTTTAAAGAAAGCTCTTTAATATGTATGGTATATGAATGATACTGAAAACGAAGCAACAATTTATGATTATTTTGGAGTTCTTTATTATGTATAAGGAGAATTAAGATTGGCTAAAGAATATCATGATAGAGCTATGAATTTTATTAAAGAATCTAATGATAGTGCTGCACGTAAACATGGTATTGAATATGTAAAGACTTATATAAAAAGAATTAATTATTAATCTTAAGTTATGAATAATATGGTATTGTCTAAATTAGGATTAATATAAGGTAATGAAACAGAAATTAAATTAAATACACTACTAGATTTTAATATATTGACAGATTAAATTTTATAAGATTATGAATTTTAAGTTGAAATGTCAACACCAAATAGACCTTAAAGATGTATAACTAAAAATGGAGTACTTTAAAATGATGTTGATATGTTTGAAAATGTAAAAGAATTGCATGAAAGATAAAAAAAAAGAAAATTTTTTGAAAAAAAAATACCAGTAATGCATTTAACTAGATCAGTATTTAAATAAACAATTGAAGAATAACTTGAATAACGTATGAAAACAGATAAACAAAAAAATGTATATATATTCTTTTGATTAGTCTGTTGAAGAATATAAGAAGTAGTTATAAAAATTTCATACTTATAAAAATTTCCCTGAAAAATTAGAAAAGGTTAATATTAATCATTTATCTCCAAACAGAAATCTTATTGGTTTTAAATATAGTTTTAAACCTATGCGTCATTCATTACTTGATTTATTTGGTGAAATTGAATAATATATGTATTTACATTAATCCTGATTTTCTTAATTATTTATTTTTATTTTAACAACACAAAATAACTAAATCATTTATATAAGCTTTAATGAACACTCTATTTATGAATTCAATACTTATACATATATATATATATCAAGACATTTTTAATAAGGATGTAATCTAGAAAATATATAAATGTCTATTATATTAAATATTTAATTTTGGATATGAGAAGATTAATTGTCAACCAAACAAGAAGCAAGACAGTTGCAGCTCGTCCAAGTGCTAATTTAGATAGGATCAATAAATGGTTGTAAACTCTTACAGCTAAAGCCAATACTTTAGAGAGCAGATTTTATGCATCATAATTAAGTTCCTTGTTTAATTTCTATTCTAAACCAACCACAGGTGCAGCTTAAGTAATAGCTTAATTAAATAATAGGAAATTGATTGGAATTATTGGAGAGAATAAATCACTACAGAAGGATTAGTTGATAAGGTATAAAAGGGTCATGATACTCTTCTTAATAAAGAATTTGATGTTGAACGTATTTGTCATCAAGTTGTTTCCAGTTAAAGCAAAGAATTAGAAGACTTAGAAAATGAGCTTACTTTCCATAGTGCTGTTTGGAGCAATTACTATTTGGATTAACATTTGGCATTACTCGATTTAGAGTAATATGGAGACAGAAATGATTACGTCAGTATTCTAATCAAATTTATGCATAGTTCATGAGGATTATGATTTCTATCCTGGATTAGAAGCAGATTTAGAAGAATTAACAGAAACTCATAATTGGATTCCTGGATCAAAAGATGATATTAACTTGAAAGGTTACATGGTATCCTAATTCTAATGGGGCAAGAAGATTATATCATTTTATAGACATCCTTGTGATGACTTTAAAGCAGCAAGAGGTACCAAAAATATCTTGGGTAGATGAAATTTATCTATGCAAAATATTATAAAACAATATAATTCAATGCTTTATACAATATATTTATTATTTATCTAATATAGATGTTAAATAATATATAAAGATTGTATTTTGATTATAAATGTGAATAGATCTAATTATTCAATTACTTGTATTAATAAAATAATATTATAAAATAACCAATACAAAAAGTAATTAATTTAAATTATAAGGTATAATAATCTTATAATATTATTCTCTCTTAAAGTTACAAGTGTTTTTATAGGATTAAAATCTTATTATTCAAAATAATAATAAGTAACTATATTTTATATATTATAAAATCAATAATGGAAAAATTAGTTTATAAAATTAAATATCATACATTTAATAAGAAGGTATACTACTTTAAAAACGTTTAATCTAAGATCTCTTGTAGTTTTTAAACATTTATTAGTTTTATTTTAATTCTATGAAATTCTTCAAAAATTTATTATAAATTGAATTAATTAAGTCATTTCTCCTTTTTATCATATTAGATTGGATAATTGTCATCTTAACAAATGTAGACTTAAATTTCATTATGTTAATTTTGCACTTTTGAACTATTTAAATAGACTTAATAAGGATATTCAGGATTATCATCTAATACAGTTTCTACTAATGTGCCTTTAGGGGCAGTAATAATAAATAAGGCTTCACCCTTATGTTCAATTTATTAAGTTTTTGAGAGCTCTTTAAAGTCTTCTTATGTTAGATATGTATATTTAGCAATTTCAGGTTCTGTTTGAAACTTCTCTTATAAATTTTTTTATAAGTGCTCAATATAAAAATCATAAGTTTTTTCTTCATTTTATAGTAATTCTAATTCTTACTTAATCTATTAGAGTTCATTTTCTATATGTGGATCATCAGTAGCACCAATCCATTTAATTTTATTTTTTGAGATTTTTTCAATAAAACCTATTCCTTCTAAAACATTTGTTATGTCATACATTCTTCTCTTTTACACTCCTAATACTTTAACAGCCATATTTAAATCAATTGTAAGATCATTTGAATTTTGGATAAGTTCGACAAATTTTTTTGTTAAAACAGATAAAGAATTATCATGTCTTGTTTTTAACTTTTCACCACTCTTTAATTCTTCATCATTATTAGATTCATTGAAAGAATCCTCATCAATAGAATACTCTTCTTATTTATTTTTTTTTTCTGATTCCAATTTAATTTGTTTTCGCTTCAAATTCATGCAATTATTAATTTATTTTTCATCTTAAAAAGAGCTCTAAATTTATCTTCATATAAATCAACTATATATTTAGTTAAAACTTTAATTAATAAGAAATTATTTTATTCATTCATACTTAAATAAATTTTGTATCTATTTGGTAATCTCTAGATAAATAAATTAAAAAATAAAAAAGGATGAAATCATTTGAATAAATACTTCTTTAAAAAATAACTTCATTAATATCCAATTAATAAAAATTTAGGTATAAAAATATTCTTGATTTTTTATTAATACATTATATTCATAACTTATTTATTACTAAAATTTATCTTAATAAATACTATTATTCACTTAAAATTAATACTATATTATAAAAGATAATAATATTTATAAAATATTATTATTCGCGTTTAGTATCCGTTTTCTTTTTATTTTAAATAATCACAAGGCTTTATTTATACAGTACAGGTTAGGTCAACAAAAAACTCATTTGCCAAACAAATATAACAGTTTTTTCATAACAATCATCAAAGGAACCTTCTGGATAAGTTATGAATTATATTGATCTACTCATATTTTATTTCATTTTAATTGTCTTATTATGTAGACAGAGACATCTGATTCACAATTAGAATAGATATACCAAAGCCTTTGTAGAGATGATAGATTTTGTTATGACTTAAGAATGCAATTCGAGAAAATTTTAAAAGTTGAACAGGAGAGACATCGTGTTTATAATGATTTTGCAATCTTTCTAAGTGGACTAGCTAAGGAACCATTCTAAAATACAATATCTATAATTGAAATGCTTGATGAACTTGCAAAGTGTATTTAAGAAGTTAATTAAAAATACTTGGATAAATACAATGAAGACTAGGATAAAGGACTTATTAAATTGTTAAAATGCAAAATAATACCTAGTTTAATAGATGGATAGAAATTAGTTGAAGTTTAAAAGAAGGCATTAAATGAATATAAAGAGAAAGCTTCAAGATTAAAGAAATTAGAGTAAAAGAAAAATGAATATATAATGAAAAATGATGATAAATTGCTTAACTTAGAAAAATAACTTTAAGAGGCGAAGAGAGAGAAAATGGAAAAAGTATAAACTTTTAATTTTACATTTTAAAACTACGTAGAAGATAAAAATGATGAATTAAAAGGTTTATTCAAACACTTTCTTAATAGGCTTCTTGTGATATCTTCAGCAGGACTTCAGAATTACTCATTTGCTATTAATAAGGTTCATATAACAAATGAAATTAAAGAAATTGAGTATTTATTAGGGGAGTTGGGTATTATACGGAAAAAGAAAAAATGATTTTAGATAATGATTTATCAAAAAATATAATGAATTTTTTATAAGTTTCTTTTCATATGAATTTATGACAAATCTAATTAGATAATTTATAAATTTGATATTGCTACAAAGAATAATAAGATATATAATATTTAGTTAAGATGGATTAAAACAAGAATATTAATTGTTAAAATTAATGAAAAAATTAATAAATATTGTAAATGAACTCAATTTTAATGGAGATTGATTAATATTCAGCTCGTGCTGCCAATGAAGATTAAGCACTTATGAGTAAGAGAGGTGATTAAGAATAAAGAAAATCAGAGTTCTTTCAACGTTGTCTATAGGATCGTAAAGTTAATACAGATTTATCAGAATCAGAAAAATTTATATTTGGAGATAAAACTATTTATATGGGAAGGATGAAATTAGAATAGAGATTATAAGATATTGATGAAGTATTTCTACCTTTTGATAATATTGATTTGGATGAAAAGGAACGTAATGAAAAAATGAAAGAATTATCAAAATCTTCTTAATCTGATAATTAAAGAATTGATATTAATAAAAGAAATAAGAAAATAGAAAATTTTTGGTTAATAATAAGTCCAGATAGTTCTATAAAAATAGTGTGGGATTTCTTTTGTATGATTTTAATTCTATATGAAATAATAACAATACCAATAAGAATAAGTTTTGATATAGAAGTAAGTGCTGAGTTTGGTTATGTAATAACAGCAGCATTTCTATTTGATATTGTATTAACATTTAATACAGCAGTATATATAAATGGGAATATCAATTATTCTTATAAGGCAATAGCATTTGATTATTTCAAATTATGGTTTTGGATAGATGTAGTGGCATCTTTTCCTTATGATATGGTATTCAATACAGCATTAACAGGAGAGGCAGGAGATGAAGTGAATGATTCATCAGAAAATTTAAAAAAGAGTACTTAAATTTTAAGAGTGTTAAAATTCTTTAGATTTGTTAAAGTAATTCGTTTATTAAGATTGGCAAAACTGAAGGCTATAATGGATAAAATAGAGGAATATTTTTCAGATAGTTCAATAATTTAAACAATAGGAAGTTTTTTAAAACTTTGTGCATTTGTTTTATTTTGGTCTCATTGGTTAGGATGTATTTTCCATTTTATTGGTTAAAGTGAAGATACTTCATATAATTGGCTTTCTATATATGGATTGTATGATGAACCTTGGGAAATTAGATATGTAAATTCTGTTTATTGGGCTGTAACTACAATGATTACAGTAGGTTATGGTGATCTATCTCCATAAACACCATTGGAAAGATTATTTGGAGTATTCTTTCTTTTAATAGCTTGTGGTGTGTTCTCATTTACTATGAACACTATTGGTAATACAATGCAATAATTAAGTTAAAAGTAAGATTAATATTAGAAGAGGATATCAGAAATAAATATATATATGGCTAAAGTCAAGATTTAAAAGCAATTATAAAATAAAGTAAGAAGATATTTATAATATATTTGGGATTCTCATCGTAGTGTAAATTTAGAATCAATTTGTTAAAATCTATCTTTATCTTTAAAATATGAATTTACAATTTAAGTAAATGGAACTATATTGGCTAGTTATAAATTGTTATGTGAGACATTTTCAAGGAAATTACTTATTGAATTAACATAGATATTAAAAGAATAAACAATATAACCAGATGAATATGTATTTATTGAAGATGAACCTAAGAATGAATAAATTCTATATTTTATTTAAGAAGGTCAAATAAATATAGTATTAATAAAGACAAGATAAATTGTAGCTAGATTGAGTAATAAATAAATATTTGGTGAAATAAGTTTCTTTGGAAATATAGGTAGAACAGCATCTGCAAAAAGTAATGGTTTTACAGATGTTTTTGTATTGAGAAGATAAGATTTTGTAGCTTTATTAGATAAGTTTCCAGATGATAGAGAAAGATTTAATTTTATAAATGAAGAAGTTAATAAAAGATAATTATAAATATTAGATATACATTGTTATGCTTGTGATTTACCAGGACATGTAATAAGAGAATGTCCATCATTACATTTTGTAATTGATTTAGATGTATATTAAAAGACCAAAATAAGATGTATCAAAGCTATAATGAAAGATTTTGTAAGGAAAGATAGAATGAATTATAATGCTATGAAAAATAGAACAGAATTAGAAAAAGCAGCTAAAAGTTTATAAATGAATATACCAACTCATAAATTTTTAATGGAAGAATGTAATGTGGATGAATAATTATCTTAGGCAGTAGAAGATGAATCTATAAAAAAAGGATTTAAATTAAAATCTAAATTTAAAGAAGATAGGAATAGAAGAAGAAATTGGGAATAATCTTATAAGAAATCTGCCCAAAAGATTTAGTAGATTTAAATTAAATAATCAGAAATATTTAGTATTACCAAAAGTCTATCTTAAGCTATCTTATCATCTAATGCTAGTGGTTAAACAAGTCTTAATCATATTGCAATTAATTAGTTTAAATCTCCAAATGAGAGTTCAGAAGAAAGTGATAGTGGAACTATATAATAAAAGATGGAAGATATAATGGCTGATTATTAAATATTTAAATAAGAAGTGGATAAGTATAATGGAAGTCAATAATTAGAAATTAAGAAAAATTTTGTTTTATTGAATGAATTTGAATTTGGTTGTGATTATAATATATTCTACCCTCACAATAATCTTTCTGTTGTGTTGAAAGAATTTCATAAATATTAATTAGGTAACTCTGTTAAACCTAAAATCGATACTGAATATGATACTAATGTATTTTAAGAATATATGGAATATTATGTTATAGACATAGAAGATGTAAAAAGATTTAAATTAGAAGTAAAACCATCTCAAATTAAATAATTTCTACCTTTCACAGAACTACTTTAATCATCATACAATCGTTAAGTAATAATAATTAATATTATTTATTAGAAAAAAAAGAATTTTGGTTTGTTAAAATAACCAAAAAGATCTTTTAAATAAGTTGTTAGAGCAATTATTTTGGCAAGAAAATTTAAATGATTAATTAATTATAACATAAAATTATTAATAAACATCCTTATAATTCTATCTAAATCATCTAAGAGTTTTTAAAATAAATGCAAAAGAGAAAGAAGCTAGAAGAGAACCCTAGGATAATTGTATACAATTCTTCTTATTGAAGATGTTTGAGAATCTCTTATTACTACTAAGTAAATCAAAGATATAATATCATTTAACCGTTTTATAAGTATTAGAGAGATTCAAGAAGATTGCTAATCTATTTTTTATTGTTTTTTCAGCCTCAATAATTATGCACAACTTAGATGTGATATTAAACAAATTTAAAAGGCATTTAACATATGGGAACAAATAGCATAAAATCTCAAAACATAATGTAATTCAATTAATTTTTTTTGATGAATTTTCTTGTGGCACTATACTATAGTTCATTATTGTTAGGTATCTTTATCATATTCAATACAGACCCTTCTTTCTTATAGGGCTTAAGATTTCTAATAAAATTATTTGGATTCTTTTGAAAAAAGAAGAACCTTAGAAACCTCTATTTGATCTTTTAATTCTTGTTGTCTAGATTATTATTTAATTCTTTCTAATTGTTTAAAATATAAAATTGATTATAATCTTTTAAATATTTACAATTTTAAATTGAACTCAGAAATTCATTCCATTATTTCTCTCAATAATATTATAGATATGATCAATATATATAAATTAATCTTAATTATTTATTAATAAGTCTTTATATAGATTAGAATTATGAACCTTTATAAATTTATATATATTAATTAATAAATATATTATTTTATTAATATGTCTCTCCTTCTTTTGAATGCTAGCAATAGAATTGCATAAGGATTCTTAAAAGTTGCTGCCGAAAGTGGTAAATATGAGAAGATCATATGTGCTGACATCTTTCCAACTTATTTTACAGTTCAAAGACTCTTAAAATTTAAATAGTCATTATCAGCAAACATAGAATTGTTCAAAATTGGAGATCGTCAAGATTTACATGATGTAATTAAATAAGCCAATAATGTTCTATATGTGAGTCACGATTATTACTAAACAACTGCATCTAAAAAGAATTTATTGGTTGCTACATTAGATTTGGTTAAAAATAGAAATTATAAGACTGTAGCATATGTTGCACCAGTAGAACATGATCATCAAGAAGAAATTGATGAATGGAAACATTTAGAAGTAGAAGGACGTCGTTTTATTCCTTAATTAGTTGGAATCAGATCTGACATTACATTTGGACCTCAAAGCACATTTACTAATAAATTAGCATAAAGAATTTATAATGGTGAAAGTATCTACTTTTAAAGTACTGGACAATCATGTGCTCCAATTTTCACAGGTGATTTAGAATAGATTGTTGCTTAAGTCCTAGCAGGATCTCATGCAGGAAAATTACTCTTAGCAAAAGGACATAAACATATTGATTTCAAATCAATTATTCATTTGATTGAGGATAGTCTAGGAACTACATATAAAGCTAATTTAAATCAATCATTTATTGAAAAAGTATTATATATAAATTATATTTAGGTTATCCATCCAACTAATAATTGTATCATAGGTTAACAATTATATTGTCCATCATATATTAATCTAACTAAATTGATTGCAAATTATAAAGCTTTAGAAAATACTGGATATGATCAAGTAGTTGGTGATAAATTGGTTGATATTGAAGAATATCATAAAAACAATAAAATAGTAATTGATCAATCATTGAAAGCAGATTACTAATTAAGTTACTTAGTTGGTTGAATAAATGATGATCTTCATTAATCAAATAAAAAAATATATAATATTAAATTTTTATTATTCTAAAAAAATTAAGAATTATTAAATTTTAATTGTTAGTATTATTATTACTAATAGAGTATAGCCAAAAATTAGATATTAATATTTACATAAAAAAAATTTAATTAAAAAGACCAATTTTGGTATTGAATACTTTTTGTCCTCAATTATACTTTCAATCTTATCTATTAATAACAGATGAAATATTTAAAGCAAGTTAAATTTAACATTAAAAGAAAACTAATTAGGAAAGAAATGCCATCAGAAATAATAAATTATATATGACTTATATTTTGAATAATGTAAAATTTAAAAATTGGTTTTATTTAAAGCTGTTATCAATTTTACTTTGGATATATATGGAATTAATAATGGATGAACAATTAAATATTCTAGATTTATTTAATTGAAATAGATTTTACTATCATTTTGAAAATACTGAAACAATTAATTTGTATAGACATAAATATCAATGTTGCAAATGTATGTAGAAGACTTAAAATTTAGAATATTATAAAGTAAAAAAGTTTGTTAATTCAAGAGATTTTGATAGATAAAATGAATATTTTGAAATACATCTGATTTAAATTATTAATATTTTTTAATATAATAATGTCCTTTATTTATTTTTATTTCAGAAATTTATTTATATTAAGATTTTAATCATTATAAATTATGGTTATATGGGGAGATAAATAAGATTTGCAGTTGATCAATATATTTTAATAGGAAATCTAAAAATATTGAATGATTTCTTAAATAATTGTGAAATAGCTATAAAAATATAAATTACAAAATTATTATCATTTCAATGTAATAAGAGATAAGCAATACTTCCTTTTAGATGTAATGTAAACGAAAACATTTCATAAAGGATAAGATATATCATCTACTTTTAGATGATGATCGCATAAAAATATCGGAGGTAAGAAAACATCAGTCTAAAAGAGACAGTCAATTTTCAATAATCAAAATATCTACTTGAACTAAATTTTGAAAGTTAAATGTATTGGAAGACAGAGTAGGATTAACTTGTCGCATTTGGTATAAAGTATCATAAAACTCTGAAATGGTTTCATGCTAACAGTTCTGATTTATAACATCTATATAAAAACTTATTTGGTAGAGTATTCTTTGGAAACATATCAACCATTTATGATAGTAAAGAAATATTAGGTTCTGGAGCTTCATCAAAAGTATATAGAGTTATTAATAAATTAACACATTGTTAATTTGCTTCAAAATGCATTCGTAAAGACTATATCTATAAGAGAGAAGACAAAGAAAGATATGTATAAATATATGTGATTTAGAATCGAATGATTTAAGAGATTGAATTAATGAGAAAATTAGATCATGAAGCTATTGTTAAAATGATTGATATTTTTGAAGGTGAAAAGTCTTTCTATATCATTCTTGAATTATTATAGGGTGAATCATTGCATTAGTTTTTTAAAAAACACTCATTAACACTTACATAAATAAGATAGATAATAAGTGTATCAATTTATTCATATGATAGAGATGTTTATAAGCATTATGCTATTTAGACATACATAATATAATACATAGAGATTTAAAATTAGAAAACTTAGTTTTGAATGAAAAAGGAAAAGTGGAATCTCTAAAGATTATTGATTTTGGTCTTGCAATTTATACATCAAATCCTTAAAGATAATTATGTGGAACTCCTGGTTATATAGCTCCAGAAATGTTCATTGAAAAATATCCTTATACTACTAAAGTTGATATTTTTAGTTTAGGAACAATATTTTATAAATTATTATGCAAGAAATCATTATTTAATGGAAATACAAGTGAAGAGATTTTAGAAAATAATAAAAAGTTTTTATGGAATAATCATCTTAAAAATTGTTCAGATGAAACTATTGATTTGATTAAATAAATGCTTTAAAAAGATCCAAATAAAAGAATATCAGCTTGCCAAGCTCTGTAACATCCTTTTTTTATGGAAAAATTTATTGGTATTTATTGAATTAGATTTAAGGAGAGTAAGGAGTCGCTGAAGAAAGTCCTCATGAAATAGTGAGAACATTTCCACATACAAAACCTATGTAAATCATTAACTCAAATGATAATATTGCAGATATTAAGATTTAAGCTATTAAGGGAAGTTAATAAAGCTTTGATTAAAGCTTAGGATCAAATTATTATCCATCTTTTGATGAGGGTTATAATAAATAAAAAAATGGAAGTGATCATATTATTGAATGATTTTAATCAAAATAAAAACTTAGTATTCATAATATTTTATATTCTTGTTTACTATTTTTCACTCAATTGAGATTTATAATAAGGAATTTAATTATCAAGTAATTTATTACATATTGTTTAAGCTCTATCTTTATTATCATCATACTTTAATATAAATTAAATGGATTCATTTAATCTGGCTGATTTCATTTTCTATCTATTTAATAATCTGTCTTTTGCTCTTTAACTTCCCTCTTTTCCTTACTACTCATTTAATTTATTTCTTTCTTCTTAAAAATCAATAAGCTTTTATTGGAAAACTTATGTGAAATTTTTATCTTAAGCTGTTTCATTAATGAAATCTTTTAGTTTTCTTTCTGCATCCAATTTTAATTCTTAAATTTACTTCAAAATTTCTTTATCATAACAAATTTTTCTATATACTTTTTATTTATAAATTCCATTAATCAAACGTAATTCATCTATTTTATCAAATGTTTAAACAAGTGTTCGAAGTTTTTATTATACTTTAGGCTTTAAAGAGATACTTCTAACCCTTTTAGATAATAAATCTTAAATAACTTATTAATATTCTTTGGTTTAACAATGTTCCCAAGCTAAATCAATTTATGTTTTTGAACAATCAATTATTTGATGATCTTGAAGAATCTTTAAGAATTTAGATTTTTATGTAGGTTTCTCAATTCTCAATTATGCTAATAAATGATATGTCTGCATTTATAAATAATAATAAGTTATAGATAATGTTTATCCTTGTATATAATTTAAAACATATTACATCATTTTTTTGCTCGTAATTAATTAGTTTATAATCACTCAAATTTACTTTAATTTGTGAATTAATAATTTACTGAATTAATATGAGTTATGATAATATTTTAATAAAGAGCAAAATCAAGTATTCTTCTATAATATAAATTTGGCATACTCCTTTAAATCTTAGATATCCTCAGGCGATTTCATTTCACCCCATTCTTTTAATCTTTTTTTTAATTTTTCAATATGTCTAACTAATTAATTAAAATAATTACTATTTCTATTAAATAAGTTTATCTGTTAAATCACTTGGGAAATGATAATCCATATCTACTTTAAAAAAAAGATCTTATTTCATTTATTCCATTTCATGATTTATATATGGTTATAAGACATCTGTAGGAACTTGAATTTAAAATTTCTTTGGTTCATCAGTTAATTAATTTTAGTTATTTAAATTCATTAATTTTTTAGTCTTAGCTTTGAGATTATTGCGTTAAAAAAATTAAATTTTTTATTTTACTTTCATAGGTTTAATAGTTTCCTCTAATAAATCAGGTTTACTATCAATTCTTTAGGAACATTATTCAATTTTAGGTTCAAATTTGGTTTAATAATTGAATTTCAAAAGTGGTTTTTTTCTTTTCTCTGGTAATATATAATGTTTATTGAAATGCCAATGACCATCTGGAGTATGATGTTAATTTGTTGGTGATCGAGAATGATCTGTATGATATCTTTATTTTTCTGAATTAATCCTTACTAAACGATTCATTTAATCCCTTTCTCTAATAAAAGGAACAAATGATTATATATTCTTTACATCCTTACTAAATTCTTTAATTAATTTGAAACGAGGCAAAAATAAATTAGAATCATCTTAATCATTGAAATACTCTGAAATGTTGTTTTTGAAGCTATGTATATAATTGTTGGACAGCATATAAAATTAAATATGAATGAGGATTTTATTGATAAGAAATTATTAATAAAAAGTATAATGTAAATTTAACAAATTAACTTTAATAATTTATATTAATGATCCAAACAATAAAAATAATATAACAATTTACTTAACAAAACAAAAATAAATAAAATAGTAAATAAAAAAAATATAAAATCCAATAATGATACTAGAGAAAGTATTTCCTAATGATATATCAAGATCAAGTAATAATTTTGTCATTAATTTACTTAATATAGGATTATATAGTATTTGAAATGCTTAAGTTTCTTTATTTTAATTGTCGAAAGAGAGATTATTAGTTAAATTTTGGTTAGTAAATACTTGGTAGATAGGTTTTCGTAACAATTTCTGTTTTTCTTATTTGATGACATCTTAAAAAAGAATTCTCCCTGGAAGTAACTTAAATTTCTTCTAATATTTTTTAATTCTTTTCTGGAGATTCATTTGGTGATTATGTTTCATAATGACGTATAGATTATTTAGATTATATTACTTTTTCTTAAGTATTTAATTCACTCCTTTATACACTAATATAATTAAGTCTTTTAGGAGGATTAGATGTTGGTTTTTTCTTATCAATTTCTTTTCCTACACAAAAGATTCTTAGATTTGTTTATCTTTTTATTGTAAATTCTAATGTCATTCTTGTTATGTCTATCATATGTTGTAATAAAGTCAAAAAAATAGATTGTTTACTCTAGTTATATATTTCATGTTATAATTAATCTGCTTTAGAAGGAAGACCATAAAATAGATAAAGATCAATTATAATTTTAGTTGTTGAAGCTAATGTTGGTTCTATATTGAGTAACTTATTATAATTTATGAAAATTAACCTCAAAATTAACTGCAATTATTTTAATTATGAATTTTATGGTCTCTTGAAATTGTAGAAGATCATTCTAATTAAGTTTCTTGCCTTAATATAATTAGTTCATGGAATCGGTTTCTATTATTTATCTAATCTTCTCCCTATACTCAGAGAATCAAATTTTTGAGCATACTTATTTATTTGATTGGCACTTAGTTGTTATATAAATTGCGAATATCTTGTGATCGTTCTCTTAGCAAATCCATTACATTCATTATTAAAAATATTAAATATAAAATAAATAAATATTTTTATACTTATTTCTAATATTAACTAAAATAGTATTGAATTTTGAAATATATTTTTTATAATTTAATTAAATGAGTAGAGGTACAAATCTCTTTGCAACATTTTCAATATCAATAATTGTATGGATAATTACTTTATTTTTATCATCTGGATATGTTAAGTATTTAACAAAATAAAATTAGAGAAGTTACTAAATCCATACCAACATATGCTTTGATTTTATATTTCTCTTATGCATTATTTAAAGTAGGAGGAGATTTAGCACAATTAAAGGATTATCCTGAAGAAGCTTAATCATTATAAAAAGAAGTTGAGTAAGCAAAACGATTCTATTAAGAAAAGGGATTAAAATTGTGAAACATTAAATGTTCATATATATATATTTATAAATTTAATGGATATTTATCACCTTCGTTTGGAAAATTACTAACCTAAACAATCCTTCTATTTAATGAATAAAATACTCAAACTTTTAATCGCTCTATAAATGCTTTTAGTTTTTTTTAGGATTTTTGTAAGAAATTAAGAACCATTTTTTTTGTCTGATTGTTTAAATGCATGTATGATGATGCTCACTTATTGTTAAAAAGTATTATACTAAAGTAAAATATTAGAATTATTGTCTTGCATTGATTACAATGTTTTATATATTCTCATTGATATATTTGAATGCAATCTTCTTTTTGTAGTTTGTTGAATATAAATTGCCCTTTTTTATTGATTATACCAAAAATTTTACTTTGATGCTGGTATGATTTCATCTCAATTTAGATTTTCTCAACTTTGCTTTATATTTTTGAATCAATTATGTTATATTAAGTTTACAAGGAATTTAAGGGAATTATTTATGATATCAATCAAGAATATTTAGAGAATGTTTAATAAGAGTAATAGCAACATTTAGAAATAGAAATGTTATCATAAATTTAAGAATAATCTGTTTAACAAATTAATAGTAACTAATAATAGTTAGCAGAATAAGAAATTGAAAATTAATCCATATAGGAACCCAATATTGCTGCTGGATCATTATAAAGAAGAATGAATAATTAAGGATCAAGAACTTAACAAGAACTGTAATAATAATAATAATAATGATTTTAACTTTTTTATGAATATATATTTATCTATTTTTAGTTTACAAAACTTAATTGAAAGATTATTGACAAGACATGTATGAATTTTAAATGAATAAATTATGACAATTTATTATTCTTATAAATTAGTTTATCAAATAAAAGAAATGCAATAAGAAAGTCGGAAGATTATTATAAATCGAAGAGATCAAAATATTTTGTTTCCTTCAAATGCAATAAAGACTTCTAAATATAATATGCTTAACTTCTTTCCAAAAGCAATTCTATTGTAATTTATGAGAATTGCAAATATTTACTTCTTAGTAACAGCAGTTTTGCAAAGCATGCCTTTGATTTCTCCATTGGCCCCTTTTTCTGCTATAAGTAAAATAATAATATCAATTTTTTAGGTCCTCTTGTGTTTGTTTTGGCTGTGTCATTATTTCGTGAAATGTTAGAAGATTATGTATAAATAGTTCGTTATTAACTTTAAGCGTAAACATAGAAATGATGACATGATTAATGAGCAAGTAGCCCTTTTGTATAACAATTATGTATTTTAAAAAATATAGTGGAAAGAGATCAGGGTTGGTGATATTGTCTAAGTTTTAGAGGATTTCACAATACCAGCAGATTTATGCATTCTACGTACAAGCGATGAGAATGGCTAATGTTTTTTAGAAACCTCAAATCTTGATGGGTGAGTTACAATACTAAACCTAGTGAACGCAATCTAAAAACTAAATACGCAATAACAGAAATTTAGGAGTAGATGATCCATGGGAAATTCAGCGATCTTACCGGAGAACTGTAATGTGACAAGCCTAACAATCGGATTCATAAATTTCAAGGAATGCTTCAAGTAGATCTAAAACAGTATCCAATTAGTAACAACAATATTTTATTGAGAGTATAATTATAGTAGTAATTGATAGGGAACAACAATTAAGAATACAAAATGGGTAGTAGGTTTAGTAGTATATACAGGTCATGATTGTAAAATAATTAAAAGTTAGGGTAAGATGAGATATAAATCAACTCATATTGAGAGAGCTTTAAATATAATAGTAATTGTGATATTGATACTGTAAGCAGGTGCTTGTATAGCTTTATCATTCTTCACTGCTTATAATTATAATCCTTTAAATTTTGAAGGCAAACCATAGTTCATTTACATATATCCAGATAATGATAAGAATGGACCAGTTGTAACAGCAGTAATTAGTTATTTCTCTAATTTTCTTCTTCTCAATTCTATGGTGCCCATCTCTTTAATTATCTCTTTAGAAACATTAAAGTATTTGTAAACTACTTGGATGGAATTTGATGAGTAAATGCAAAGTGAGAATTAACCTTTTAGAGTACTTAATACAATGATTCATGAGGAATTAGGAAAGATAGAATATGTATTTACAGATAAAACAGGTACATTGACTTCAAATAATATGGAATTTCGGTAATGTTGTATAAAGGGTATAGCATATTCAAATGAAGATTTACTAGAGATTTTTAAATGCGATAATATTATGAACGATTTAGAATTGGATAAATATATAAATTTCTTCCTTTGTATAATAATTTGTCATAATGTTATTGTTGATGAAAAATTAAATGAATTCTAAGGTAGTTCTCCAGATGAAGTAGCTTTAGTTAAGGCTGCATTTAATCATGGATTTAAATTTCTAAAAAGAACTAATAATTCTATTTTTATTAAAGTTCGTGAATAATTATTAGTTTATGAGTATATTTGTGAATTTGAATTTACATCAGATAGAAAGAGAATGAGTATGATAGTTAAAGATATGTAGACTGAATAATTACTATTATTTTGTAAAGGTGCTGATAACATTATTTGGAGAAGATTAGACATGAGAAAACATTAAGAATAAGAATTATAAATGTCTCAAGTTAGTCTTAAGAAATATTCCAAAGAAGGTCTTAGAACACTCTGTTTAACTTATAAATAATTAGATGAAATATAATTTTAAGATTGGTAAAAATAATATAGATCAATTTAAAATGAAGTAGCACTTGATCCAGAAGCAATAAATAAATTGAAAGAACATGAGTCTATTTTAGAACATGAATTAATGTTATTAGGTATAACTGCATTAGAAGATAAACTCTAAGAGGATGTTCCTGAAGTTATTAAATCTCTTCATGATGCTGGTATTAAAGTATGGATGCTTACAGGAGATAAAATGGAAACTGCAGAAAATATTGGTCATTTATGTCATTTAATTGATTAGAGCACAAAATGTTTTAGAGTTAATTAGGAGGATTAGGAAAGTATATTGTAATTATATTTATATTTATGTTTTAGAATGAGATTCAAGAAAATAGGAAGGAGTATATAAACTTATGAAAAAATTACTAAAAAAACTAATAAAGTTAAGAAAAATTAATTGTTATAATAATAATTATAATGGTTAAGAGAATAATCTTCTATTAATTCACAAATAAGATCAGTTCACAAAATGAAAATAAATCAAATGTCTGTTAAATCAGAAGGCAGTGATAATCATAGCTAAAAGGAAATTAAAAGAACATTTGCATTGATTGTAGAAGGTGATTCAATATATTATCTATTACATTCTAAATAAATCTAAGAAGAGTTTTTAAAAATCATTCCAAAATGCAGAACTGTTATATGTTGTAGATCAACTCCTAATTAAAAAGCAGAAATTGTAGGTTTAGTTAAAAAAAATTTAAAATCAATAACTCTAGCTATTGGAGATGGTGGAAATGATGTTAGTATGATTTAAGAATCTCATATAGGAGTAGGAATCTTAGGAAAAGAAGGAAATTAGGCAGCAATGAATAGTGATTACTTCTTTTGTTAATTTAAACATTTATGGAGATTATTATTTGTACATGGAAGATGGAATTTATATAGAACCAGTTATTTTGTAAATTACTTTTTTTTTAAAAATATTTTGTTTACTTTTCAACAATTTTACTTTGCATTTTTTAATGCATTTAGTAGTTAATCTTTTTATGAAGATGGTTATTTACTCAATTTCAATACATTAATTACAGCAGTAGCACCTGTTTATTATGGAGTATTCGATCAAGATTTAGATGTTCAAGATACATATATAAAATCATAACTACCAAGAGTTTATAGTGAATTTAAGTATCATAAGTTATTTGGAAGAAGAGCATTTGCAAAATGGTATGTAAGTGGATTGTTATGCAGTGCTCTTGTATTCTTTGTGACAAAACAGATATATTTAATATAAGTAAATTCAGAAAGTGGAAGAGTTGATGGATTATGGTAATTAAGCATTTCTTGTTATTGGTCAAGTGTTTTCATAGTATTCATTGTGATAATTAGTGATTCAAATTAATTCACTTGGATTACTTTCATAGCTTATGGTCCATTAAGTATTTTAGCATTTTTTCCTGTATTTACATTGGCTTGGAATGAATTTTAAAGTGAAACTAAACATTATGCTTATGACTGGTTAGGAAATGCTAAATTCTTTATTGTTATAATTTTAATATTGGGAACAGTTTTCATTTTCAAAAGAGTGGTTAACATTTGGTAGTAACTTGAGTACCCAACAATAATTGATAAGGTTAGAAAGGAGAAGTAGGAATTAGATTAAGTTGTGGAATAATCATTACCACCTGGATCAAGCAGATAGGAATTGAGTGAATTAGAATTTCCAATTTCAATTGAGAATTAAGTTTAAGGTGTATATAATCTCTCGCATAACATGGGATAATAAAGAGATATGTGATAAAATTTATTTGCACTATTTATATTAAAATGATCCGCCCACGTTATGAAAGCCAAAAAGACCATCCTTTGTAGACAGATGTGGCCTGTTTCTTAATGGTCATTGAGATTTAGAGATTATTAGATGAAAACACGTAATTGAAAGTGGAAATGCAAGAGATCTTGGCAAGACAACTTGACAGAGCTAATTATGAACAATAGATTAAAGATCTGATGGAACGTCTTCGTTAACTACAAGGGTATGTTAGATTTATATCTTGTTTAGTTTGGTAGCAGATCTTACAAAGGATAATAAGTAGCTTAAATAACGATAAGCTGATTAAGATGCTGAACTAGCAGACTTAAAATAATTTGTTGAAGAAAATAATCTAGAGGAGAAATAGGAATAATAAGAAGCGGTTGCCAAAGAATTAGACGATCTAAAAGAATAATTAGAAAGAGATTAAAAAGATAGGGTAGAGAATCTAATCTTATTTTATAGGATGATTAAAAGGCTTTTTATGAAGGGTTGCTTGCTGATAAAGATGATTTGATTGCTGAATTAAGAAAACAATTAAAAGATGCTGATGAAAAATTCAATAATTATCGTAGAGAGAAGGAGTAAATTATCAAGGAAAAAGATTATGATATCAAAAACAAGGAAAGAGAGATTAAGGACTTATTAAGGAGGTTAGCTGAATTTGAAGGTAAGTTATAAGGTAAAAGACCTGATGAAATTCAGCGAGATTTGGAACGTTTAAAAAAGGAATTAGCTGATAAAGACAAGGAAATTGATAAATTAAAAAAGAAGATTGGAGATTTAGAAGCTTAATTAGCATTATTAAAATAATAATTATAGGATGCTAAAGATAAGCTTAAAGATACTTTATCATAATTAGCAGATGCAAAGAATTAAGCAACATAAGCAGCTAAAGATAATGATGCTAAAAATTAAAGGAGAATAAGAGAACTAGAATAATTAGTTGAGTAATTGAAGGCTGAAATTGATAGATTAAATGCATTGATAGATAAATTAAATTAAGATGTTGCATCTGGTATTGAAAGAGAAAAATAATTGAATGATAATTTACAAAGTAATCTCAATATCCTAAATTAGAATAACTAAGTGATAATGGATCAGTTTCTGCAGCTAAATAAAATAGATAAGCAAAATAAGCAGAATAAGCTTAATAATAATTGACTTAGACTTCTTAAAAGTTAAAGGATGCTGAAAAAGATAATAATGAACTTAAAAAGAAATCAAATGAATTGGATAGATAGTTAGAAGAAGCTAGAAAATTAATTAAATAATTATAAGATGAAATTGCAGCTTTAAAAGAAAAATTATTATTGTCTCAGACTGAAAATGATGATCTAAGAAATTAATTAAATGATTTATAAGATTAATTAACTGAAGCTTTGTTAGATAAAGATTATCTTTAAAAATCTCTTAAAGATTAAGAAGATGAACTCAATAGAGTTAATGATTAATTATAAGATTTAAATAATGAAAAAGAATAAGCATAAGCAGCTGCTTTGGAAGCAAAATAATAACTTCAGAATTTAGAAGATGAAAAAGCTTAGGGAGATGCTGATAAAGAATAAGAATAAAATAAATTAAATGATTTGGAAGATAGGGTAGCTGATCTTGAAGATTAAATTGAAGATTTGGAAAAAACAAGAAATCGTTTACTTAACTAAATTTAAGATTTAATTGATAAATTGCATGATGAAAGAGAATTATGTGAATATTATCATAAACTCTGTTCTGATTAAGAACATTAAAATAAATTATTATAAGATTAAGAAAAGTAATTAAAAGATTAAGTTTAAAAATTAAATAATGATATTGAATAGATGGAAGAAGATCATGATGAAGCATAAAAAAGATTAGTAGAATTAGCTTAAGAATAAGAAGCCCTTAAGGAGTTAGCTGCTTCAAATTAAGATAATGTTATTGATAGAGAAGCTTATGATAATTTATTAAATTAGTTGGATGAGAAAAATAAAGAAATAGAAGATTTAAATGAATTATTAAGAAGATATGAATAATAATTTAAAATGTTAAGAGCTGAATTAGCTAGAGTGAATTTAGCTTAATTAAAAGATAAAAAGAGTAAATAAGATACTGAGGCACTATTAACAAAAATCATGATTATGTAGGCAGAAAATGAACGATTGTAATAGGCTGCCAAACAATTACAATCTTAAGTTACTTCTCCTGAAGGATTGAAAAAAACTGGAAGTTAGATTAATGATACTGTTTAAGGAAAAGTTGAATCATTACAAAAGGAAAATCTTAAACTTGAAGATTAAGTTAGTGAGTATGAAAATAAGATTGCATTGTTGACTATGGAATTGAAAAGATTGAAAGACTCAAAGTAAATGAATAATTTTATAATTTAGACCAGAGATTCTTCCAATCAAATCCAATGGTAGCGATGAATAATAACTTTAATTACAAGTTCAATAATTATAATAATAAGTTTAATAATTATAGAATGGAGGATTATTGTAATCAAATGGATAACCTTTATCAAAAGAGGATAGAAGATTATCTGATTTGTTATGCCTAGTGACAATCATGGCTGCTGAAATAGAGAACCTTAGAACTCTCATTGCCTTGCATTGAGATGAATAAATATAAGATACATTATTAATATTTTTTTGAGTATACATCACTCCTCGTAAAAGAATTAGGGAACTACACCCTAATTAATAGTTGTTGAATTATCACTAAATTCTTGACTAAATGTAGGTTCTTCAAATTGAAATTCATCAGTCTCAAATTTTCCATTGGCTCCATAATAACTTAAACAACTTTGATTAGGTGTCAAAGCTAGATATTAATATGTAGAAAATACCAATAGTATAAGGTTTATCATATTCAATTTTAATTGCTTTTTTGAAATACATTTTACCAATATGATTTACAAATTCCATGTCATTCTTAATTACAAATTTGTCTTAGTAAATTATTTTTTTACTAATTAAAATAATATAATACCTATTAAGATTTGATCCTTCAAATATTTGCACTTAAAATACTAACTCTTATTCTGGCCAAGTTGTAATCTCATATAAACCTACACCTGAAAGCCAAATATCATGTTTCTTTTTTGATCTTAAACATATGGCATCAGTCTCTTTTAAATTCCATTATTCATATGTTAATTGATATCTATTTTGACTGCTCTATATCTTAACTTATTTTTTTATTGGATGTTAACAAGTTTCATATAATTTTTTCAAATCAATTAAACACTAATAAAATATATTAAGATATATTACTTTCTCCAACCAATATTTACTCTCTCTTTCAATAACTTCAGCAGTCTTTATGAGTTTTTGAGCCTACTAATTAACTTCAGTATCTCTCAATATCCATATTTATCCATCACATGTTTTTAAAAGTGGTTCAATCTTCTCGATTGCCTGTTCTATCTATATTTTTGATAATTTATCCATATTCAACATTGATATTGATTTTTCAAAAGCATCTCCTACAAATAAGTCTGCTTCCAAATCAAGTAATTTAATTTATTTCTCTATTTCTTTTTCTAATTTATTAAGGATTTCCTTTATTTCAATTAAGTTTTATCTGAAGGTTTGTTTTATATTGTGATGCTTTGCAAATATTTCATTACCTTTATTGTGCAATTCTTATTAATTCTTAGGATTATTAGCTTTATTAAGACTTTGAACAATTGTTTTAAGTGGGAATACATTTTTAACATGGTCTTAATGAGATTTTAATAAACAAAATGAACAGATTAATCCTTTATTTAAACATTCTGCTTCTAAACAAAATAAATTGAGAGGATTATCTAAATGTTCTTTGTCTTCACAATATAAGGCTTACATTTAATTAAATGTTAAAATTATTCAATAAAGAAAAGAAGAAAGCTCCTTAAATTCAAAATGTGCTTACAATTGAAGAATTTTTCAAGAGAGATGAATATGAGATTAATGATGAGTTTTGGAAAATGAATGCTACTTAACTTGAAGAAACATGTAAGAAATAAGAAAAGTATATAAAAAAATTGAAAACCTTATATGCTGCAGTATAATAGATATTTAATAAATTCAATAGCATTTAGATTATCTAGAATAATTATTGATAAAACATGAAGAAGAAAAGAAGAAATTAAGAACAGAAATAGAAGAATGGCAAATTAAAAATTGTAATATTTAAATTGTATCATAAATATATAGAAAGCAATTTTGAACTTAAGCAATAGATTGAAGTTTAATATTAATAGATGTACGAATAATTTTCTACTCAATCTTTACAATAGAAATAACCTTAAATTATAGAGGAACATAAATAAGAGCCATAAAATACAGATTTATTAGAATTAGTTGAACCAAAGGAAGAAGAAATAGAAAGATTAAGATTATAATGTATAAAAGTATGTGAAGAAATGAGAAGATTACAAGAAGATAATGATGATCTTAGCACTGCTTTAGATGCAGAGAAATAACATAAAGAGTAATTAAGATAATAATTTGAATAATAAAAAGTATAATTTTAATAAGAGATATCTGAGTTAGAAAATAAAATAAAAAATATATAAAATGAAGGATAAACAAATTTTTAAAAATTAGAAGATAAAATAAGAAATTAAAAAGATTTAGAATAAAATATATCTGAATTATCAAATAAAATTCATGAATTGGATAGTAAATTATTATAAGAAAAAATTAAAGTTGATTAAAAAAATAAAGATTGTATTAGATTGGAAGATTAAATTAATGAATTAAAAAATTAGATTGAACAAATGTCAAATTAAATAAATATATAAAAAAGTAAATTGTAATTATTAGAGACAAAAAGATAGAAAGATAAGGTTACAATTAATGAATTAAAAAATAATATTGCATTATCACAGAATAATATTGAATTAATATAATTTTAACAAAAAAATGAATTATAAAATTTGAATTTGCAAATTAATGAATTATAACTAAAAAGCAATTTATATGATTAACTTAAAGTATAATATGATTAATTGCAAAATTAATTGATGGATAAAAATGTAAAAGTTTAATAATTATTTCATTAAATTTCAGATATGGAATAATAGATAGAATAAAAGAATAAGTATAAAATTAAATTAATTAAAGATAGTAATAAAATAAAGATGAAATACAAATATAAAAGGATATTGAAAGAGAAAATTTAATTTAACATCTCACACTTAAAAGAGAGAATGCAAGAGTAGAAATTGAGTAATTAAATGATAAGATAATATCTTTAATGAAATTAGTGGATTCTATCAAAAGTAAAGCTTCATAAAATAATGATATTTAATAAATTATTAAGCATAATTCAGATATACTCAACAAATCAGAAATGCTATAAAAAAGTAATAGAAGGATATAATTATTTCCAACACTTCATAAATGTTTAACTGAATTAAGAAAATTGGAAGATAAATGTTATAAATTATATATATAGACTATGATATCTGATTTTTAGAATAAAGATTCAACAATTTAGATTGAAAGATATTTAAATGATATTGGAAGAAGATCTTAAGAAATTATAGATCTTTTAGATGAAATGGGTTTGAAATGAAATAATATATTATTAACAATTATTTGTAGATTTATATTATTTTATTGAGTGATTTATGAAATTAGTCAGATTTCTTATGAAACTCAAAAATGAGTAGGTGATTGTAGAATTAAAGAATGGCACAGTAGTTTTAGGTACAATAACTGGAGTAGATGTAAGAATGAATACTCATTTGAGCAAAGTGAAATTGACATTAAAAGGAAAGAATCCTGTAGGATTAGATTAATTGACAATAAGAGGTTTAGAAAAAGATAATTAATATGAATAGGAAATAATATAAGATATTTCCATCTATCCGAGAATTTATAAATAGACAATCTATTGGTGGATGAATCAATATCTAAATCTAAGAAGGTGAAAGCAGGAATGGAAAAGAATGATCCAAATTTTAAGAGAAAAAAGAAGAATAAGGTAACTCGTTTACCAAGAAGATGAATAAGGATAGTTATTTATTTAATAATCAAATAATCAAGTTATAGTTTATATAAGTGTTGTATTTGTAAATTAATTTTATAAAAAATAAAATAATAATTTGAATTTGTTAATTCTTTTTTTATTATTCTTTGATTGCAATGTTTGAATTTTATGAATAAAAATATTTAAATAATTTAGATTTAAATATATAAATGTTACAAGTAGTACTTTCAGATGAATAGAATTTATCAATTTCTTAAGATATACCTCATTAAGGTTATAAGTACACAGGATACCAAAACAAACCTTAGTGAAAATAGTTAATGCGGCATAGGAAAGACTATTTGCAGAAGAAATTGATTTAATAGAAAATATTCAAGGTATTTTTACAATAGAAAATGGATTATAAACAAATTTCGCAAAAGGATTAAAAGGAGATGATTTTCATGAAAGAGACTTATTATATGGGAATAATTTAAAACCTGTAATTCCTCTTAAAAAATATATACAATTGCTTTTATAAGCTTTGGAAGTTTAAATTGAGTATATAATAATAGGATTTCATAATGAGAATATTATTAGTGGCTTCGATAGTGTCAATTGTTATAGGAGTCTCAACAGCAGATGATGATCATCGTTCATTAGCTTGGATAGAAGGATTTGCTATATTTATAGCAGTTTTTGTATGTTGTAATGTGACAGCAATAAATGTATAAATATATGCAATAGTTAGGATTATTAGAAAGAAAGACAATTTTAAAGTTTGAATTAAATGGCTGACAGCAGAAAAACAGTAACAGTTTGGAGAGATGGAAGCAAGATTGATTTACATTAGAGCTTGGTTATGGTTGGTGATATAATTTAAATCTTTGAAGGAATGGAAATACCAGCTGATTGTTTTGTTATAGAGGCAGCAGAATTAACAGCTGATGTATAATAATTATAATATGTAAAAGAAAAGTGCAATGAAAGGTGAAACAGATCCTATAAAAAAAGATACATATGAGAATTGTAAAAAGTAAAGAAATAAATTGAGAGATCAATAGAATGAATTGGGTAGACATGATATTCCATCTCCAGTTATGCTGAGTGGTACAAAAGTATTATCAGGTGAAGGGAGAATAGTAGTGGCAGTAGTTGGAGATTCAAGTTGTGTTGGCAAAATCTCTTCTTTGCTTGCAACTGAAGAAGTATAATCGACACCTTTATAAGAGAAATTAGAAATAATTGCTTAAGATATTGGAAAGTTTGGATTAATAAGTGCAGGTTTAATTTTATTTATTTTGTTATTGAGATTTACTATAGAAAGAATATAAAGAAGATTCATTTGAAAAGGATCATATTAAAGAAATGCTTAATTTCATTATAATTTCAATTACAGTAATTGTTGTAGCAATACCAGAAGGCTTACCCCTTGCTGTAACACTTTGTTTAGCTTATTCTACTAAGAGAATGTTAAAGGATAATAATCTAGTTAGAAAAATGGCTGCTTGTGAAACTATGGGAGGAGCTTATATGGTATGCTCAGATAAAACAGAAACATTGACATAGAATAAAATGTTTATGGTTAAGATTTGGAATGATACATTAATGGATATTGATGCATATAATGAGTAATTAAATTTAAGTAGTTACTTACCAATTCAAATGCACGAATTATTCATTTAATCATCAATGGTTAATGGAACAGCTATGATTAGACCAGAAGAAAAAGGAAGTAAAACAGAAGTAGCTATGATTTTATTTGCAGAAAAATGTGGCATAATTTATGAAAAGGAAAGAGATATACATCAAGCAACTATGAAGATCCCTTTTTCGAGTAAGAGAAAAAGGATGGCAATGATTATTGGTGGCAAAAGATTGGTTATTAAAGGAGCTAGTGAAATTATTTTAGAAGGATGTAATAAATTACACTCTAAATCAAAGGGAATTATCTCTATTGATTCATCAATTAGAAATAGTATTGAGTCATCCATAGAAGAAATGGCTTCATAGTCTCTTAGAACTATTGGATTAGCATACAAAGATCTCAATGGTAATGAAGATCTTGTAAACAAAAATGATAAAGGTGTTTATGATATAGAAACTTAAGATCTTACATTAATTGCTTTAGTAGGAATTAAAGATATTCTTAGAGCTGAAGTACCAGGTGCTGTAGCTAATTGTAAAACAGCTGGAATCAAAGTTAGAATGGTTACTGGAGACAATAAAATCACAGCTAGAGCAATTGCTAAAGAATGTGGTATATTAATTGATGAAAATCAATCTCTTGTTTTAGAAGGACCTGATTTTGTAAATAGAATTGGTGGAATAATTTGTAAATGGTGTCGAATACCAACATGTGATTGTCCAAGAGATCAATAAACTGCCAAATAATTAGGTAAATAGATTAGAGTTGATACAATTTAAAATGGGGCAGAATTCGATAAAATATATCCTTTTTTAGATGTGTTGGCTAGAAGTAGACCTGAAGATATATATGCACTTGTAACAGGTCTTTTGGAACGAGGACATGTTGTAGCAGTAACAGGTGATGGTACTAATGATGGTAAATTCTAAATTATTTTATTTTACTAGCTCCTGCATTAAAGAAAGCTGATGTGGGTTTTGCAATGGGGATAGCAGGAACTGAAGTAGCTAGAGAAAGTGCTTCGATTATTTTATTAGATGACAATTTTAGTTCAATTGTAAAAGCTGTATTATGGGGAAGGAACATTTACGATTCAATAAAGAAATTTTTATAGTTTTAATTGACAGTGAATGTAGTTGCTGTAGCATTGACACTTATATCTTCTGTTTTAATAAAATAAGAAGTTTTAAAACCAATATAAATGCTTTGGGTTAATTTGATAATGGATACATTTGCATCATTAGCTTTGGCCACTGAAACTCCAACTCCAGAGTTATTATAGAGAAAACCTCACAATAGAAATGAATACATGATATCTTCGAAGATGTTTAAACATATTATAGGATAAGCCATTTATCAAATGATTATAATGTTAACGCTTTTATTTTCTGCACAAAGTTTTGTTCCAGAGTTTAAGGGATAAGAAGATGAATCATAAGATTATATAGGTAATTTATAATTCAAATATTCAAATACTTACTTTGATGAATCTATTAAACTTCATATTTGTCCTAATTATTAAGATTATTGTAATCTTATTTCTTTCAGTACAGATTATTATATAAATGGGTCTGAAAATTATGAAACCTTTTATAAAGAGACTTATATTCCTTCGAGATAGTTTACTGTTATCTTCAATACTTTTGTAATGATGCAATTATTTAATTTTATAAATGCTAGAAGAATTAGAGATGAACTCAATATCTTTTAGGGTATATTAACTAATATTTTATTCCCTATTATTGTTTTTGGTATACTTACTTTAAAAATAATTATCGTTACTTTTGGAGGAATAGTATTCCACTGCTATTCATTTTATGGGCTTCGTATTGAATAGTGGTATTAACTAATAATTATATATAGGTTAATTTTTATTGCATTTGGTGTTGGAAGTTTAGTTGTAAGATTAATACTAAGACTAATTCCAGATCCAAAACTTTAATTTCTTAGTAAATTAAATGAAAAGCATAAATTAAAAAATCTAATATCTCCATCAAATACTGTAAATAATTAAAATTATCAGATTTAATTTCTTAGTCCAGAATCAGAAATAGAAAACCTCAATAATCCAATTTAAGAACATCAAATATGATTAAATTAATCAATTATAAATTATAATCCTCTTAATTATTAAATATAATTCTAATTATAAAATTATGATGTCAGAAGTGAATGAAAGAAAAATATTAACAATTACAAAGAATGATAATGTTTTGGATTTAGTTAAGATAAAAGTTAGATTAGATGAACATTTTTATATATTCTCTCGTTTTATGATAAGCAGAATGTTAACATTATCAAGAATAAAGAAATTGGATGCAATATAAATAGCTAAAGACATAAAAAAATAATTAATAGATAGGAATTCACTTGAGATTAGTTCAAATGAATTAGAAGCTATTATATTTTAGACAATGAATAAATTTGGATATTAGAATAACATCTAAAAATATTAAATGGTTTCAAAGTACTAAATCAAAAAATCATAGTTTCTATCGACACAGAACTCCTATGATTATTATCATTTTTGGTGCCCCAAGTATAGGAAAATCTCTATTAGCAAATAACTTAGCAGAAAGACTTAATATTTCTAATGTCTTATAAACTGACATTGTGGAAATGGTCATGAGAAGTATAAATCCAGAATAATTCAATTATGATTAAAATGAAGATTTCATTACTAAATTTAAGAAAGTAACAGAATTAACATTAATTAAGAGAATTGCAGATTGATTAGAAGAGGTGTTTCAACAGATATTTCTAAATGTTTATCTGAAGGCAAAGCAGTAATTATTGAAGGTAGTGCAGCAATGCCAGAATATTATTTAGAAGCTATTGATAAATAAGATCCTTAAAATGATGAATAATAATTATAATTAATTACAAGTTTCACATAAAATGATATTAAACTAAAGAAACCTTAAAGAAAGGATTTATTACTATTTAATTAATAGATAAAATTAAATACTTAATTTAAAATTATCTTTCCTTAACCTGATTAAGATTTAGAAGATGATTAACAGATTTAAAAACATTTGAAATTATGTAAAGATTTAAATAAAATTGTATAATTATTTATTCAATTAGGATTAATCTCATTCAATGATTTTAGGTTTCTTACCTATATTATCTAGAAATGATCATTTATATAATATAGAAAACAATACAAGTAAAAAGATACCAAAAGACTTAATTGAGGAAAAACTTAATTAATATTAATCTATTTAAAATGAATTATTAAAATAAAGAAGTAAATGTATTTTATTACCTATTAATTTACATAATTTAGAAGAAACCTTGGTAATAATTATTTAGATTATATTAGGATACTATGCATGATATTATATTATAAAAAATATTAGATCAATCAACTTGATTTTATGTGTGATTTTATATATCTATATCAAATAATAAAAAGTTATTTTATAAATAAATACGCATTCATTCGAATTTAGAAACTGCTAAATCTTCCTAACTATCTTCTTGTTTTATTTATAATCCATTTATTGAATTGAAACTATCATCAGTTATTTTGCTTTTAATTTCTGGAACATCAATTTACTCTTCTATATCATTTACAGTTTAATTTGGACTATAATTTTATTCTATTTATTAACTACTTAAGTAAAATTATTCATTTGTACTACCTTATTATGAAGATAATCTATTATTTTAAGATGATAATCCTAAGGGTCTAGTAAAAGTGCTTGAAAACTTTCCATATTTTGTTTAATATTCAGAATTATCACTTTCATAATATAAATCTTTCATTCCTTAACTAACTTATGAATATTTGTAACCTAATTCATTATCATCAAATAATTCATGAGAAAAATGACTGCCATTTTAAAATTCTTAAGTATGTCTCAGAAAACTTTAAACAGCTTTTTTTTATAACTAAGTTTAAGTTGTATTTTTAGTTGAATTAGATTTTGAATATATTGGAGGTTTATTTATATTAACTTCTTCTATAACTTATAAACCAGTTGCTAATTTAATAGTTTTTTCAAGTAAACATTCATGAGAAAGCTACTTTGTAAGATTTCCACCAATTTATGTTAATTTTTTAGATCTATTTGATGAAATCTAAGATAATTATTCTTTTTAATTTGATCCTTATATTAAAATAGGTTAAGATTATAATTGCTATTATTATTATATACTTTTAGTTTCATATTATTTTTTCTGATTTATTAATTCTTTTTAATTTTGTTATAATACTTGTATTTTTTTTGAGTTTTTATTTTAAGACAAAGTAGTAGTTTTGGGTTTCGTACTTTAAATAGCATTTTTTGGTAATTCTTAAAAGTTTAAGTTTTTGTATTTGATGTAATTTTTTTTATGATCTGATTCAGTTTAAGGTAATTTCTCTTAAGAATTAGAAATAGTAGATAAACGTCTCTATTATTAAGAACCCAATTAATTCTTTCTTAATTCTGTCTTCTCTGATTAAGCTCTTATACTATTAGGTAATAATTCTAATATTCTCTTCTCACATATCTTTTAAATTAAACATTATCCATCACTATTTTACTAAATTAGAATACTTAATGTTATTAGTTTGATTACCTTCATAGATTTTCTTTAATCTACAAAGAGAATGAATACTTAACATTCTAAATTAATGTTCAGCTTCCTTAAAGAAGCTCTCAATATCAAATGATAGACTAATCCATTTATTTGTTAATATAAAAGCACTTGAGATTTTTACTTCATCTGATTTTTTACTATATGTTTGCTATAAATTGGGACTTACTATTATCCTACAATACTTAATATGTATAAATTCAATAATTACTTCTTATTTATTCTGAAGTTCTAGTATCAATTTTAGCTTTTCAATCAAATATATTTGAATGTATAATTTGGAACCTTTAATATATACATCATTAGAGTTATGGTAGGTGAATAAATTAGAAGGTCCGACTTTTAGAACAAAACCTCTATATGAATATTAATTTATACTTTTCATTGTTTTATCAAACATAACATTTTCACATTATTGAGACTTAAGATCTATATATAGAGAAGCAACATTACCTTTACAATCATATAAAATATTTTCTTGATTAATTTTTGGAAGGTGAGTCATAACTACAACTGTAAATATTATATTTATTTAATCATAAAACTAATAATCAAAAAAAGGATTAGCAACATTAGAATTTTTAATAGTTAACTAAAATCTTAAATAGTTAAAAATAACACATTCAAAGTGATTTACATAGGTATTCCAATAATTTGATGATACTTCTATATTATATAAACTTAATTAGGAAAACTAGTAATTTTTTATATAATTTAAATGTAAAAATCTATAATTAGTATTTATAGCATTGATTTATAATTTTTAATATAATTATGTAATAAAATCTTCATTTATACTTATACAATACTTAAGTATTTTTAGAAACCAACATTACAATTATTATTGGATGGAATAAATAATAGATTTTGGATATCCATTTATCAAATAAAATATTAAAAATAGAAGATAAACTTTTGATTATTATTTATATGAAATAATGAATGTAGTTTATGATTTTTTTTTAAGTTCTACATTGCAATTTTAAAGAATTCTTCTTTTGTCTAAAATTGTTTTTGTTTATTAATAATTTTTATATTATAATTAACATAAAAATGGATAACTCTGAAACAAAAGAAATCTAAGAAAAATAATTTATATGCATTGATCCAAAGTGTGATTAATCAAATAGATTATTCAAATCAAAAAATGAAAATCATCCTCATAAATCTCATGATCATTAATTATACTCTGAATTCCAAAAATTAATTCGTGCACAATTTCCATAATAGATTAGAGAATAAATAAATCAATAATTCAGCAAAGATGAATTAATCAAAGCAATCTAAACTAGATCAGTATAAATGCATGAGTCTGTCAAAAATTTTGAAGAAAATCTAATAAAGTATATGTAACTCATTATGAATCTTTAGAACTATCGAAGCCTATGATATTTTAGGTGCTGATAAAGTTTCTATTAATCAAGCTTTAAGTTAATTAAATGAACAAAATCCTCCTTAACAACTTAATATTTAAGGATTAATGCATGTACTAAAATTCAATAAATTGGGTCCCTAAAAGGTTTTGGAAAAATGGAAAAGAGAAAATGAAATAATCCTTAAAGAACTTAGTACATAAGCAGATACAGCCTTAAAAACTTTAGGGAATGTAACAATTGCAAGTTATATGCATATTTAACATTTATAAAGTCCTTTGATTTTATAAAAGTAAATAATTAAACTATTAATAGAATGCACTTTGCTTGGAGTTAAAGTTATAAAGCAAGTTCGGTAACAATTAGAGAAGATGCAGCTTATGAAAAGGGAAATTCTATGGGATTAGTGTGTATTTAATAGATTTTGGAAAAAGATTAAGTTTAGAGTATTACAATAGATGTTAAAGAAAGAGCTGGAGTATTATTCAATATTAATATATAGAATCTTTATATAGGAGTTGTAGATATGAATGAAAGAAAATAAAGAGGTAGAAAGGCTTTCAGTTTCCATGATTGGAATGAATCAGGACATGGGTTATATTTAATATATCATGGTGGATGTATAAGAATATTTAAAAAAATTAGATGTTTTTAGTTCAAATGATTAATCTATAAATACTAAGAAAGCAGGCTTTACATTTGATTAAAATGACAAGATCATCCTTACCTGGAATGGTCCTGAACATTCTGTCACTATTCTTAAAGTTGGAAGTAGTAATGTAATAATCAAAATGGATTATAATAGTAATTTACTTTTAAAGTCAATCCTGATGGACAATACCATTTTGCAGCAGGTTTGTTCAAATGTGAAATAAGATTGATTGAATGATCCATTATTTTCTAATGATTAAATAAATATGAAAGAATATTTTTTTTTATAAATTCTATCCAAAAATTGTTATGTCTTTATTTATTAAAGAATTTTTTTTAATTTAAATTCAATCCTTATATTTGATAATATAATTTATGAAATCTAAAGGTAAATCAAATAAGAGTAAACAATAATAAGTTGACTTTTATACTAAAAAGGATATACTTTAAAGAATTAAAGTAACTGAAGATATTACAGAAATACTTGAATATACTACTAATTAAGATAATGAAATTAGACTTGCTGCAACATCTCAATTATGTCCATGTAAAGTTTAAGAAGATGTTCCTGAATTTTGGGATAGAGTTTTTGAATTAGCAGATGATCTTGATGCTAAAATAAGAGCAAGAGTTTTACATATTATTTGTGATGGATCACCTAATAGATTGTAAAATGAAGTGATGGATGCTCTTTATAAATTTAATAGAGATTCTGATTAGGAAATAAGAAGATAAGCACATAAAGTAATTGCAAAAGCATAAAAAGGTACTTGGAATGTTTTATGAATACTAAAAATTTAAATTTATAAAAATCAAAATTAATTATATTATTTGCTTATAGTTCTTTATGTATCTTCAAATACTTTGCAATTATTATTTGAATACTCCTTTCTTTTTGTATTAGAATGATATTAATGTTCATAAGAATTATCATTTTCTTATTCTTGTTCATTATTTTCAATTTTAAATTATTATTATGGATAATTTATTGATAATCTATTTGATTGATAAAGACTCTTATTATAATATGGTTCAATAGGTTAAATAGTCAATGCTCTATTCATTTTCTTTATAGGATTTATTTTAGTTGATGGAAATAATGCTTCTTCTAAAGACTATTATGTAATTTTTTATGTTTCATAATATTATTAATTTATTTATTGATTAATCTTTGAACCTTCAAGTAATTTATCTATTTAAGATTATTATTTTATATTAATTTGTTTTAATTCTTTATTTTCATTTTAAAATTGAATCAAATCTCCATGTAATTAATTTAATATTCCACCATTATTTATTGAATTTGATTAGATTTATAATTTCTCAATTTCTTGTTTCAATCTTTCAACCTCTTAACATTTAATCTCAAAGCGGTGATTTAAATCTAATCTTATTAATTTTTCTTCCTTTAATTCTTTATGTGTTTTTATAAGATCATTTTCTAATTCAATAATTTATTGTTCTTTAAGTTGTTTATATTAATGAAATTTTTATTTTTCTAATCGTAATTCTTCCTCTTTTCCTTATTCATCTAATGTACTCAATTGATTTAATTAATTTCCGCCTCTCTACAATTTCTCTATTTCTTTTTGTAAATGCTAAATCTCTAAATTAGCCATCTTTTAAGCTTCTGACATTCTATCTAATTCTTAAATAAGAATATTTATTCTCTGTAAACAACCCTTATGTTTTTAATCAGTAAGCAATGAATCAGTTCTAGGAACATTTAATGTGTTCCCTTAGGATTTAATTCTATCTTTTTCGATTATAGAGCCTCTTTAAGAATATAAATTAAACATAAATAAATTTAATTTCTAAATAAGTATACTATTTATTAATTAGTAGTATATAATAATATTTAAATTTATAAGAAAATCAATTTTATTCTGATTGATTATTCAAAAATATTCACATATTTTTAATAATATCTTATTTAATCTTCCTAAATAGCTTATACTTTGGATAATTGTTTATTAAATAAAGTAATTTTAAAGTCTTTACTATTTTGACCTTATTATATAAAGTCTATAGATAATATATATATTTTAGTTAAGTGGATTATATATATTTATGTAATATCAAATTTTAATTATTTTATTAATTGTTTTTAATATGGCTGAAGAGTACGATGAAGAATTTGGAGAGGTGCAATATTATAAAAAATAGGTAGCTTGGATTAGTGATTGGTGATTTAAACATCCCATCAAGGGCTTCTGATTTACCTCCTCAATTTAAGGATCTTTTAGTTCCTAATAAAGTCTAATATGTATTTTGCACAGGAAATGTTGGGAATAGAGAAACTACAGATTGGTTGAAGACATTATCTGGAAATACTCATTTTGTAAAAGGTGATTTCGATGAAGCAAAAGATATTCCTGAAACAAAAATCATATAGATTGGCTCATGGAAATTGGCTTTAGTACATGGTCATCAAGTAAAAATGAAAATTAATATAATAGATAGTTCCTGCTGGAGATGATGAGTCTTTATATGCATTTTTGAAAGAGATGGAAGCTGATGTGCTCATTACAGGTTATACAGGTGTTGCTAAAGTATCAGCTGTAGAGAAAAAATATATTATTAATCCTGGATCTGTTACTGGAGGTTTTAATGGATAATAAACGTAATTGTAATTGATTATTTAGATCTATTCCATCCTTCTTAATATTGGAATTTAAAAAGGAAAAAATTTAAGTTTTTATCTACACTCTAGATGGAGAAGTTAAAATAGATAAACAAGAATTGCCATTATAGAAATGAATAAAATAAAATTTAGTATCATTAATATTGTTATGAAAGCCAATAATCTTGCCCTTTAAAAATGCAAGCTCTCTCTCTTAAGACATCTAAGGCATCCCAAAAATCTTAGTCAGCAATATCAGGATTTCTAGATTCAAATTCATACTAGGATTGTCTATAATAAAAAATTTTGTCTTGTGAATTTTCTAATTACTACTACCAATTTTAAAATAGTCTCTAAATTTCCTTTTATTTGATTCTGTATTATTTAAAATAATTATAAATAGCTAAAGGCATCCCAAATATTAACATGATTATGATAAGGTAGAATACCAAACTAAGGCCTTTTTCATTTGAGATCATAAAACAATAAAAATTATTAATATATTTATGCAATTTAATAATAACACTTTGATGTATAGAGATATTGTGCTATTATAAATTAGAAGAAAAGAATCAGAAATATTATCAAATTTAAATAAAATTATTTGGAATTAGTACTCTCTTTGTTTATTTGATAAGAATTATTGATAAGAATTAAATAAAAATAAATTAATAATTAGAATTTTGATATAACTCCCAAGGTTTCTGATAAAAAAATGAAATATAATAATTAAAATTTAATAAGAATTCAGCATTAATTATTATTATCCACAAAAATAGCTTCACCTTTAGCAATTATCGTAAGAGCTTTAATAAAGAACTTTTTATCTATAAGTACTAATTCTGCATTCAAATCAGTCTTAGATTATAATTTATTTTAAAGTATTGCATTATTTAATCTATTTAATCTTAAAAATAAATTGTCTAATTTAAGATTTATTCTTCCTGGTTATTCAGTTTCAAAATATTTCCCTCTACATTCTGTTATAATTTCACCACATTATATTGTGGATTTTGAATATACTTTTCCATCAATTATTTATAATTTTAGCATATCAGAATCACAAATGATATAATGTTCTGGAATAGGTTTTTATTTTTGCTATTCCCAATAATCAAAAAAGTTTTCTCCTTTATATGCCTTCATTTGATCATAAAATGATTTCCAATAAGAAAATGAATAATCAAAAAATAACTCTTCACCTGCCTTAACATTCTTTGATGCCACCAAAAATGCTTTATCATTTTTTATTGATAATTCAACATTATGTTTTAAATGTTCATGAATAGGAAAAACACCGAAATTTAAGCTTTACTCTTCCATAGGTGTTAAAAGACCAAATCTTACAATATCATTAAATCTAGATGATAATGAACGACCAATAACTGAATATTTTTCATTTATTTAAAGCATTCTATCTTCAAGCATAAAACATTATGCCCAAGAGTATTTTGCATTAATTACTAATATATTAATGTAATTTACTTTTTCCTCTATATTCTACTAGAATTTATCCTTTTGTAAGATCATTTTTTGCAAATACACCTAATCCAGAATTTGGTATTGTAGATGGTTTAGTAAATAATTACAAATAATCACTTTTCATTATTTTAATATATGATAATTATGAGAGTAATGTTATTAAAAAGTAATAAAAATCAAAAATATTAATAATCCGCAAAAACCATAAATGACAATCTTTAGTCTTGTTTTTTATGTTTTAATTACTAAAGTTTAGTAAAAAGACTAAAATTCAATTTATTAGTTTAATTCCTAAAAATAACACTACTCTATTTTTTTTTTGTTGAATTTGCTCTTTGAAAACTATTTGCTCTTGAAGATTTATTTTAATTATTAAAATCTTCAGAGCATTTATTTTCTTAAAGTTAATTTTCATTAATTGAACAATTATGAAAGTTATTAACATCCATCAATTGAAGTGAAGCTCTTTTTTTACCTTAAACTTTAGATTTAGAGAGATTGGTTTAATTAAAATCTTAATTTCTTTCAGCAGACTAAGCACAAGATTTCAGTTCTGTTTAATATAGTTTTTTTAATCTTTAATATGAATTCTAAGAGTTATGAGAACAGATTAGACTCTTTGATAAACAAACTTATTCAACTTCACCAGAGATTCTATCACTTAAAGAATTTTATTTTGATCTGTCACTAATATAAGACTTAAGTCTGTTTATTCTTGAATATAAACTTAATCTTGTCTTGTATTCATCCTCAATTTTATTTTACTTTGATAATTAATTATTATCTTATCCTAGTTCATCTGAGTCCCTAAAAGTTTCAGCCATTGTTTATCTTCTAGATACTCTCAAGTTGGAATTGAAAAATTATGTTTTTTTAATCATTTCTTTCTCAAATGTTTCAGTCATATCATAACATCTAGGATATACATAAGGTTTTAGACTCATTTTCCTTTTTTATAATTTACCTTTACTAGAGTTCATTTATATTAATTGATCTCAATTATAATAAAATTTATATTAACAATAATTTTATATATATGAGTAATCAAACAGCAAAATTTTAAGTTATCAAAGATGTTTAAAATAGATTAAACAAAATATTCATAAGAAATAAAAACAATATTAAAAGCAGAAATTACAATTGTATAAAATACGTATATGATTAGAAATCATTATTCAATTTCTTTAAGTATTTTGTCTCCTTCATCTAAAGCTCTTTTCATGTTCTCCTTAAATTATTTAAGAAAGGTTTTAAAACTCTAAATTACAGATTGAAATTATGACTATCCCCTTTTTGTCTTTGCTTTGAATTGTTTCTATATCTTTAATACTTCAGATATTTATTATTTATGTTTTTTAGCTGCTGTAAATTTTTTCTTGATCTTCTTCATTATAGTATTTGCTTTAGCCATTTTTGCTTTTGAAGATCCAATCATAATAATATCTGGACTTGAATCAGATTTTCTTTCTTCTGTAATTTGTATATTTGAGTTTGGAGCCTTTTTTTTTTATTTGGGCGGTCTTCCTCTTTTTATTTTTGTACAAACACTAGTTTAAGGTTAACTTATAAGTTGTTTTTTATTTTCTGTATAATCATTATCACTATCAATATTTGATGATGTTAGTAGATCTATCTCTAGGTCTTCAGATATCATATATTAATAAATTGGTTATAATACTAATATTGTATTTAAAGTAGAAAGACAAAAAAGCCTGTAAAAAAATTGGTTAATTATAATTATTAGCAAATGATGTGTTCAATACTCTTATTAAATATATATATAAACTAAATTGCACATTCAATTTATCTATAAACATATTATCAATACAAGATTATATATACTTATACTTCTTATTAATAACTATAGATTTTTCTTAATGGAACAATTATTGATATATTTTAAATTTAAAGTGTTCATTTTAGTTGAATTTATAATAAAAAATTCAAATGAACAATAATCGAAGAAGATAATCTCATTCTGCCGAAAGAGTTAATTAACAGTCTTCAATAAAAGTTTAATCAGAATAAAAGCCTCCTTTTCTTTTAGATCTATAAAATGAAATGGAGTATATAGAAGACATTTTGATTTTGATGGCGCGAATAAATCGAACTCAATTTTAAGAACCTCAATAATTGAAGCATGCCCTTAAAACATAGAACTCAGTATATTTAAGTATTAAGATACTCTACAATCACTAGACATTTTATAACTTATTATGAATGTAATTGATCCTTACTTAGAAATCAAAAGTTTTTCTGATGAAAAATTTTAGTTATTATTAAAGAGACTTGGTTACCCTTGTAAACATATGTCAAAAACAAGATTTATGAGCTTAGGATCCTCACATACTTATCTATAATCGCTTCATATTTTATCGTGGCTTTGTAGATAAGCTTAATAAATCATATAAATAAATGAACGAATAGAAAATGGCTAATATTAACCAATTGAGATAGAAAATGAATCATTTTCAAATAAAATAAAAAAGAAATTAGCAGAGTATCTAGTTTACCTACTAAATTAGATATTTACAAGATGGTTATATAGGTACAATTGATGACTCAGCCTTGGAGAAATGCTATAGAGATGCAAAATAAAAATTGACACTTGAGTTAATGTAGTTGTAAAAAGATATATCCAAGTTGACTTGTGAATTGAATGTAATTAAAACATAAGAGCCAAATTTACCTGAAATAGAAGAATAATATAAAAATTTAGATGCTGAATTAATGTAAGTAACTTAAGAAACATAAGAAAATTAATAAATTTTAGAATCAACTAGGTAGGAGATTAATTAAAATATGAATAAATATTTAGAAGTTGATAATGAAATTATAAAGGTACATAAATTAATAGAATCAAAAAGATAATATATAGCCTAATAACCAATTAAAATTGATAAAGCTAAAGAGATGGAGGCTAAAGATTATTAATTAACAATTTAATCTTAATAATTATTAAATGAATTATAAAAATATTAAAAAGAAATTGATAAAGCAAGATAAGAAAAAACAGAAATGCTTTGTAAAATATCAAATATTATTTAAATGTTAAATTCAGGAAAAGTCAAATTTGATAAAGATTATGAAACTTTTGAAAAAAACCTTTATTCATATTAATAAAAATTAGAATAAAATAATGGAATTTAAATAGGTGAAGATGAAAATTTATTGGATATGGAATTAGATGCATAATTTGAATAAAAACTTGTTAATGAATAAATAGATTATAAAAGTAGAAAGAGTCTAGTTGCTTATGATTTAATCTAAAAATAAGATACTGATTCTATACTAAAATTATTATTGCCAAATAAAGAGCAAATTCTCTAAGATCTTAATCAATAATTATAAGATATTTTAAATAAACTTTCTATTAGTAAAAGACAAGCTTTAGAAATGAAAAATGAATTAAATTAAAAATTAAAATAATTAGAAGATATAGAATGTGCTAAAAAAATGATTATTTAAGAGATTAGTTAATTAAATGATTCTACAGAAGAACTTAAAGTTTTAAAATAAATATATTTAGAACATCAAGAAAAATAATAAATATTACTTAAAGAAATGGAATAAAAGAAATTAGAAATCAAATTTATTGTTGATAGAAAGAATTTAGATGTTATTGAAATTGATAGATTAAAAAAATAAAATTAAGAAAATCAAGAAGTAATATTTTGCATGCAACAATAAGCAGAAATAATTGAAGAAAAAAATACATAATTATAATAACAATTTAAAGATTGGGTTAAAGATAACTTAGATCAATTTTTGTCTTTGATTTAAGAAGTGAAAATTTGATAAATTAAAAATATTAAATTAATCAAATTATTTAAGTTTTTTTTATTTAAATCAAATTAATAATGTATTTATAAATGTTTTTAATATTTATTAAATGAATTCTTAATTAATTCTAAGACAAAATACTAATAATCATAATATTCATTATTCAATTTTTCTTAGGATAATTAGTATAATTTATAATTTAATTATCATTAATTCTCTTGCAATTTATATTAATTTTATGATGTTAGAATAATGTAGTATCAATTATTATTAGAATTAATTGAATTTATTAAAAATCTATAAATTAAATTTAAATCATTTATAATATAATCTATAAGTATAAACATACGCTGTTATTAAAAACATCTAATGGTCTTTGATATATTTAATAATTAGTATAAATACATATATTAGAAACTAATAAATTTCAAAGTATCAAGGTAATTTTCTTAAATTATTTGATGGATATTTTCAATTTATTTCAGTTAATGTTTAAGAAATAAATTTAAAAATTCTAGGCTTGTTATAAAAATCAAAATTACTCTCTTCAAAATAAAAATTAAATACAACACAGAGAGATCTCACTTGATAAAAAATAATTTATTTTACACTATATTTATCTAATTATTTATTTTCATAAGATACAAACATTATTATATTAAATAAGATATAAAATTAATACTTTTACATAATTATCTTTATTCAATTTAATGAAGTATTAAAATATAAAAATAATCATATGGTGTTTTGAATAAAAAAATTATAATAATCTAATAAATATAATATTAATTTAAATAATTTTATGTAAATTTGATCTTATCTTATAAATAACAATTATATATTGATGAATTAATTTTTTGGTTTTTATAACTTGATTTTATAATATAAAAATATAGTTTTAAAGATGGATTTAAGATCCTATTTTAAATTTTAAGGTAGATTAAATTTATTAAATAGCTTGAAAAATCAAAATAATAATCTATAAATATTAGAAGTGCATCTCAAATTATTCTTACTTATATATATTAGTAATATTACAGATTATACTATGTTATAAAGAATAATTAATATTTATTATAATTATTTGTTAATATGAGTGTCTCTGAAAATTCGTAATAAATATATGAAGAACTTATGGTAATGATATTAATATTCTATTTTAGGATAAAATCAAAAGTAATTCAGAAATAAAAGAGAAATTTGATAGTAGAACTTAAAGTGGATTATTAGATAAAGATTATGCTCATGAAGTCTTGATAGATTGGAGCGATTTACTAAATTATGATCTCAGTGATGCTATAACTTATTTTGATCTTGATAATCCTGATATTCCTCCTGAAGAGATCAGATAGCACTTAGATTTTGACAGTTTCATAAATCTAGTTGATAAATGGTTATAGAAGCAATTATTATAAACATCTCCAAAATAAAAACAAAGTACAAACTAAGATCAGTATTGGTTTAAGAGTGAACCTGGAACATTGAATACAGAACAAAGTGATTTAAAGCATTAAGAATAATTAATAAAAGCAATTTTTGAGAGTTAAGAAAGTAAGACAAAAAAGGTATTTAATGAATATGCAATGATGAATGATTAAAATGATACAATAAGTAAGTAAGATTTTCCCCTTTTATTAAAAAATTTGTTGTATCAACATAATGCATCAATTTATGAAAAAGGAGGTTAAGAGGATTATTTTATGAGAAGTAATTCATATGGTAATTTAAATAACTTTTTGAAAGATGACTAAATTAATTATTAATAATTTAAAGAGGCAGCAATATAATTCATAAAAGGAAATCAAGATTTAATTCTTTTAGATAATGAATAAATCAATAAAAAAAAAGAAAAATAATAACCTTAAGTTCAACCTAATTTAGAAGAAGAACTTTTATAATAAATTGATAAATATCAATAGATTTTATAAACAACTGAACCTGAAATTGAGAAGTAGGTTCTTAGAAATATGATAACCACTTTAGTCCGTTAATTAGATTTAATAAGAGATAACACTATGAGATTAGATGAAACATAAATTAATTCATCTATGAAACCTAAAGCAAATCTATAGGTCTCTTTTTCAGGTATTGTTAGACCTGAAAAAAGAACAAAAACAAAAGAAGAGATTGAAATTGAAAAAAGAGATCATTAAATATTGGAAATTTTTCTATTTTTTGCTAAATAATAGTATGTCAATGGAGTTGCTTATGAATTTGATAGATATTCAAAAGAAGCTTAAAGTTTAAGTTTAGGTATGTTCTTATATTTTTGTAAATGTTTTAATTTGATTGAAACTCATGTAAGAAAACCAAATGAAGAAAATTTATTAGAAAGAAAAAAGAGAGGAGAAGATGTAAATATTACTCGATTGAATTAAACAATAATAAATAAAAGTGTATAAGAAGAGGAGAAATAAGTAGAATAAGTTTCAACAATTATATCTCCAAAACAAAAACCTCCAACTGTTCCAGTTGATATTCAAAAAGTTGAAAATTTACCAAGAAGAAATAAATATTCTCATGTCCCTTCAAAATTTGAGTAAAATTCTATTTCTATATCATAGATGGTGGAATGATGAATTAAAGTTTGATAAATACTACAATCCAAACCAAAATCCTTTACCTCAACAAATCTTAGATGATATGAAATATTTAACTAAAGATGAAATCAAAAGTTTATTTAAAAGAAGTGCCTTTGGAAAAGATGTATACAAAATTAATTTAAATAGCTCGATTTTGAAGAATTTAAATGCCTCTTAGGATTTATGGCAAATCTTATGTTTAAATAAAATGGAGAAAGACATCCTCATGCCTATTAATTGATATTAAGACTAATGTATATTGATTATCCAGAGGAATACAGAAAAAGATTAATTCCTATTAAAATACCATTTAATTGCAAAGAAAAAATTGGTTTCAGATAATTGCCAGGTTATGAACACCATGAATATAAAGGCAGATAATTATCTTAATAAGAAAAACAACAATTATAAAAATTAAAACAAGAAAGAGAAAATTAATTAAGAGAGAGACTTACTGAAAATCCTAATCAAAGCATAAGATCTATAGGATCAATTAATTCTCAATCTATTACTAATTTACCCTATAATAAATAATAAGGCAGATTCTTAAATGGAAGAATAGATTTAGATAGAGAAAAAGTATCATGGGCAAAACTTGAGAATTTAAATCCAAATGATTTAAGTGGTCATGGTAGAAATTTTAAGCCTTAAGATTTGATTGATGAATTTGAAGATGAAGAAGATAGGTAATTAATTTTATTTATAATTATATTTAGATTCTTCTTAAAAGAATTCTCACTTGAAGAAGATAAAAAAAATCAATTAAAACCTGAAGAAGTTTAAAAAAATTTAGAAAAGTATGGTGCTTATAAACCTCCAAAGAGACCTACTTAAAAACATTAAATGAGCCAACCTTAACTATTAAACCAAAGATATGATTAGAAAAGCGTTGATATGAAAAATTAGTACTTGTAAAGAGCTAATCAAATTTAGTAACTACAAAATAAAAAAGAGTAATAACTACTCTAAAAAATAAATAAATAATATAAAATTTGATTATTTTTAAAATAATTATATTTATTTAATTTTATATTCTTATATTTATGAGGATAAAGATAAAATTATTACTATAATATTGGTATTTTAACCTAACTCATTTATTTAATGATTATTAAAATCAATATTTATAATTTATATTTATAATTTATAAAATATTCTAATTAAAACAATTTATAATTTGAATATCAAATTGATAATAAGATATTGATATTATTCAATTGAAAGATTCATTTCTTTTTAAAATCAGGTGATTTGTCATCAAAACTGGCATCATTATCAGAAAAAACATTTCCTACAGGTTATTCTTCAGAATCGTCTTTTTTGAATAGAGTATTTTTGAATGTTTTAATTTATTCAGTTGGAGGCTTATCACCTTAATTGATTAATGAACTTAATATATTTTTAGCCTTAATTTATTTCTTTGATGATTTGGTTCCTCCAAAAAATTGTTCTAGTTCATCTTCAGAATTATAATTATAAACATCAGAATCAGAATGATTTTCAAGTTTTTCATTTTATATTTTGATCTTTTCTTAAAGCTATATAACACTTGTATCTGAATTAATTGTAAGTTATCTTGACATCTTATTATTTTATGAATGAATTGAATCCTTCATCATAGATCTTTATGCATCTGATAATTATTAAATTCCACTGTCTCCTTCATGAATATTTTCTATAACAACTTTATCTTCTTCTTCAGAACTTCCATAACCTCCATTTTGTACCCTTTATATTTATTTTTCTAATTTCTTTTTTCTTTCTTCTATTGCTATTAAAGCCAATTATTTATGATGTTCTATAAAATTGTTTATGTCAATATACGTTGGAGTGGTCTTCGGATTTTTATTTGATGTCTCCCTTACAGCTATACAATTTCCCATTATATATAAATTAATGAATTACCCTTTTAATCCATCCCCTTCATATTCATTCAGCGTTGCTAAAAAGTACCAATAATTTAAGTCCATAGAATACAATCACATTTTTTGTTGCCCTAAATTAGTATGGGGCCAGGTCGATATAATCCTAAAACTGAGAGAAAAGGAGGAACACTTAACTTTGGATCATACAGTTAACGCAAAATGGTATTGGCATAGGATACTTTAACTCCTGGACCTCTTCATTATACAATTAATACTCATAGAAGTTAAGGTGTTTCCTTTGCGAATTCTAAAAAAACTTTATAGAAACCATTTCGAAGTCCTGGGCCAGGGTATTTTTACAAAAAATTAGGCAATATTTATCTATAGGAGAACCTCACAGTAGACTTGGAGGATCTATATCAAGAACATCAAGAAATAACAATTTCGATAATTAAATTCCTGGAGCTGGTCATTATCCAATTAAATCTACATTAAATAGTCTAGGCTTTAAATTTAAATAATTACATAAGCGAGCTAAGACTGATCATATGAGTCCTGGTCCTGGATCCTATTCAATCTTGTAGGATTCAATGAATCATGGTGTCAAAATGCATAACTCAAAAAGAACTTGGTCATATATTTTAAAAACTGAGACTCCTGGTCCTGGAACCTATTAAAGTGAAAGTTTCATTTAAAACAGAGTTTCATCAAAACATTCAAAAACCTCATCAAAAGAGTAATCAAAAATTCTAAATAAATGCTTTTCATAACATGAATCAAAATAATAATCTAATAAATTAGGAACATTTTCTTAATCTAAAGGGAATCTTGATTCTCATGGAAGTTTAACTTCAAGATAAAAGTTTAAATCTAATCATATCACCCAATAATAAAATATTAGTGATGCTTATAATAGAATGAGGGAATATGGTAAATTAAAAGTAACTTTCACAAAATAAGTTAGAAAAGAGGAATTTCTTGATGAATTTTCTAGTAGTAATCCGAAAAAGATTAGTAGATCTCCAGGTCCAGCTATTTATGCTGATATCAAATTCAAACCTAATACAAAATTGGGTTTTGTACCAACTTCAAAAAAAGGAGAAGTATTCAAACCAAAAGAAGGACCTGGAGTTGGAGAATATTCTAAAATAATACCTTTTGGTAAAGTTTACAATAAACATATAACACCAAAGAGATAATTTTTTAAATTTAAAGACCTTAATTAATTTGATTTTGACTAATGACTAATTCTATATTGATAATTAATATATCATGATATCATAAATTCAATTAAAGTGGAGTTATTTACAGAAGGGGAAGGAGGAGAATGTTCTTGTAAATTACTATTAATGTATAGATTTTTTAATAAAAATATAAGAAATTTCGCTTTTTTTTCATTAATTCCAATTGTTAGGATTGGCTTATGCGATAAGAGTATTAACTAAGACAGAGGTATGATCTTTTAAGATAAATCAAATATTGGTCATAGAAATTATTTACTTTATTCTAGTTTTAGTTCTAGTTCTAGTGGTTCATGTAATTTAATATCTAATTAAAGCCTTATATAGTCATTGGGATGAAGAGATTAATTACAATTAAGGAGGGTTTGTCTCAAAAAAGATGATTAAATAGATGTTTCGTATTTAATAGAAAATAGTATCTTGAAAATAGTTGATATCAATAATCGAAAAAGAAGTGTAATGGTTTAAACAAAAATTCATAAGTTAGAAGATCTACACCTTTGTGTTGTAATAATCTCAGGGGCATTACAATTTATATATGATTAATTATATCATTATTTTTAAGTATCTAAACAACTTGGATCAACATAAGAATCTCTTTTAACACAACCTAAAGCTACCAATAATTTCTGCATAAAAGTTTCATTTTTTTATTTAACTGTTTATGATCGTATCTCTTTTTTCTAAGAATCAGAATGTCTACTACGACGGTATTGCTACTTATAATCTTGAATGGAATTTTCAGTTTGAGTTTAAAATGTTAAGTTTTACCTGAGAAAAGATTATTAAGAAGTAGCTGTAGATTTAGAGAGATATTAATTTTCTTAATGCATAGTACTACCATTAACTCTAACTCTATTTTATGGGATTGATAACATTTCTAATTCAAATTCATTCTTTTTGAGCCATTTATGATTCAAGATCTATTTTATTGTTAATCTATCTTTTTGTTTATATTTGATAAGACCAGTAATGAGATCCTTAACATCAGAACTCAAATTATTATCAATAATTTAGTAGTTGATCTTTACTATATTATTACATTTCTCAATGTCGTTTTTACCTTTGAATGGAGCTTCACCATGTAATAATTCATATAATAGTATTCCTAAACACCATATATCTAGAGTGTGATCATGAGGTCTATCTTCAATCATCTCAGGGGCCATATAATCTATTGTTCCACAAAATGTGCTTCTTTTTTTTGAACCTAAGTTTTCAGCTGACCATCCAAAATCACAAATCTTGACATTATCAGCCACATCCAATAATATGTTTTCAGGCTATATCATGTTTAATAGAAATTACTTTGAGATCTCTATGAATTATATTTTATTGATGTAGATAATCAATTCCTAAACAAGTTTACTTAAAAAATTTTAAAGCTTCGTTTTCATTTAATTTTCCTCTTCTTCTTAATAATTAGAATAAGGATCCATGTTCTGCATATTCCAAAATAAGATAAACCTTATCTTTATCTTCAAAATAGTGAAATAATTATGTGATATTTGGATGATTCAATTTCCTTTGTATTCGAATCTCTCTCTTGAGATTTTCAATCGAACAATACTCAAAAATATCTTTCTTATTCATCTAATGATGATAATCAAATGTACTATCTTCATTGCATGTAACTATCCATTAGTTCTATCTTTTACTAATCTGACTGCTCCAAAACTGCCTTTACCAAGTTATGGATAATCATAAATAAGTTCAAACTCTTCTGGACTTCTTTTCATTTATCTTAGAGTTGACACCTTATCACTATATGCAATTTCCTATGAATTTAACATGTTTTAAGGAATACATTAGTTTTTATGTCCAGATGTCCTTGCATATTAAATCAAATTTACCAATCAATATCTCGACATCTTTGAGAACAATAATAAGAATGTTTACAAAAGGGACAATACACTCTATATTTTGGTATTGGAACCATTTATGAGCCAGCCAAATTATATTGACAGTATCGTGAACTGCAAACGTTCATCAAATAATATATTAATATTATGTAATATTCTCAATAAATATAGAAGTATAGAAAATCGACCAGCTCACCAATTCTTAAACCTCAGAGTCTACCATTAATAAATGAATTAAGATTTGCAATGAGAACCAGAGCAGGAAGCGATTAATAACATTCGGTCAAGATTAATTAGGACAGTTTTATTGCTTGTCGATTGTATAAGGAATAATAATGATAGTAATGGCTATTAATTCTTTGCTATTTGTGATGGTCATGGTTAAAATGGGCATCTAGTATCATAATACCTTAAGAAAAATATCCCAAGTATAAATCATAAGAATTAGTTATTCTAAGAAATTATCTCAAGGACATGTCCTTGAATTCAGAAGGCATTAATTAAGCAATTATTCGTTCATTCTTGAAAATTAATAAGGATCTATTTTAAACAAATATAGATACTAATTTGGCTGGATCAACTTTAGTATCAATATTGATAAAAGATTAATAAGTAGATTGACATAATATTCTATAGATATTCTGTGCAAATGTTGGTGATTCAAGAGCAATTATTTGTTAAAAAGTAAATACTTGGATGGCCATATAAATAAGTGTTGATCATAAACCAAATAATGGAAAAGAAAGAGCTAGAATTTTAAATGCTGATGGTAGAATATCTCAAAGAAAAACATCAGAAGGTTATCCTGCTGGTCCTGAAAGAGTGTATCTAGCATTTTCAGACACTCCAGGATTAGCAATGACAAGAAGTTTTGGTGATAAAATTGCATCAAAAGTTGGAGTAATTGCAGAACCAGGTATTGATGATTTTTATTAAATATAGAGATATTAGAATTTAAGAAAACAAAAGCTCATAAATTTATTGTTCTTGCTTCTGATGGTGTTTGGGATTAATTGACAAATGATGAAGTTATGGATTTGATACTACCTTATTTTAAAGATAAGTAGGTTGAATTGGCCACTGAAAGAGTTGTAAGGGAAGCATTTAATAGATGGAAATAATATTCTATTTTGAGAGATGATATAACTTGCATTGTAATATTTTTATGATTCATATTATAAAAATGTATTTAATAATTTCATTAATTAAGTTATATGTTAATTCCTTTATTTTGTTTCATCTTAATTATTGAATTTACATAAAGTTTTTCAGAAGATAATATTAGAGAAGTCATTTTTAATGCAGATAATTAATGGCAACAATCAATAAATAATACCTAGCAATCAATTTTTAAAGTTAAATATTTAGATACAAAATATTGTTATGTAAGAATTAATCTATTTGAAAATGATCCAAATTTTTTATTAATGGCAGATTATTAATAATTACCAAATATTAGTCTGATATAAATTTATAAATAAGGAGAGAAGATGGATAGAATTAGGTATAAGAAATATTTATTATATTCTATTTAAGCTAATTAGAAAATAGGAAAACCAGGTTTCTTAAATTGAAATTAGGAATGGGAGATATTTATATATTAGCATAATCTAATAATGATAATTAATATGTAATTACTATTATTGGGAGTAATGAAGAATAATGTGATAATGATTGTAATTAAAATGGATTTTGCGCAGTATAAATTATTATAATATAAGCCCATTGGAGTTGGATGCATTTGTAATGAAAATTTTATTGGGATTGATTGTAAAGAAATTGCTCAACCATTATTAATTCAAGCTTAAAAAGTATTAACATTTCCAACTTCAAAATAAATTACTTTTTTTTATATGGATTAATAACTCATAAGGGATTATGCCACAATAAGACTTAAATTTAGTTTACCTGAAAAATATCCTGAGGAACTCAAATATGCTTTAGAAGTAAGATTTTTTAGAACAAAGGCTCTTATAATGTAATTATTTGATAATATGCAAAATTATTTTGATTCTTTTTTTATTGATGACAGAATTTTAACAATAAAAATGAAAATTCTATCTAATTATGATTCTGGTGATACGTACCGATTTATTTGGTTTGCAATTTTAAAAGAATAAATTACTGTTGATTCTTTATAATTAAAAATTGATACTGATTATGAGGAAGATGATAATCAAAGTGATGAAATTAGTAGATTACTATATATTATTATCCCAACAGTTGTAGGTTCAATCATAATATTTCTTCTTATAATTTATTATGTGAAAAAGAGAAAAAATTAAGCAGCTAATTATTAAATACCTGCTCCAATAAATAATATTATTAATGAACCAGAAAAATGTGGAATATGCTTAGAAGAACTTAACATTAAGAATGTAGCTGTAGTCAAGATTCAATGCGAGTAAATAAAATAATCTAATTAAGTCATCAATTCCATCTTCATTGCATTTAAGATTGGGCTAAAAAATAAATCAACAAATAATCTGATTGTCCATACTGCAGAAAACCATTCAATCCAAATGAATTTAAATGATTGTGATAGTGTTTCTGATAATAGTTTAGACTATTTATTACTATTATTAAAATCAACTTAAAACACTTTTCAATTTAAATTCAATAGAAAAGTTATGTAAATTAAGTATTAAACTAATCATAAATGATTTATGTTATTTTTCTAATCTCACATTGTCTATCCTCTATTATTGAAGTTAATTTCAATGATAACTCAAAATGGGAAGGTGAGTTTCAAAATTCATCCAACAATACTTATAGAATCAAACATAATGATTAGGTCTAATATTTTTTTTATATCAAAGTGGAACTAGATATAATAAATCCAAAATTTATGTTGTTGGCTGAAAAGTATTAACCTATTTCAAATCCATTTTCACCAATTCTCAAAGATGGAGAAAATGTTGATGCAACAAAGTAATAACTTCCCATAATTCTATAGTCTATATGAAAACAGATAAATAAGATTTCTCAAAATTGCATCTTTTGATTAAAATATTTATGTTACAACAATTGGTAATGTTGAAGGATAAAGGTATAAGATATCAATTGTAAAAACAAAGAATTCTTCCATTTGTTAAAATGATTGTTCAGGAAATGGCATTTGTGAGGTATTATTTGATCTATTAAAGGAACAAGGATGTTTTTGTGCAATGAATTATACAGGAATTGATTGCAGTTACTTTGCTACACCAATAATTGATAAAATTTCAATAATTGAATACTAAAATGAAAAAAACTACTTTACTTTCTTAACTTTACCTACTTCTTCCCTTTAAGGTTAATAATTCATTCTAAAATTTAAAGTAATTTACTCCTTTTTAGTTTTAGACAAATAACTCTATAGGTTTATAAATTTTAGTTTATAAGACATAGGCTATCATTAATCCTTTTGAATAGCTTTCATTTAATCCAAAATTATGTGATATATTTTAAGTTTCTAAAAATAAAGATCTAGAATTACTTTTAATGGTACCAGAAACGTTTAAATAAAGATAAAGAATTAATTTTGGAATTAAGACTATTTTTCCTAATTTTATATTGTAAGATTTAGAAATCTCTATAGAGGAATATACAAAAGAAGAAATTATATATATATCAGATACTATCATAATAATCATTAGTATTAGTTGTGTTGTTTTTGTATCCTTAATTATAGTATTCTGTTGTTATAAACATTATTAAAGAAAATAATTACAAAGAAGAATGATGATGTAGAATTAAGAAGCTCTACATTCAGGATAAGATAATCACCCTATTATACCTTAATAGATTTAACTTGAAGAAATTTGTTAGAAAAACTTTTTATAAATGTTATCTTCAAAAGAAATTAATCCAGATGAATATTGCTCTATTTGTTTAGAACCTTTAAAATCAGCTTTAGAAGTTAGATAAACAAGATGCCAGTAATTATTATTAGTTATTTTTTTAGTCATAATTTTCATACCTAATGTATAAATTTATGGTTAGAGAAAGCCAAACATGAATGTCCTATATGTAGATAATAACTTGAACTTAAAGCATAGGATGAAATATTAAGAACTTGAAGAAATTAATAAATATTTGTAAGACTAAATAATTGAAATAAATGCATTTATATTTATTATGCATCAAAATATTACTTTTTTTTATTATTTTATATTTATAAGATAAAAGATATTCATTATCTTCTATCAAATCTTTCTAACTTTGCTTCTTTTTCCTTAAATTCTCTTCTTTCCTTTTCATATTATTTTTCATTAAAAAGTTAACATTGCTAAAATTCTCCAACTTACTATAATGTATTTTATATCTATATCAGATCATAATCCTAATTAAATTCAATGTAAATATATTTATAATGGATTATCCTAAAAGCTGATAATTCATATTGCTATTATTTTAAAGCATTAATAATATTATCAAAAGCTTACTTTTAAAATTATAATCTTTAATTCCTTTAGATTTATTAATTATTTCTATCTTCTTCTGGAAATTTAATATAAATAATAAATTTTTAAGTTACTTTAATATCTTCAACAGTGTTCAAATTAATATTGTAATTGCTTTTAAATTAATTTAATTTATTTTTTTGATTTTATAAATCTTATTATGTAAAGTCTTTTGTCAAATTTATAAATATAAATCCAGTCATATAGGCATCAAAACCTGCAGTATGATAAGAATCTTTATCTATATCAACATCTATTTAAATATAATTCATATTATTTTTTATGAATTCAGCTAAATTTTCAACCGAAGTAGATGTCTCAAATTTACTTCTAATTTTTTCTAATGGTTATGCTGATTAAATAATATATTTTGTATCATATATTGTTGGCCAATTTTTAACAATATCTTCCTTAAATTATTCCCAAGATATTGGAGGACATTAAATAAAATGACTATAACAAAACATAATATCTGCAAAACAATTATGTCCTACCATATACTTTTTTGAATTCAAAATACATTCCCATATTTAATAAAATCCTGTTTTTGTTTAAAATCTATTTGTTTTTAATAAATATTTTTCTTCATCTTTTGCCTACTTTTCAGCATTTGTTAATTTTGTTATTTTCATTTCTCCTTTCAATAAAGATTCTCCTATCATATTTTTTTAATATGCTTCTAAGTAAGTATATATAACTTTCCTTTAATATCCATTTGCTGTTTCTATTGTTATCTATTTCTCATCTGATTTATTGAATTTTTCTAATCTGTCTATTAACTCTCGAATCTATATCATTAATTATATATCTTACTGTTTTTTTATCTATTGGTTTAACATCATCTAAGATTTTTTCAAATTGATTCTTCAATTCCTCTTAATCTAATTATTGGAAATCTTTGTTATAATCATCTTGAAGCTTCTAATATTGTGCCCTATTTTAATAGCCTATTCCTTTATTAATCCATCTATTCCAATCCATACCATGCTCACTATTAAAAAATATGGCTCCTACTTATAAACCCACGAAGTCATCTAAACTAATAATTAGAATATTTTCTACTCTTAAGGAAACAAAAAGAATGTATAAGGAAATGCGACATACCCTTTTTATTTTTTGATGAAGATGCACAATCCAAATTGAATTATATTATATTTCATACTTACTTTTCGTGTCTATATGTCATTAAAAATACCTTTAAATATCTTTCAAATGGTAATTCTTCAAATGTATCTTAATAATCTCCTTTTATTCCAGTTAACTCAAGATCAAAACCTAGAAAGTCACATAATTTTATTTGCTCCATTATTGTTTATTTGTTTTGCTCAAAATTATCAAGGTCGATATACATTCTTAATATATTTACTATTATTAATTATATGAAATCATTTCTTAAACAATATCTAAACAATCCCTTTTCTTTTATCAGCAGATTTAATTGCCAATTCATCTATAATTTCTTCCTTTTCTTTTTCTGAGAATTCCAAAAATTAAAACAATGTATTAAGTATTGCCTCTCCTAAATCATAATTGAGATGTTTTGGTCCACAAGCAATTAAAAACTTTTTTAAACAATCCCTCAAATGAGCTTTAGCATGAACAGCTTGAGGATCAACAGAAGTCTTTTGCATAGCCATCATCTTATGTTTATACTAAAATATTCTTTTCAATTACATCTCTGGCTAAATTATTTAATTGTAATATTTGTTCCTCTTTTGCAGCTATTCTTTCTAACAAAATTTAAAACTTACCAATAATTTTCACATTCTCTTCATTAGCTACTTCTAATTTTGATTTCAAAATATTCACCTCTTCAGTATGTGACAATTATTACTTATTTGATGTTGAATGCTATATATAATAATTATTAATATATACTTCTTTCTTATTTTTATCATTATTTACAATAGCAGATATATCTAAATCCCCAATAAATTCACTAATATCATTTTCATTGATTTCTACCTATTGTTCATTTGATTAAAAACTAATATCTTCATTTTTCTCTTCTTTTATATTACTTAATGCTGTTTTAATTGGTAACTTTGCTTTCATAAACTAAATATCCTTTTAATAGCTCAATAAACTGTTTTATTCTTACTGGGATAATTTAAGCTATAAATAATCTCAATTCTTATACATAATTCTAAGCATAAAAGACAGCCTATTAATTTTTTAGTAATTCATCCATTAATGATTATAAACATTAATAATAAGTAAACTTTCTCTCACATTGTTTTTCATGTTAAGATTTAAATTATCTTAAATAATCAAGGATATTATCTTAATTAAATAATGACTTTATTTCATTTAAAATAATTTAACTTTAATCTGCTTATAATTTATTAATCTAAACTTATTTTGCTTATAATTCATTTTATAATGCAGAAATCTCAGAATCTTTTTAAACTATTAAAGCATCTATTTCATTTACTTTGTTTTAGAATTATGCTTTATCATTATCTTTATCATTTTTTAACTATTTTATTTCTTCAATATTTTCATCAATTTATTTAAGTAACTAAGTTTCTTTTAGTAAATTTTTATTTTACATAACTTCAAGCTCATTTCTTAAAACTGAAATTTCTGCATCCTTCTAAGATAATTATTTAATTCCTTCATTATCCTTTTTAATATTCAAAGAATTCTCTTAATCTTTTAAAGCTTCAATTTCATTTTATAGTGTTAAAATTTCTCCATCTTTATATGCAAATAATTTCAATGCTTCATTTTCCCTCTTACTATAATTTGCTATATCTATATCCTTTTAAATTATGACTTCCTTTAATTAATCAACTTACTTTCTCAAAGCTGAAATTTATGAATTTAAATTATCAATTTAAGAATTTAGTTTTTTTTATTCTTGTTGTAGTAAGGATTCAGAATCTTTTAATTATTAATCTAATTATTAATATTATTATTCTTTTAATATGTATTTTTAATTTAAGAGATTTAATTTATTATCTAATTCTATTTTTTAATTATTTATTTATTATTTATTTTCAATTTCTTGTTATAATTCTAATTTTAATGATTATATATCTTATTATTATTAATTAGTTTGTGACTATAATTAATTATTTTATTGTTTTATTTTTTCAAATTCCATTTTTTATAATGTCATTAATTCATCATGATCTTGAATAATTTAATTATTTTCTTATAATAGTTTTTATTCTTAAGCTTAGTTTTCTTAAATAGAATGTGTTATTTGGTCTTCCTTTATTTACAAATTGTTTTCTAATTATAATTTATTTTATTCTAAATTATTTATATATTCTTGTAAAGAAGCTATTAATCTATTTTAAGCTTAATCTGCTTCAATTTTATTTGTTATTTAAACCTAATTATCTACTAACTCTTTATTATTTTTTTTCAAATCTAAAATAGAATTATTCAAAACTGTAAATCTTTCCTGTAATTCTATATTTTTCTAATTTAACTAATTATAATTTTAAGTATCTTAATTAATTTATAATTATAATTTCTTATTATTTTACTCTAGTTCATGATTTGAATGTTACAAAGCATTTATTTCTTGTTAGATTTACTAAGTTATTTATATTCTCTCTTGTATTTAATTTTCAAGCATTAAATTTTATGATTGCAATTATTGAAGTTTATTGTTAGTTTTTTCAAATTCTTTTATTTAATCTAAGATTATAATTTATTTTTCTTTTAATTCATCATTTTTTTAATTTATTTTTAAATCTAAATCATTTATTATATCTATATTATTTGCTATAATTATCTCTCTAGCTTCTAAATTCTTTTACAAATCATTATTTAAGTCTTTTAGATGATTATTATCGTTTTTTATTTATTTAATTTCAACTACTTATTAATCAAACTAATTAGATCTTTCTGTTAAATCATTTCTTAATTTGGAACAATTTGCTTTTTCTTATTGTAATAATAATGTTATCTCATTAATTTTGGATTCTTAAATTTACTTATTTTATTCTAATTCATTTATTTTACTATCTAAATTTTAGATTTATTGTTAATCATTATAAGCTTTTTGAGATAAACTCTATATTTATTATTTTTACTCTTAATTCAAGATTATTAAATTATTCAATTATTAATTTTAATTATCAAGTTATAATTATAAATTCCTAACTTCAAATTCTAGAGTCTCAATATGTAACAGTTCTTATTTCAATTTTAAGTTTTTTTCATTAATTTCATTTTATAGATTTGAAATATTCAATTGTTAGTTGTAATTTAGTTAATTTAATTCTACAATTTTAGTTTAAATCAATTATTACGATTAAGTTTCTAAAGCTTTTGATTATTCTAAGAGAATTTAATATTTTTATTCTTGATCTAAAAGTTATGACTCTAATTTTTTATTAGTTAATTTGCTTTTCTCTTGTTATTCTATTAAGTTACCAATTTGAATCAGTAATTTCTAAGTTTCTTAAGATTGCCTCATAACATTCTTAACTAATTCTGCTTCTCTCACAACTATTTCTGTACTAAACTATGCCTTAGTTTCTTCATTTTATTAATCATTTTTTAAATTTGCAATTTCTAATTGTTTATTAAGATCAGTTATTTTATTCAACTATTCCTATATCATTTCTGATAGTTTTGCTTTTTCTTAATTATCCAAAATCTATTATTAATTAAATAATTATATTTATGAATTTAATTCTTTAATTTATATTTCATATTTCTTAATTATTTCTTTATTCTAATTGTCTTTAAATTGAAGATTCTCTATTTCTTAAAGGAGATTTGTTTAATTTTTATTTTAATTTTATTAACATTATTCTATTTCTTCTAATAATTAAATATTCTTTTAAGTAAGATCTTGATTAATTGATATAAGTTCTTCATTCTCTTAATGTTGAGAATTTAATTCTTCAATTTTTTATTAATTTTCTTTTAAAAAATTCTATCTTTCTATTTTGATTTCTGTTTATAAATCTAAAATTCTAGATTCTAATTGTAAAATTTAATCTTAACCAGAATTTAATTCAGATTCTAATTCACTTAATTTATTTTAAACATTTTCAAGTAAGATTTACTTATCATTTAATTAAATTTAAATCTTTTCAGCCTCATCTAATTCTTAATTTAACCTTTATATTTTATCATTTAATTATTTCTTTTCATCCTCATATTGTTATTTAAGTGTTTTCATTTAAAATTCTAATTAATGTATTTAATTCTAAAGAATTTCTTATTGTTCAGTTATAGTAATTTCATCTTTTTCCTTTTAAATAATTTATTCTTCTAATTTCTTCACCTTTTTCTATAATTCTTATTGTTCAAGCTTTGTTTTTTAATGTTATTATTCAAATAATAGAGTTTATTACTTTTATTACTAAATATAATCCTTCTTTTAATTCTAAAATAATTCTATTTCATGTTGTTTTCCTTATAAGATTTAATCTTTGAAATTTAATGATTCTTATAATTTTTATATAGTTTAATTTAGAGTAGATATTTGTTTTTCATGATGATGAATTGCTCTATCTTATACTAATATTTTTTAGTTTAATCCTTAAAGATCTTTTAGTTATTATTGTAATTAAATAATTTCTTAATTTTTATGTTTTATAGTTTTCTCTTTATTATTAATTTAATCTTAATATTCATTATTAATCTTTGTTAAATCTCTTATTTATTACTCAAAATTTGAGAGACTTTTATTGAGAGAATCAATCTAAGATTTTAAATGTCCTTAAATAGTTGTTTATTCAACACTTTTACTTCTTAGTTGTTCAGGAGTATCATTTAAAATCCTACTATTACTTTCATATTATTATATTATTTAATCTTTACTTTAAATTGTATTATCTAAAATATGAAGTTGTTCTGTATGTTCTTCTTCAAGTCTTTTGATTTATATTTTAAGATTATTAATTTCATCTTCATAATCTAACAATTTAGTTTCTTATTATTTATATGTAAATTAAGCTTACTATAAATCATTCTCTAATTATTTAATTAATTATTGTTATGTTTCTAATTCTTATTAAGACACTAAGTCAAATTGAAATAAACTTTATTATTCTGAATTTCTAATTTCAAAATCTTCTTTTTATGTTTATAATGATTAGACAATTTATTTATTCATTTATTAATCTCTTTAATATTAATCATATAATTCTTAATAAGATTGTTTTAAATCATTATATTTTGATTTCATCTCCTAAAATTTAATTTAATTTTATCCATTTTCTTTTTCTTTTTCTTCTTTCTCAGATTTAAGTTTAGTTATTTATTAATTAAGCTAATTAACTTCAGATATACTATCTCTAGAGCCTATTCTAATATAATGATTAGATATTATAAATACTTATTTTATTTTTACTTTAAATCTACCATCGCTTAATTTAATAATTTAAATTTTTAACTTGAATCATCTTTATAATTTTAATACTCAGAATTAATTTCAAATTTTTATTTCTGCACTAACTAATTAATATATTATTACATTGTTTCTCATTTTCTGTCATTGTAGATAATTATATTTTAAGTAATTTATTTTCATTTTCTAATTAGTTAATTTTTTTTGAATGATTTTATATTAGTTCATGTTCATCATTTATTTATTATTTTAAATTCATAATTTCATTCTCTTTTTCTACCAAAAGATCTTAGAATTAATTTAATTAAGTTTCTAATAATTTATTTTGAGTATTCTTAGAATCAAGACTAGATTATGATTCTACTAAAGGATTTTTATGTTTAAATTTATCATTATCTGAATAATTATCTTAAGGTCTATATGTATTTTATAATTAATTAGAAAATTATTAATTTGAAAATTCTAATTATTGTTTTTTATTTTACAATTTATTTACTTTTGCTTCTAACTTTGTAATTACTGCATATAAATTTTTATTTTATATATTTAAGTCTTTATTCTAAATTTCTTACTAACGCAATTAAGTATTTATTTCAATCAATTTATTATGATCTTATTCCCTACTCTATAAACTACTAGCAATAATTTAATAAAGCTATTCAAAAGTTTGAGGATAAGCATTCTAATGTTTCTCTACCAAAGAATAAAGCTTATTGAATTCGTCTCTCTTGAATAATTGATTAATAATATTTGTATTCTAAAGTTAATTTATAGATATTTGTGCAGCTTAACAAATTTGATTGATTATATTATGCATATTATTATATCCCATAATTATCTCTCTAATATCTTTGAGTAATTGCATCTATAATTTTTATGAAGATCGTTAATTCTATAATTTCTTAGCATTAATCGATATAAACGATAACTCTGAAAGAATTTCAGTCAATAAATCATCAGCCCTATATATCAAAGATAGATTATACCTTACTTATTCAGTTTTATGAGTACCCGTATCATCCATTCGTTTGAGCAACTTTTCCAAAGGCTTCGTAGAAAATTATAAGTTATCACCACTCATTCTGCTCTAAAGTAAATTGGATTTCAAAGCTGATATTTTTTTCTCAATTTACTAATGACTATCCTTCAATAAATTAAATCTAAGAGATGAACCCAATAGTCTATCAGAATCCTAATCTTGATGCTTTGTTGTATATGAATCAATAAGAAAATTTTACGAATTACGAGGACCATAAATCCCAGGAGATATAATCTACCTCAAAGGTTAAGGTGAACTTATTCCAGGTTAAGGAGAATAAAATGCTGTCTAAGTATTTTATCTGCTTTATTTTTACATTATTCAAATTATAAATAAATTTATAATAACAACAAATTCACATTTCTATAAGATTATTTGATATTTCAATCATAACTGTCTAATATTACTGGAAGGATGAAGTCATCAACTTCAACATCTTTTCCAAATACTCCTTAATTTATAAAGAAGTGTAATTAATAATTTAATCAATGGTTTAATAAGCTTTCTAATTTAAAGCTCCATATTGATTCTTCAATTATAATTATTATGCATTCTCCTTAAAATACTTGAATTAAATAAATTACATTCTAGCACATGCATTAGAATGCAATTTTAGGATTTGATTTTATTTAATCTATTTTGAAATGATCTAAAAAGCTTTCATCTAAATCCCATTTTATAACTTCACCCATTTGAAATAATTTTTCTTTTTTTTATTTTAATTGTTAAGAAAACTCTTAATATGAGTTTAAAGATTTGTCTCTCAAAATTATTAATTCTTTAAGAGGTTGTGTTTGATGATATTAAAATCTTTATTGTGGATAAATAGTCTCATTAAATATCTTTATTTAATTTGATTCTAATTTTTATGATGATTCAAATAAGTCGTTTAAATTTTTATAACAATCTTTCAATCTTGTATTTTGTGCTTTTGATTCTCGAAATAATTCCTTATACACATCAGTTAATTAAATCAATGTTTAATTTTTTTATTGCATTTATTTCATTAACTATTTTATTAATTTATAAGCCTTTTTTTAAATAGGTGATATGTTTGTTAAAAAATAATCAGACTATTTTATAAAATTAGCTATTGATTAATTTATTCTAACATTAACTTCACCATTCATATTAGAATAATTAAATTATTGATTAATTGTAAATTATTCTGTTGATAAAAATTCTTGAATAATTGTTAAATTTCTTATTTCACTGTCTGCAATAATAAAATTTAGAAACATTTGCAAATGTCTTAATTATTTAATAAATGTAAAATCAACAGGAGATTTTCTTTGATTTGGAATATTGGGAACTGTAAAATATTTATTCAATGTAGTTTTGAGTAATATAAAGTCATCATATGTTCTCTTGACCACCCAATTAGTAGGTTTAGTTTCAATTTAAAAATAAATAGAAGTGTTCTTAAAAATACCTTTTTAGATCTTCTCATAACCAACAACTGTAGCTTTTACATCTTATATTTATGATATTGCATTTGGAATAGTCTTATTACATTTTAAAATGTAAACATAATCATTTTATTAATCTTAAAATTGTTTAACAAATTCGATTAGTTGATCATAATCCCATTGTTCAAGATCATGACGTTGATCAATACTTTTTTGAAAAGCTTCTATGTTATATCCTTTTTCAATAATCTCTTTGACTAATAAATTTTGTTTTTATTACAAAGACATCTCTATTAAATATTATTATTATTTATGTATAATTGTTCATTAGATTTTCTTTCTCTCCTCTAACAATTTGGCATTTCTAAGTCTTGAAAAGAATTTAAGGACCTCATCAACTAAAACAACAGGAGCAGAAACTGCAATGATTAAAATCCTACAATTTAATAATATTTAAGTACCAATCTTAAATGGATAAGGGTACAGTGTTAAAGATGTTTTCAAATAATGGAACATAACAGATCATGCAATGGAGAGTCATTGATCCACAAATTGCTATAATTAAATATGGATTTGCAAAGATTCCTACTTTCAATAATGATCCATCCTAGAAAAAGTATGATAAAATAATTATACTTCAGATAAAGCATTTAAGGCATTAAACATTTCAATAACAACAAGGACAGAAAGACTTAATGTTGAAGCCTTTTATTTACCCCAAGAGAAATACAAACATGGATCTTTAGAGAAGTCATATTTATCGAAGTTGGCTACTTTGAATCCTTCCCAATGATGGCATTCAGCCCAATTTCTTAATTAATGGAATGTGACAATTGGATGTCCATCACCAGCCCATTCATATCCCAAATAATAATACACAAAAACAAAGACTGTGGCTAAACCAACATATGTTCCAATAACACAATATCTAACAAATACAAATTCAGTGATAATTGGTTCATCATGTTTTCTTGGTGGTTTTTACATAACATCAGGATCAGGTGGATTAAATGATAAGGCTGTAGCAGGAAGACCATCAGTTACTAAATTAACCCATAATAATTATATTGAATTGAATCCATCAGGAATACCTAAGGCTGATGATGTGAATATTGAGACAACTTCACCAATATTTGATGAAATCATATATCTAATAAATCCTTTCATATTTTAATATATTGCTCTTCCTTCTTCAACAGCTCTTACAATAGTTGCAAAGTTATCATCTGCTAAAATCATATCTGATGCTTCTTTTGCTACTTCAGTACCAGAAATACCCATAGCAATACCAATACTAGCTTATTTTAATGCAGGAGCATCATTAACACCATCACCTGTCATAGCAGCTATTTGATTCAATTAACCAGTTAATAATTTAACTAATTCTCTTTTGTGTGATGGATCAGTTCTTGAGAAAACTAATCCACTTGGTTTTCCAATTACTTATTCAAGTACTTTCTTTTATTTTTCTTCTCCCATTGTTGAAAATTCTAATCCTGTAAATGAATGAGTTGGGAATTAAGATTAATTATGTAATATACCAATTTACATAGCAATAGATTATGCTGTTTCTTTGATATCACCAGTAATCATGATAACTGAAATACCAGCTTCTCTACATTTTTCAATGGATCTCTTTACTTCAGGTCTTGGTGGATCTTATAAGGCAACAACACCAATAATAATGGGTTTATTTTCCAAATCTTTATAATTGTTTGTATCAATCAATTAATTATGAGCTGGATGTTTAGGTCCATCATAATCACTCAATTAACCACAATCTTCTTATACACAAATTGCCAATGTTCTTAATCCCTTTTCTGCTAAATCTTTTACAATTTTTAATAATTAATTCTTATCTTAAGCCTTCAATGGAACAACATCACCATTTGAATTTAGAATCATATTTGACTTTTCTAATAAATAATCTGGTGCTCCCTTAATGAATAAGACATTTCCTTTTTCATTATTAGAACTGGCCAAAACAGACATACTTTTTCTATCTCTTGTAAATTCTAAAGTAGCTCTCTTTGTAAATTCACCAACAATCTTTTCATTATATTATTCAGGAGCCTCTAAGATTGGTTTTCCATTAAAAGATTTATCATATTGTCCAATCTTTTCAACCAAAACTTTCAATGCAGCTTCAGTAGGTAATCCACTTCTTTAAACTCTTCCTTTATCTGTGAATAATTTAGATTCATTGCATAATGCCATAGATTAACATAATCTATTAAGATTTCCAGCTAAACCATTTCCTTTTACTAATTTAGCATCCAAACCATCAATCTTTCCTTCTGGGTGATAGGATGTTCCTTCTACAGGGAATACAGTAATTGTTGATGCATCCAATCCTGATAAGAGTACCATTTCTTTAACACACATTTCATTGGTTGTTAAAGTACCTGTCTTATCTGAACAAATAATAGTTGTGCATCCCAAAGTTTAAACTTTAGGTAATTTACGAACAATAGCTTTTTACTTTGCCATTCTTCTAGCTCCCAAAGCTAAACATGTTGTGATAACAGCTGGTAATCCTTCAGGAATAGCAGCAACTGCCAAAGCCACAGCTACCTTGAAATAATACAATGCTCCCATAATAGTTCCTCCATAAGCAGGATCAGAGAAATTGCCAATGTTCATTACCCAACAAATAATACAAATATATGTGACATATTTAGCTAATTTATCTCCAAATTCATCTAATCTTTTTGACAAAGGATCATCATCTTCTTATTTCTCTTTTGCTGCATCCTAGACTTCAGACTAAATCTTTCCAATTTATGTTTTCATTCCAGTGTTACAAACAATACCTATAGCTGTACCATTAGATACTAATGTTCCTGAAAATAAGAAATTTATTTTATCTTAGACAGCAGCCTAATCTTTTAATACTGGTTCGGTTGTCTTATTTACAGGATTCACTTCTCCTGTTAGAATTGACTATAATATTATAAAATATTAAATACCTAATCTGTTTTCAATGTAATTGTTTTTAAATCCACCATTCTCAAATCTGCTGGAATTCTATCTCCTTATTTAATTTCAACGACATCACCAATAACTAAATCCTTTGCTTCAATTTATCCCCAAGTATCATCTCTTAATACTATGGCATGAGGTGATTATAAATCTTTTAGTGCCTATAAATATAAAACGTAATCATACTTCTATTGCTCTCTCTGCATCTAAGTCTTACCAAATACCTACAGCTGCATTTAAGATCAATATAGTAAAGATTACACAAGGCTCCACCCAAGGAGGCACTGCATGAGAATCTTCATGATCTTCAAATTGTGAAATCACAAAAGAAATCACAGCAGCCAACAACAAAATTCTTACTAAGTTATCCTCAAATTGTTCTTTAATCTTTTCCCATATACTCTCCTTCTCTTCCTTTTCAAGTTCATTGTGACCATATTTGGCTAGTCTTGCTTATGCCTCAACTGATGTCAAACCCCTAATAATGTCTAATTTTTATACTTTTATAGATTTGTTTGAACAGCTTTGACTACTTTATCAACAGGATATGTATGAAATGGCTATGTCAAGTCGATCTCTGCCATTAATAAAAAATAAATAATTTATGTAAATCGGCAAAATCTTAATATGCTAAATAATACATTTTTGTTTATAATTAATTTCCTCTTCATAATTATTAATCTTAAATTAACTAAACTTCAAGTACCATTCTAAATTAATTAAATTAATCATTAATTATAATTTATCACTTTTGCAACTTAATATTTAAATATAATAAACAAAGAAAGTATAAAAATATCAAGAATAGTTAAAATCTAATATACAATTTTCTATTTAATGTTAATTCATCAAATTAAAATGAAATATACTATATTACTCCTTAAAAAAATATGTATAAAAATTGTACAGAATTATTTAGTTATTCTAATCTTTAAAAAAATTTTGAATTACAAAAATAATTTTAGAAAGTATATCTATAATTTTTTAGTTTTTATGGTCATAAAAAATAATAAATATTATCAAATGATTTAAAAATAAATAAGAAATATAATTGTTTCTTTATTTCAATAACAATATTTTTTCTCAACCCTGAAAGCAGGATTGTTTTAATCTAAAGCAGAACTATTAACTTTCTTTGGATGCTAATCTTAAGGTGCTTAATTTATATTGCTTTATTTTTCAGGTGACTCAATATCTTGAGATTTAGCAGTAAATTTAGAACTGGAAAAATGAGTAGAATCAGATACAACACTAAATCTAGTTGATTCTTAAGTAGTTGAACGACATTTGATTGGAGTTAATTGAATAAAATGTGAATTATTTTTGCATTTTAACATTTTGATTACCCAATCTGAATTCAAAACTTGCTATATATTAATTCGTTTTTAATGTGCTAACATTTATTGAAATAAAAATTAACATTCTTTAGATAGGTTTTCATTAAATTTAATTGGTTATCTATTACAAATTTTTTCGTATAACTCTTCTTTTTATTTGGCTCTAAATAATAATTCACCATGTAACATATACTGTAAAATTATTAATGAATTTGAGGTACATATAATAGAATTCCCAAGGCCCAGATATCTACTCCTTTGTCGTGACTTTCTTTTTTTATTACTTCTGGTGGCATGTATTCAGTTGTACCACAAATACAAGGTTTGGCTTTACCACCATTTGGTAAGAAAGTTGACCAATTAAAATCACAGACTTTAACATTACTATTTTACAATAATATATTATCAGCTTTTATATCTCTATGAATAATATCTTTTTCATGTAAATAGAGGATAGCTTATGCTATTTAATAAAAATAATGGAATGCTTCTTCTTCAGTTAATTTATTTTTTTTTCTAATCAAATCCTATAAGGTTCCATGTCTGCAATATTCTAATATTATATATATATTATCTCTGTCCTCAAAATGTTCAATGTATTCTACAATATTTTTATGTTTGCATCCTTATAAATAATTCAATTCATTTAAAATGTGCTAAGTTGCAAATATTTGTTTCATATAGCTTTTAGATATCTATATTTGTTAAATAAATACTATTTTTATTGCATATTTTTTATTAATAGCATGATTCAATGCCAATTTAACTTTGCCATAAGTTCCACTTCCTAACTCAATCTATAAAATTTCATATTGATCTTTAAGTAATTTCTTTTGAGTTTGTGGTGCAACTGTAGTTGGTTTGGATGGTTTAGGTGGTAAGTTATAGTAATATTAATTCATTTAAAATGAAAATAAAAAAAAATAAATATTAAGTCAATAAATGAAAAATACCAATTCTATTAAATTAATTCATTTTATTTAAACTAAATTATTACTTCCATATAACTTTAAAATTTTTGAAGATTTGTTAATATAACGATTTGATTCAAAAAATTAAGGTATTCTAAATTTAAGTAGTAGATTATAAAGATATTTATAAGTATCTATATTATTAAATTTAATTTATGAAAATAATTGTCAAAACCTTAAATGGATCGAATTTGGAAATTGAAGTACAAACAACAGAAACAGTAAATATGATTTAAATATTAGGTTCTAAACATTAAACAAAAAATTGAATAGCTTAAGTAATTTGAAATAGATTAATAAAAAATATTAAGAAAAGGTACTATTTTGCAAAATGAATCAACTGTTGGTTAATTGGGACTTCAAGAAAAAGACCTTCTAGTTGTCATGGTCAACGTTAAAGTAACTAATTCAACTACATTAATTTAGAAAGAACCTTCTAAACAATAATCTTTTTAATAATAATTTCAATAGTAACCTTAGTAAACACAATCTATTTAAGAATAAAAACCTATGTAAATGCCAAAAACAATTATTAACTAAGAATATTTGGTGAAAAATTCATAATATGATATATTCTTTGAAAGTATGGTTAAACAAGGATTTTCTAAATCTTAATGTACTAAGTAGGAAAATAAAGCTGGATTTAGTTAAATCTATTATAATTAGTTCTATTATACGAAATATAAAGATATTCCTTTAATTAAATATTTGACAGAATTATATATTAAAGATCCAGAAGCAATCCTATAGATGCTAAATGAATTCAAAAAAGAAAATCCCTAATTATTGTAAGTAAATAATTTATTTAATTTTAACTGAATCCTGAGGATTTAATTTAGATACTTAAATAAAGTGCTTAGGAAGGAAAAGAAGAAATTGAGACAGAAATTACTTAGGAGTAAAAATCAGAGTTTACTAAAGAGGAAAAATAACAACTTAATTCATTAATCATGATGGGATTCTCCAAAAAAGATGCACTAGAAGGATATTTGGCTTGTAATAAAAATATTATGATTGCATCTTCATATTTATGTGAAAAAGTAGGAAAAGGGGAATTATAAAGTATAATATAATAGTTAATAAAGATGACTTAATAAAGATAGATTTAAATAATTTTAACAATAATTATGAAAAAGGTAAAGAAGATGATGATGATAATGATGATAAATATTATTGAATTCATATTATTAAATCATTTTGACCACCATACTTCTTTGGAATAACTGATATATCAATATCTTTTGATAAAACTTCTAATATTTCTTTGGGATCTTTTCCAGCAAAGGCCATTTTCTCTAAAGTTCTCTTTGGTAAAAATTTCTTAACTATGTTATATATTGATTTTGCAAGCCAATCAGTGTTTATTACAATATTTCTTATTTATCGTTCTGGATACTTCATAAAAACGTATGTCATTAGAGCTTTTATCAGATCTATACTAACATTTTTTCTACTCAAGTTAAAGCAATCAATTATTAAGATTTAACAATCAATATGTCCTCTCATACTGTTATACATTATTACACATTATTTATTACTTACTAATATTATGTTCCATCAAACAGCAGAAATATTCAATAAAAATTTCAATCGTTGGATTAGGTTCCTTATATTCATCAGGCAATAGATTTTCAGCTCTTATATAAAATATTGGATATCCCATCTATTTAATATAAATTTAATTATTACTTTGCCTTCTCCTAGCATAATCAATATATTTTATTTTCTAAAATAGTCATATTTATCTTTTCTATAGTCATAAGAATTTAAATTGTTTTATTTTCTCCATTCTAAAATATCAGTAAGCATTTTTTCAGATGCATTTAAATCAAATTATCTAGCTTAAAGATGTCGAATCAATGCATTATCATTCAATGCCAAATTTTTCATTTTAACTCTGAATTAATTCAATATTTCTTTTTCTTTATCCTATATTTTTGTATAAACTATAAAATACATTTAATTAAGTAAATCTTAAATGTTTTTCTTCATTTTACAATGCAGGATGATTTCTATTAGGGTTAACATCCTAAAATCCCAAACGATCATTAGGTAGAAAATATATTTCTAAACCATTAATTTTATTTTGTTATAATGTATCATTTTATGTCTATTACACGATTTCAGATTTCTCTTGAATTTTATCAATTATCTAATTAATATAATTATAAATACATGATCAAATTCATAATTTATTATTTAGTGATTAATTATATATTCTTTTGCAAATTTGTGCATTAATTTATCATTAGACTTTTTAATAATAATAATAATTTAACATTGTGTCTAATTTACATGTTTATCATTTTCAATTAATTAAAAATTTATCTAATTTATTTATTGATTATATATTACTGTTAATAATTGAGAATTTAATATATTCCTTTAAATAATAAAATAAGTTGATTTTATTTATTATTTTCTTTAATAAGTTAAATGAATATGAGTTTAATGTTTATGCTTCTTTTATTTACCACAACTTAAAGAATATTATTGTTAAAATTGATTTGAATTTATAGTTTAATGATTCTTTAAACCTGGCTAAAAATAAATTAAATTGTTTTCATTTATAAATATTTTCTTAATCATTTTTATAGATTTTCCTATAGTCCATTCACCTTTCAGATAATTAAATTTACTATCATTTGAATAATACATTCGAAGTTTATCATATATCTTGTGTAATTTCCAATTTTAATTTTATTATAAAAGCTCTATTTCATCATTAGCATCATCCTCAATTGTTGTATGTAATGTATGATGGCTAATCAAAGCTGGTTAAACTTCTAATAAATTCTTTTTTAAGAATAATGATTACTATTGATAGTTTAAGTTGAGCAACCCACTCTTCTGCATCTTTCAATGAAATAGCTCTATATATAGTTGAATATTCTTTATGAATCAATGTGAAATAAAATAAATCATCAACCTTTTCTGGTCCTTCAACTTTTGCTTATTCCAAATTAATAACTTCAATTGGAGAATGTGACTCAAACTTGAATTAATATTTACCTAATCATTTTCAAATTTAAAGAAATGCTTATGATCCAAATAATAATAATTAGAAATCCAAAACAATGATTTGGTCTAAAGATAACCATGTTTATAAGAATATTGATTCATTAATTTTATTTATTACAATTTCTTTTGTAAAACAGAGTATTATAATTGTAACTTAAATAAAGAATAATCCTTAATTCTTAAAAATAATAATCTAGAGAATATGATAAATAAAGTGTGAAATATCTTATAAAGAAAACTAATTGTAGTTAAATGATTCACAAACTTTAATGTTTGTTATTCTAAACCTATAAATTGTTGTTTTCTATTAAATCTCAATTCTAAATGTATTATTATATTGTGTAATATTATATATAGTAAAGTCATAATCATATTAATTAGAAGAGTTTTGTTAATATTATGGTAATATCAATTAAAACAATTAGAATTGAAATGTTTTCAATTTTAATATATGAATATACAAAATGTAACAGATATCATTTCAAAATGATGTCAACATTATCATGAGCACCTTTTAACAGCATTTAACCTTAAAAATCAAGGACATTTTACTTTTTGGCTGCTCTCAATGTACCAACAAGTGCCATAGAATATTGATATAGAATACTTCATAATATTGTTATGTTTTCTCATCATTGAATAAGACTCCAAATTTAACAACATATTTCCCTTCTGCATTCTTTGTACCTAAGCGTTAAATATCCTTTTTTAATTCTTCAATTTCTTCTTAAATTTTATGTTACATCAAATAATATTTAATTATATATCTCATTTCAAAAAAGACTGGAAATAGAACACATAAAATAAATATTAATAAACATATATTTTAACTTAATTATTGTCTTACTATAAGAGATGTAGAAAATCTAAAATAAAATGGTGAATAATAATTCTCAATTTAAAGATTTACTTACTAATGTTGGAGTATAAATCTTCCAATAAAATGTTATTGCCAAAAGAGCACCTATCCATGGTCCCATAACAAACATTAATAAGTTTATCATCTAATTCCATCTTCCATAATATATTCCATAAAACAATTAAAGTCTATTTTTATTAAAAATCTTACCCAAATGCAGCTGCTGGATTGAATAGACTATTACCCATAGTTGCAGTATACCTATAATAATATTTATAATTTACTATCTGGCTACAAAATAAATAATGCTAATAAATGCTGCTGATTAAACTTATGTTGTAGTAATTTTTGTGTTTTCTGCTGTTTGAATTTACACAAATGTAAAGAAAATAACTGAACCAGCAATCTCAGACATTAAAGTTCCTAAAACTTAATGAGTTGGTAGTCTAAAATGATTATATTGATTTACGATTCATAATAAGGTAAATTAGAACTATTTGCAAATAAAGGCATTATAAACATTCCAGCAATTAAACTTGCTAATATTTAAGAGCCAACAAAGGTAAGTGTCTTTTTTTTATTTATAGCTCCATCTATAAATCCAATTAATGTGCAAATTGGATTGAAATAACCTCCACTTAAACGACCAAACAATATTAGACTTATAAAATAGACAAGAGATAATCCAAAATTATTTCTACATAAATTATAATTATTTAATTTACTCAGCAGCTAATGCTCCATAAATAACTAACAAAGTGCCGATTGTTTCAAATACAACAATGTTAGAGATTTAAGCAGACTCTTTTTCTTTTGAATCTTCTGGATTCACTTAGAATTAATTTACTGTAGGTTCCATATTTTTTATTATATAATTAATTCAATATAATCAATTTAATTTATTTCTAGTTAGAGTTTGCATCATTTATTTTTATGACTAAGACATCATTCCTTTTGTTAACTACGATATTAATTGCTTATTATATGTGCATAATATACTTGCTATTCTTAATTTATTCTTTTATTTTCAATACATTCAGCTAACATCACTTTTATGCATCTCCAAATTTATTTAAGATTAGGCAATTGATCTGCAGAAAAATAATCAGGAGGTGAACATGAAACTACTAAATCTTTTAAACACGAAATAAATTTATTTTATTCCTTTAGTTTCTATTTCTATTCATTTATTTAGATCAAACAAAGTGAATGTAATTTTGGTTCAAATATATTTTCCTTATTAATTAATCCAATCTCATTAAAGACTTATGACACAAATGTATATAGTCGTTGTATATTAGTATAATTTCCTATCATCTTTTCAAGTACTTCTACTTGATGTTGTAATTTTTGTATTTATTCTTCCTATTTCTTAATCAATTCATTTTAATCATTATTTAGAGATACTTCATGAACTGAAGAGTAATTCATATTCTAAAATTGTAACATATCTATATCCTCTGATTTAGAACTCTTATGTTATCGAAATGGATGAAGACGAGGTGATTATAATGTTTTAAAAGAGTCATAGTTATCATATGTTTTACATCTCATTTTGAATTATTGAATTTAAAACTATTTGTTATTATTATTATATTAACAATTTAAATTATCATTAAAAACCACAATAAAAGAATATATTTTATATATATAAATCTAATGTTATCTAATATTTATATCAACTAATTTTACATCTTTATTTGTATTTATTTATTTTTAATTAAATTATAATGTCACGGCTAATTGTGAAGAATATCCCAAATTTAATTACAGAAGCTTAATTAAAGACAATATTTGAAAAAAAAGGTGAAGTCTCTGATGTTAAAGTTATTTTTAAAGGCACTAAGAATAGAAGGTTCTGTTTCATAGGCTATAAGAACGAATCAGATGCAATCAAAGCAAAAGAGCATTTTGATAAAACATTCATAATGATGTCAAAAATATCAGTTGATTTTGCTAAAACTGTAGATGATCCTGCCTTACCTAGAGCTTGGTCAAGACATACTCAAGGATCATCAGCATTTCAAAAAATTCATAAAAGTTAAGAACCACCAGTCACAAAAAAAGTAAAAAAAAATAAAGAAGAAGAGTAAGATTAAGAAGAACCTAAGAATGATTAAAAATCAAAAAAATTTTAAGAGTTCTTAGAATTAATGAAAACTAATAAAAAAACAAATTAAGAGATATGTTGGAATGATAATGTGAATAACTAAGTAGATGAAATATTTGATAAGATAGAAAAAGAGAAGCCAAAAGTAGTTTAATAACCTAAACCAAATACATTAGCTAATGTAAATGAAAGAAGATTATATGTTACTAATATACCATATACAAGTACAGAATAGGAATTAAGAACTGTATTTGAAAAGTATGGTACTGTTTCTAGTTTAAAGATACCAAAATAAAGAGGAGGATCACTTTCTGGTTTTTGCTTTGTGGAGTATCAATTACCAGAAGAAGCTGTCAGGGCATTTAGTGAATTAGATAATAAGATTGTTTTGGGAAGAATATTTCATGTTAGACCTGCATTTAAAGATGATAAAGAAGAACAATTAAAATAAGAATAATAATTGAAATAAGAGAAAATGATTGGAGAAGAAAAATCATCATATAAAAAGTTTAAGAAATAATAAATGCTTGAGAGGCTTAATGATACTACATCATGGAATACATTATTTTTAAATCCTAATACAATAATTGAAGGAATTTGTAAGAAATATTCATTGGATAAGAAAGAAATCTTATCAGAAGAAAATGATGATATGGCAGTTAAGATGGCTTAAATGGAAACATAAGTTATCAAAGAAACTAAAGATTGGCTTAAAAGTGTTGGTTTAAATATTGATTTTTTAAAAGTTGAAAAGAATTAATGTGAAAGATCTAATATTACTATATTTGTTAAAAATATTTAATTTAGAGTTAATGAAACAGATTTAAATGAACTTTTTTCAAGATATGGTTAAGTGAATAAAGTTTTTCTTGCACCAAATAGATCAATAGGTATTGTTACTATGTAGGATGATAAGTAAGCAACAAATGCTTTTACTAATTTATAAAATTATAAATTTAAAGGATCAATTTTATATTTAGAATGGGCTCCAACAACTTTAATGGGAGAAATGAATAAAATTATTGAAGTAAATCCATAAATAGAAGAATAAGAAAATGAATTAACTAGAATTCTTTATGTTAAGAATATTAATTTTAGTACAACTGAAAAAACTTTACTTAAATTTATGTCATCAAAAGTCAATGACATTAAGAAAGTGACAATTATTAATAAAGAAGGAGTTTCTTAAGGTTATGGATTTATTGAATTTGATAAACCAGAATCTGCTTAAAAAGCATTACGTCTAAATAATTTAATTTTAGATGATCATTTATTATAATTAAGTTAAAGTAAACCTAAACCAAAATAAGGTATGAATTAATAATAATATATTTTATAGATTAAAATAAAAGAAAATAAAAATAAGAAATTGAACCTACAAATAAATTATTAATTAAAAATTTACCTTTTGAAGCTAATGCCTAAGAATTAAGAAGACTAATTAAATAATATGGAGAACTTAAAAAATTAAGATTACCTAAAAAATTAGATGGAAGTATAAGAGGCTTTGCATTTGCTGAATTTCTTAATAACGAAGAAGCTTAAAATGCAGCTGAGTCTTTATAAAATACTCATTTTTATGGAAGAAGATTAGTTATTGAATATTCAAAAGAAGAGTGACATTATTTTTTTGTATATTATATGTATATTAAAAATATAATAATAAGATGATCAATTATATATTAAATATTCATAAATTTAAACGTTTTGCTTTACTTTTTTAAGTTTCTATTTAAATCCATCCTTTTTTTGAAATTTGTAGACCAAAGTTATATTCTTGTTATTTAGTATGCATGTAATTTTTATAATAAAGTTTATAAAAATTTTGAGTCTCTGTTTTATTGGGTAGTATATAAAAACCTTCTGCTTATTAATGATATAATGTTGCATTTATTAAAGGTATGGTATCTGATATTTATTATTTTGAATTATTCAAATAAAATTCAAATATAGTACCTTTTAATGGCTCGTGTTGCTCTTTACTTATCTTTTATTATTTCTCTTCTAAATCTTAATCAACTTCGAAATACTCAAACTTAATATAAGCATAATCAGCTATTTGAATATTGTTATTTAATGGTTAATTTATAGTATATTAAGTGACACCTGAAAAATTAGTCAAATTCTCATTTTTAGTATTTGTATCCATCACTATTAGAGTTTGTTATGGAAAAAACTTTAATTTCATTCCTTTACATAAATATATTCTATTTTATTGATTATTTGTAGTGATAACATAAGGATAGATTTCTGAAGAAATTTCAGTTGTTTAATTTTATCTAGAATAGCTTACTACAAAGACTTAAGTATTACTTTTCTTTTCATTAAATTTATCCAAATATTTTATTTAATCTTAATCTAATATTTATTTAGTTTTTTCTTTTACCTTCCTTATCAATTTTCTTCTTAAGATGACTGATTCATATACATCTGAATAAGGAGCCTATAATAATATTGAATTCAATTCAGATTTTATTGGAAGAAACTTTGGATGATTTACTGTAATAATTATTTAAATTTCGATGAAATCTTAATCTATTACCTATTTTTCTTTAGTATATGAACTTGCAGTGATATGAGAAGAATCTTCAAAAAAATTAATAGTTTGTTAATATAATTCTTTTACTTCTCTATAAATTTCTTGTTGTTTCATTTTTATTTCATCACTTTATTTAAAAAAGCCTAGAAATCCTTTATTTTTGTTAACGAATTAATTAACTTATATCAAATTAGTATAGAACGATTATAATTTTTCTTCTAATTGTTATTGCTTAAGTAAAAATTAGCTTTCTTAGAATTTTTGTTTGTAACCAAAAATTGCAACAATCATAACACTTAATTCTTCTATTTTTAAATGACTCATCTTTGTATTTTTAAGTTTTTCAATAATATCCTCTTACAAAGTAACAGTTTTGATTTTACTCATATTCTTGTTATTGATAGAATTTAATAAAAATAATAATAATTATTATTATTTTAATTATCTTGATTGATGACTTCTTATGATACTTTGTAATTATAATATTCATAATCTTAACAAGTCATAATATATTAAAAATATAATTATTTTTATATTCTAAATAATAAAATCCTTGTCAAATAATGAATCCCAAGACAAATACCCAGAACATCATTAATGTAGATGAATAAGCATTGAATTGGCATACAGGACTATCATCGGTACAATTAATTTAAGCTAATTGATAAGAACAGGCAGCTAAAGTCCAACTAGGACTTATTCCATTAATATCTTCAGGAGCTTATATTATTGAAGTACTCGGGATATTATATCCAGTATAGATCAACTAATAGACATATGTTCCCATAAAATATAAATTACTTAAATAAACATTATCTGGATATGTTTTTACAGCTTAATCCCAATCTAGATTAGTGAAACTCTATAATTTATTCAAATAACTCTCTTTATTAAAAGTAGTTAGATTAAAGAATTTAGCCATGGTAACAATACCATTAGTTCCATAAACTGTTTAAATAGTCACAGGAGGTTCATAACTTTAATTAATGCTAGTACTATCAGTAGTATTTAAAAATTATGATATAAGATTTTAGCAAAGTTATAGATTTCCTACACCTTAAATTTTGTATGTTTTTCCATCAATAATTGTATCACCAGTATATCCGCTTTAAAAACAAGGAGAATAGATAGTATTATCATCTTGCTGAATAGATTACTTTAAAATGCTCAATCTAGCCTAATCATTACCATAACCCAAATAAGAGACAGAATATAATGAAAAATCGCTCACATTTGGACGAACATTCAAAAGAACAAAATCTGGACCAGTACTATTATATGGGAATGCATTTTGAGTTGATGCACCACCTAAATCAAGAGTCAATAATTAATTAACTTATTAATTAAGTAAATAGAAAACAGACATCCACATATACATACCCTAAAATAATTGATATAAATGTTACTTCTTCTTATCCAGTAAGAACTCTAACCCATTCAGGTTGATAATAGAATTTTGTTTTGCTGAAAACTGCTTATACAGTTGCTATAATTTCATTCTATTGAATTTGAGTCAACTATCTTAATCCAGCTGTGGCACCAAGCATTATAGGAGTATATTAATACATGTTTTCAGGAACAACAGTATAAGTGAAGTTAATAAGAGGTTCTAAATAAGCATAAATTCCCTCTAAATTGTTAGCAAATGAAGCAAGACCAGGTGCTTATTTTTTGTCATTTGACTTTTTATAATTGAATAAATAATATACTGCTTCAGTTAGATTGATCATAGGTAATGTCCATTCTTCTCTACAACTCCATTAATAGACATAAACTCTTGTTCCAGAAGATCCTGCATCAAATATGGAGCCATAACATTATGGAGTATTTTGTAGATCCTCCACTGGAGTCAAAAATCTCTTTGAATAAACAATACAAATCAGACTTGCCACTAATAACATGGAATCAAATAATGATTTTATATATTAAACAATAACTTAATTATGAAATTATAATATTATGATCATGAACTTCTAGATTGTTCATCTTTGTTGCAAATAAGATATATCATAGTCAAAATCCAAATGAATATTATGAAGTAGGTTACAATCAAATAACTTAAAATAAACATTCTTAAATGTATGCATTCTTCATGTTGTAAATAGGCATACTATTAATTAAATCAATTAGAAATACTGTTAAACCAATTAAAATTATAATGTTAAAGAATAACTCTATATAATCGACTACATCAAATAATTTTTCTTTCCAAAATCCATTAGTTTTATATTGTATTGGTAATTCAATAATTCTTTATAAAAAATAAAGTTCTTACAATTTATATCCAGCCATCATAAACAAAAATATTTCAGCATATAGGGACCAAGCATTGATGCTATCACAAGACTAATCATCTCTTATTTAAATAAATCAGAATTTACTATAATGACGAAAGAGCAAAAAAAGTAAGCCCCAACCAAAATTGTATATAATAGCAAAGATGGTTGATGAAAGAGCTCTACCTGTTAGTTCAGAGTTTCTCTTAGAAGTAGGAATATCAAATATTTCAGCATCTTCCTGATGTTAATTCATAAATAAAACGAATATATATTATTTATAATTCAATCAAATAAGGAATCTACAGTTTCAATCATCCAAATGGTATTTTGTTCTTTTCCACCAACCAATACAACTTCACCTTAAAAAGTGGTTTTGCTGGAAGGTCTACTCAAAGCAGCCAAATACTAAGAGGTTTTGATATGTTTAAGTCTAAAAGGATATTCAAGAATTAAAGTATTCAATTCAGGTATACCCATATCAACTCCTAAAGATGATAATTTAAATACCTTCAATTTAGAATTCAGCTTCATCTTAGATTCCACAATTAACTTCAAGATAATCTTTCTTTTTATTTCTAGCACCATTAATATGCATTAATTTCTTTCCTGTTCCATTATGTTATAAAAACAAAAGAGATTTATTAGGAATTTAGCTAGTGATATCAGAATTTCCATTTGCCAATTCAATTATCCACCAATCATTTTGATCTCTTCTAATTGAATATCTCCAAGTTATTTCTTATTATTTATTTCCATGAGTATATGTACTAGTATGAGAATGTAATGATCCTCCAGTGAAACAATTTCTAATTACAACTTTATCTAAATTGTGAATATATTTATAACATCTTGGTCTGACTGCTTTTTCAATATCTTATTATTCATTAATGAATATAGATTATCGAACAGTCCTAGATGCCTATAATTATTTGATTTATATATTTACAGGAATGATTGTCCAATAGTCATTTTAGTCTACTCCTGTAAAGCCTGTGACTTCATTAACATCTTTAGGATTCTTGTATTATCTATTATGAGAATGTAAAGCATGATTCTCATCAAGTACATTGACAAACTTAGCTCTATTTAGATTTATTTCATCAAATTTATCAAATATCAACAGGAATTATTATTCACCTGTACCCTCATATTAATTAGCTACAATCATTTCTCCTTATTTGGTTACTGGTGATTTGTTTCCTATATTACTAATTATTAATATATTAGATACCAAGTGATTACATTTCCAGTTTTCCCATTTCTAATAACTATCATATCACAAGGCCATATTTCAACTCTATTATAATTAGGCTTTTTCAGTCCTTAAACAGGAGGACTATATTTTTCTAAAATCCATACAGAGTTTTGATCCTGCTCCTTTTTAGTACCTAATATGTAGCTAATGATTCCATATTAAATTATACCCATTTTAATAAGAAATTCCTGTATCTGTTAGATAACCATTGGTTTCATTATGTTTTAAGTAAACAATATCTTTATGAATTAGAGTTTCTTATTCCATCAAATAATTATATTATTATCAAGCATATATCGAATCAACATATTCAATAAACCAGACTGCATTCCAATCATATTTTTGAGTCAATACAATCTCTCCTTAGAATGTACTTTAGCTGGATGGTCTCTCTAGAGCTGCTAAAAATTGTTATGTAGGAATATGGACTATTCTAAATGGCTTTTCTGTAGTTAAATTATTAGATGTCTCATTAATATCGATCACTACATATATTCAATACTTACATTCAATTTTAAATTCTTCATTTGATGTTTTACTACAACAAACTTAAAGATAATCACCAGTTTTCACTTTACATCCTTAAGAATGAGTCAATAATTGTTTTGTCTAAACATGTAAGAATGAAACTATAGAATTATTTTCTATAAACTATATCTATTCATCAGAATCTTGTTTATGGCTTTTTTATTTATAAATGACCCACCAATCATTCAAATCTCTTGGTTAGATTTTCCAAGTTACTTCTTATTATTTGGTTCCATATTTGTAATGAGCAGAATGAGAATGTAGAGCACCTCCTGTGAATCCATTCCTAATAATCACAGTATCGGAAGAACGAATATTTTAACATTTTCTTGGTAAAGGTTCCTAAATTAATTATTAATGTATTCCTTCTCTCATCTCATTTGAAATCATTTCAATATTCCAAGCATCATTTTAATCTCTACTCTTAAATCCAGTCACTTCATTATGATTATTAATTTCTTTAAGCTTAGATGAATGAGTATGCAATGCCCATCCAGTTTCAGTATTGACTATCCTCATATATGGTGATTCATCAGATATATTCTATAGTATAAAAACTTATTCTCCACCTTTATATTTAACATCATTCTATTTGGCTAATACTATCAAACCTTATTTTGTGATAGGTGATTATGCATCAGGTATACTAAGATCATTTTTATATCATTACCTTGTTAAATAATAATTTGAACAAAAACTCTTAATTCTTATTAAATCTCCTTAAATGATTGGAGTATTGAAATAGTTTGGAGACTTAAACATTGAAAATGGTGGACAATATTTTTCTAAAATAAATATAGTATTAGGTGTTAAATTTGGTTAAGCACTTAAAATAAGTCTTCAATCTAATTCCAAATAAAATACCCCCATTTATTTTCTGTATTTGTATCTGTTAAATATACTTTTTATTGTGGATGGAATAAATTCACAAGTTCTTAATGTAAAAATGGTCTTTGTGGCTTTTCTGCTTAATTATTCACTTCTTGCTACATTTATTATTAATTATATTTTTATTAATACAACAAAAAAATACAGTAATATATAGAATAATAATATTTTATAGAAATTATAGTATTTTTTTAAATGAATTTCAAAACAATAAGATCTTTTATTAAAGTTTATTATCAATATATATTATGATTATTCAAACTTCATCTAGTGCTACTAGTCATTTATCTCACTAATGTGGAAGCTTCATAATGATTTGGATCCATTTATATCACTTTTTCAAAGTCTTTCAAAGCCATTTATGGATTTTAGAGATATAATAGACACTTTCCTCTTTTGAATAGAATATCAACTGAATTTGCTAATTTTATAGCTTTATCAAATGATTCAAAAGCTAATTAATATTATTTTTTATTAAAGAATTCAACACCAAATGAGTGATGAATTATTGCTAGTCTTTATGCTACAGTATCATTTTTCTCTATTTCATAAGCTTTATTGTAATCACAAATACTTTCTTTTAGTTTTCCCAAATACTTAAATGCATCACCTCTGTTAACCAATATTCCCCAATCAAGTGGTTTAAATGTTAATCTAAATTATAAATATATCTTAAATACGCTTCATTTAATAATGTTAATGCATCTTCATAATTACCCTTTTCAAACATAACCTAAGCCATTTCATTATAAGTAATAGCCAATTATTTTTTGATATCTTCATTTGTTGGTTATTAATCATATGCTTTTTTTAATAAATTTAAAGACACATCATATTTAATGTTAATTCTACAAAGATAGGCATTTAGTAATAGTAAATCAACATTATTTGGATCTAATTCAAGTCCCTTGTCTACATTCAATTTGCATCTCTCATTATCTCTTTGTACTAAATATAACTTGGCATCATTAGTCAATTTTTATATCTTTGGAGTTATATATAGGATAAATTCTTTAATCTCTTACAATTCAGGATTCATTGCTTTTGTTGTTTAAAATCAAATATTACAATAAACTTTCCAATAATCGGAATTTCCTTATGCTATTTTGCCTTAAGCCCAATATAATTTACCTCTTAATAATAAGGCATTTATATTGAGTGGATCATTGGCAATTACCTTTTATACTTCTTGAAGAGTATAATTTAGATAATTAGTTAGTAGATATGCATAGGCTTTTTGAAGAGAAGGAACAGTAAAATCTATTAGATATCCAAATTATTCAAATTCAGTTCCTTCTAAAAAATTAGTTACATCTCCTTATTCTAATAAGGATTATCCTTTTAATAAAATTAAAGCTTATAATTCATCTTCAACTAAAATATCTTATTTGACAGAGTATGAATATTACAAACAAGCAATGGCAGGACTATAATCACCAATTTTAACATATAATTATGCTAAGTCTTAATAACTTTATAAATGATCTAACTATTAAATATTAGTATATACTTTTGTTTAGAAATAATATTTTATAGTATTCTTTAATTGCTTCATGTACATCTGTTTTCACTAATTGTTTAGCATTTTGTAAATGTTTATCTATCTAATTAATATTTATTTATATATTACTTTTTCCTATAAAATTTTTTTCATTTATTTTAATAATTATTTAACTCCATATGGACACACATAAATATGTTAAAGCAGGTTAATAATTAAAATATATTTTAGGTGAGGTTTTTGTTAAGCATCACAAATTCGGTGTAGAGAAAATCAGATTGATATATATTTTAGATGACAGTCTCTATTGGACCAAACCTGAAGACTTTAATAAACAGAAGCCAAAAGGAAAGATCAAATTAGAAGTTTGAGTTAGTAAATTAATTTAAGGATATATTGTAAATAGAAAATGGATTGAAAAAAGCAAAGAAATTAAAAGATTTAGAGAGATCATCTAATTGTTTTTCAATTATAACTAAAGAACGAACACTTGAACTTGAAGCATCCAATATTTAAATAAAGAATTTATGGACAAATATCATAAATAATATTTTAAAAAAATATTCGACTCCTCATTAGTGAAAAACAAATTTATTACATTTATTTTATTTATTTTTAATATCTCTAGGAAGCATTTGAAATGTAAACTTAAATCAAGATCATTTAAAACAGATTTATCATTCTTATTGATATTTTATGATTTGGAAGTTACATAAATGATTTTTTGAATTTAATGGATATTCTTATATGATATATGATTTTTTCTTAATTTTGTATAAGTTTATAATTTTATAGCATATTTTAAATTGAATTATTAATATATATATTAGATGTAATAAACTATTTCTAATAAGATTTAAGGTAGACAATCAAGAAGAGATTTAGGAATAAATAAATAAATTGATATTGTACTTAAAAGTCCATTACTTAAGAATTCTATAAAATTGAATTTAGAAAATATTCAAAGGTCAACTTCTGAATAGTTTGTTACACCATTGAATAATAAACAATAAAATAAATTAACCTAAAATCTTTCTCATTTGAGTAAAGATGGATTATCCTTTGGGTTAACTGAAAGAGAAATGAATTTATGCGCTAATGAGATGTAAATAATGCAATCTCATTCTAAAAACTTATTGGGAGCTACTTTATCAGTTCGAACATCATAATCAAACTAACTTTAATCTCTTAAATTTATTGAATTAAGTAATATAGAATATGATAGTCCAAAAATGAGGAAAGATTTTAAATTCAAAGATAAAGAGAATTAAACAAATTAAGAAATTCAATAAAAAGTTGAAGAAATGAAAGTTAATTATATTAAATCAAGTGTTACTTTAAATTAATAACTTAATGATAATACAAGATTATTGTAAAAAATTGATGAATTAAAAAAATACTAATAAAATTTGTCTTTTAATTATTAATTTTTAAATAAAGAATAGATTGATAGAAGGAATAAAAAAATTGTTATGAATTTAAAATTAAATAATAATAAATAATTAATAAGTTTAAAATAATAGAATCTTATAGATTTAATAGCAAAATAATAACTTATTATCTAAAATTTAGAAAAAAAACTTGAAATTGAAAAAACTGAAAAAGAATGTTTAAAAATTTTTTGCCAATCACCTAAATCATAACAATAATAATAAATAGATCTAAAATAATTAGATATTAAGAAAAGCCAGACTAAATTTCATTTTAATACTTGAATTATCTTCGTTTGATTTCAATTTATTTTATATATATATATATTGAGAATATTAGTATTTAGTATAATAAAATTAATTTAGAAGTAGAGATTTTTATTTAATTAGAGAATAAAAATGATAAATTCAATAAATAAAATATATTTATGAAGTTTCATTTAATTTCACCAACAACTACATCTTTTACTCCAATATGGACATCATAATAATAAAAGCGTCCATAGATTAAATTAAGTGAATTGGCAAAGTTTACATAATTGTAATTACCTAAATAAGAAGATAGTCAAAAAGCTATTGAATATAAATAAAGATAATAACAATTGTTAAGATAATCAAAAAATAAGCCTTTGTTAAAAGTGTTGACTAAATCTTAATTACTATAAGGTTACTTATCAATGAGACCATAATAATAATAAAAGAAATAAATTAAATCTAGATCATCATCTTTAATTACTAAATTAAATTCTTCAAGTCCTGTTGTTTCAATTAATGAATCTCCAAAAATTGTTAAAGGGGAATGCTAAATTATGAATTAACCAATGTAATAAATTCAACTTATTGAAGAACAACAATTAAGTCCAAAAGTCTTAAAACCTTTAAAATAAGAAACATTTGCAAAAGCTTTAGATTTAATTAGACCAGAAACACCTCTAAACTTTCGATGCTTAGTTCAAGATATCTCTTACAAAAAACATAAAATAAATATTAAAGCAATAATAAGAGATATAATAAACAAATTATCAATATTAAGAAAATTAGATATCAAATATATAGATAGAAGAATATGGTCAAATTAACCATTTTAAAAAAGAAATTAATACAGTTTTATAAAAGCTTGTAAAGCAGGTGATTTAAATTAAGTAAAGGAATTACTAGAATAAGATAGATTTTTAAATTTTGGTTTTGATTATGTAAATAATAATAAAATACTTTTAGATTCATTAAACAGGATTACATTGGGCAGTAAAAAGATCTCATTTATAATTGGTTAAATATCTGTTAAAAATAGGATGTGATGTTGATGCATAAGATCTAATAGGTAGACCAGCTTTGTATTTTGCAATTGAATAAAAAGATGCAAATATCGTTAAAGTATATTTATTAAACAATTTTAATTAGTTATTATTAGAGAATAATGCAATTCCATGGAGTAATTAAAAAATTACTTACTCTAAACTTTGTAATGATGATCTCTAAATAATGTTACTTTTAAATAAAGCTCGAAAGGTACATGTTATTTATAGAATGGTGGATGCAAAGAAAAGAATTTAAATAAAATAAAGGGCATTGACTGGATTATTCGATGTTTGACTATAAATTTATAAATTAAATATGTATAATTAATTTATTGATGAGGAAGGTCAAGAGAGACAAATATAGTATTTAGTGGAATTAGGTATTTAGTAATTTAAGAAAAGGATTTCCTGAAAGTAAAGCTAGAAAGGGAGTAGAATAATTTGGTTATACAATTAGCTTAGAAGATTTAATTAACAGAATTTTAGACATGAGTGATGACAATTCAAAAAAATCAAATGGAAATAAAATAAGTTTAATTCATTTTTCTGATTCAAGTAGTGAAAAAAACTCACCTTTCAATTAACCTTTATAATAATCATAATCTTAAAAACATTGCTAAGCAAAATTAAATTAATAACCTTAAAAGTAGGCAAGTTTGCAATTTTAACAGCAATAAAAAGTAGTATAATAGTAATACTAGCCACAATAATAGTTATAATAATAGAATCAATATTAGCAGTAGGTATAACAATAATAATAACTATGTTCATTCTAAAATATATTATAGTATTAATAACCATGGGAGAATGATGAATTTCCAAAATGTTAAGTTTGTTTTACTTAACCAATATAATGGCTTCATTTTGAATGTAAACATCAATTCTGTTAACCATGTGTAATAAAAAACATAAAAGCTTCAAGAATAAGAAGGATTGAATAAGTTACTTGTTTACAAGAAGATTGTCATTCAAAATTAGTTAAAGAAGAAATCCATCTAGTAAGTAATGAGTTACTACCATAAATTGATGTATTTCCAATATAAAATTAGATCGAACCATATAATGAACCAATATGCACAAAATGTAAATTACCATAAGTGGCTCATAAATTTAAATTGTTTTCAAATGCTTGTGACAGTGCAGAGTTTACAATTTTAAGTGCATGTATTAAACATGATGAAGAAGGTAATTAACTTTAAAGATGTCCTTAATGTGGTATATGGGTCTAAAAATCTAAAGGGTGTAATTCAGTTTTATGTTCGTACATTTTTCATTTTATAAAAAGATTAGCTATTGTAAATTTAATTGGTGTTGGTTATGTAGAAGATAATGTGATAGCAATCATTATGTATTTTTTAATCCAGTTGGTTGCCCAGGTTTAGGTGCTGAAGAATTTACTATTGAATAATATCCTTGTCATAAAATATGTTGGATTAGAGTAAAAGTGATTCTAATCTATCTACTATTGATTTTGCTTTGCATAATAGTTTATCCTTTTTTTGTTGCATAAGTAGTTATAAGAAGAATGAAAATTATTACTTAAGGAAATATTTGTTATCGCTTTATGATCTATATTGGCATAGCAATTTTATTTTTAGTGCTCTCATGTTTGGCAATCTTTCCAGGAATTATCATTTTCATATTTTCATAAAAGGCCAGAATATATGTATTTGCTAGTTGACTTATAATTTTTATTTTTTTATAATTTAATTAACGAATAAAAATGGGTACATAACAATCTACAGGATATGATTTATCATAATATTAATATATAGATGAAGTTATTGATCCAATATATGGAGAAGGTAAGTTATTCTAAAAGCATGAGACAGGAGAGATAATATGTCTTATTGAAAAAATGATTTAAGAAGAAACAAAAAATTAAGAAATGTCAATTAAGTTAGATCATCCAAATCTATTAAAAATTTATCATTAATAAGTAAGTGTAATGAAAGAATTATGTTCATCTATCACTAAATTAACTATTGTATATGAATTTACAAGTCTAAATTTAATTACCAATATTAATCATAGAAGAACTAAAAATATTCCATTTACATAAAAACAATTATGGGGTCTTTTACTTTAATCATTAAATGTCTTAAATTATCTTAAATAATTTGATATATATCCTATGGATTTGAAATAAATGATGATTTCTAGTTAAGGTTCTATTAAATTTCATTCAATATAATCTAAATAAATGAGTAATTACAAAAAATTATTCTACAATTTAACAGATCATATCCACATTTCTCCTGAAGAATTAATTTGTTTAAAAAGAAGAGACACTATTCTGAATTTGGATTATGAAAAATGTGAATTATTCTAATTAGGTTTAACATGTTTATATGCAGCTTCTTTAGTCGAAACAAATGATATTTTTGATTTAAAAACATTTTCATATTCATAGAATACAATTTAATAAAGAATTTAATAACTTCAATACTCAACAGATTTCAAATAAACACTTAATAAAATGTTAAATCATGATCCCTTAAATAGAGGTACATTCTATACTTGGTTAAATTAATTATCATAAATAGATGTTGAAAACAATTTGTTATTATTATAAATTAAGGATCAATAAAATAATCCAAAAATAAATAATTTAAAATCAGTTAATTAATTTTCAGATTATCAAATAGAATATATGCCTTAAAATTATCCTTAAAGAATTCCTGAAGCTATTTAATCTCAATACTTAATTTCATTATAATCAAATTTACCTGCATCAAATATTCCTTAAGGAATTTTACAATAAAAACCTTTTCATATAGCAACTCCTGATTAATCTAGAATTTCAAAAGATATTAAGAGATCACAATTATCTCTACAACATCAAAATGATAATAATAAAAGTGAATAATAATTTTTTTAAGAATCAGGACCAACTGTTTAAACTTAAAATGATGAAAACTTTGATAATGATTAATTCAAATAATAGCAATTTGATCTTAATCATAATCCAAATTATTTTTCTAATTTATAAGCCAAGAATAATGTTGTTAAAAATTCATAATATCCAATCCAAATGCCAACCTTTTCTTCTAATATTTAAACTCAATAACCATATAAAGCTTATAATGTATTACAATAGAATAATTAATATTCTTAATAAATATAAGTTCAAAAATAATCACAGATATCATAACAAAGTAACAAAAGTTAAAGAGAAGAGAGAATTGAATAGGCAGTAAAATCATCCAAAATGGCAATACAACAATTTGAATATGCGCTTTAATCAGCATCAAAAGGTTAGCGTCCTAGTAATATTTGATTAGATTAAGTTTATTTATTTTATCACTTATATTTTTATTAATAAAAATTGATGTAGTTAGAACACAATGATGTTAACATTCCTTAAGATTATGCTAAACTAAAATAATAAAACTTAAAATTAAGAAATGAATTGAAGTCAATTAATGAATTTTTATCCAAATAAATCGAAAAAAAATAGGATCAACAAAATAGTCATAGAAATTAATTAAACAATAATACTGAATTTAGAGAAGGTTTATTTTATATCTAATTTAGATACTCTTAAAGCTGAATTATTTAATGCTTAAAAATAACTAAAGATTCAATTGAAATAAATTTAAATTCTATAAAATAGGCAAGAATTGCTTTCATTAGATAAGTATGAAAAAACCATTTATTATAGTGTTGTATAATTACAATCATAAATTAAGAAATTAATGGAGAAAATTAAAGAACTTGAATAAGAAAATAAAATCTTAATTAACATTAATGTAAAACAGGAGAAAAAGTTACTTTAATTATCTGAAGATGATTTTATAAAGAATAGAATAGATTAATTAGAATAAGAAAATTTTATTCTTAAATAGAAAGTAATAGCTCAAAATAAAACTGAAAGATCTTAATCTGTTTAAATAGCTAAAGTTGAACCTATCTTAAAACCTATTTAATTAAGTCAAAAGCAATAAGAAATAATGAAAGAAAAAGATCTATTTATTGTATTATGTAAATTCTATTATTTATAGTCTTAATTGTAGAATAAATTATAGGAATAAGAAAAACATATAAATATTTTGAAAAATCTAAAATCTTAATATGATAAACAAATTAGCCATATGACTCATAGAATTAAGTAACTTTAAACCTAATTATTGATATTAAATTAACAATTATAAGATAAAGTAATTATATATTTATTTATTTCTTAGAATTTAGAATTAAACAGAAAAAATCATTTATTACCTAATCTAAGTGCCAGAAATCAGAGATATCAATAATAAAAAATAAATTTGAGTATTGATAATTGTTTAACAGATTAACCTAAATCACAAGTTTAAACTAATTAATAACAATATTCAAAATTAATTCATGAATTTTAGTCTAATAGTTTATAAACTTAAGATTTATCTTTATAAACTTTAAAAAATTAAAATTTATTAAATAATGAATTAAATCAAGATATAAAAATAATGAGAATTGAATAACTAGGTTAAAAAAATGATTAAGAATTTCATTTTGATACACCATAATATTTTAGATTACATAATCTAAAATTATGGTGGAAGAATGATTACTTATAAGGTTTATAAGCTTATTATCATACTGCTAATTAAATTGTGAATGGTTAAATATTCTGTTTGAGTAATTTAGAAGAATTAAATTAATAATCTTTTGAATTACATTAGTCAGACTGGATAAATTAAATTGGATTAGGTTTTGAAATTGATAAAATAAGTATGATTATATATTTCATCTATAAATAGAATTTGTTAAAATAATTTCAAATCAAAATTGTATTTTGAAATTTGGAAGTGAAATTGATAAAATATAAGAAATTTGTTCATAAAAAAATGAATTTATTGGAACGATTGAAGTCTCATTTAATTAATGTATATATACTTAACCATATTCTAGTGTTTATAACAAGCATAGGATTTAAAATATTTGATGAGAAATTATTTGATAAAATATGATTTAATTTATTCTCTGTTACCTTTTTTCAATTTACTTTTTAAATAATTTTAAATCTTTATAAATTAGATATAAAAAATTAAATATATTTTTTTGAAAAAAAGTTTATGTATAATTTTGATATTTTGATGATCTTTATTGATAAATCATTTAAGATTTTCTCCAATAAATCCATTGGCTGTATTAAAAAGGTTAATTGGATTTTTGCCATCAGTAACCAAGAATCCTTTAAGTCCTAAACCTCCTAATAATTTAGCTTTAGTTTCTGGTCCAGCTTTAGCCATAGCTATGATAGTTTCTTTTCCAATAGCTTAAATTTATTGTTTGAATTTCTTTATTTCAATATCTGATAATTCTTTTGCTTTTTTGATTTCTAATTCAATAAGTTACTAATTATATTATTTATATGTATACTCTTTGATAATTTAATTCTGCCTCTTGTTCTTGACTTTGTTATTCTAATAAAGCTTCTTATTCAATCTATAAGGCCTTAGATCTCAATTCAGCTTGATTAACTTCTGCTTCAGCTTTGATCTTCTTTTCCATAGTTTCAGCTATGGCTCTGGCAACAGCTTCTCCTTCTGCTCTAACCTTAGCACTTTAAGCTTGTTGTTTTAATAATTCTATTTTAGTTTCTTCTGCTTTAGCTTAATCAAGGAGCTTTTATCTAGCTAATTATCCTTTAGCTTCTTATTCTAATTTTGATGCTTAATGTCTAGATTACATTTCTTGACTTTTTGAACTGATTTCAATAGCCAAATTGATACTCTGACTTAATTGTCTTCTTGTTGCCTCATCTGTAATTTCTTAACCTTATATATCAACAGATGTAATGACTAGATTGTTGGCTTCAAAAATGAATTAAGATCTGATTTCATTTCCATCTTTTCCAAAAACAGCTTCTCTAATTTTCATACTGGAATTGTTATGGAAATCTTCAAATGTTATGGAGGAAACAGCTCCTCTGACTCTAGAAGCAATAGATTTGCAGGCATCACCAACAAAATCTTTTACTGCAAATAATTTTTATGCATCACTAGGATCATCCTTATTAACTTTAAAGTGCCAATTATAACTGAGTGTTAATTTTAATTTAGCATGATCACTTGTTTCAACAATTAATTAATCAGTCATAAAATCTGGACCTAAACTTAAAGTTAAAGTTTGAATAAGGTTTTCAACTTTAGGTTTACCACCTGATAATTTAATGACTGTGAATTATTCATCAGGTCCAAGCATCACAAGATCTGGTCCAAAAACAACTCTTGATTTTTTAAGTTTGTAATCATATAATTAAATAGCTGAATTATGAGGTGCTTTGAATGAAATAATTTTAGTTTTGTCTCTTGGTTTGAATTATTCTGATTCATAATTATAAGTCATTTTTCCAGTTGCTGACACTTATGGTGGTACATATGGTTAACCACTTGCAGCTCTTTAAACAAGAATTTCAACATTTTCTGGTAAATGCTTTTCCCATAAAGATTCATGGGCTTCCAAAAGATAAGTTTTACCTTTGATTCTATAAATAACTTAATAATTATTACTCTTTAACTTCACCAGTACGATTGTCTCTGACATAAATACCTTCATTAGCATCCAATGGAATGGCTCTTCTTTTTTCTATCACTTAAACCTTTACTCCTGGAATATATTCTCTTGGTCCTCTTACTATCCATCTCTATCCAGCCTTTCTGAATTATCCATCCTCTTCTGAATGATCATAGATTGCCTAAACCAAAAGAGCTTCTTCTTCACCTAAAATTTCAATCTATATTTAGTTAAAGTGATTACATCTTCAATCTTGCCTCCTAATAATTCTTCTCCTGGTTATAAAAAGAAAGTTGTTTCTCCTTTGATTAAAACTTAAATTCCCCAATCGTTCTGTTGAAGTTTAGGATTATAAGGGTTAAGAATAATACAATAATTCCTTGAACCAAGTGTTATAGCTTATTCAACAGCTACTAATTATTCATAAACATCGGTAATATGAACTTAAGATTATTTATTAGTGATAATCCATTCATTTCCTGGTTTTCTTTTGATGCCATAAACATCAGTAAATTCATTAAGTGCTCGAAGATGAACACACACTTTATCTGTAAGAACTACTCCTTTTACAACTTCAGAAACTCTCTCAAATGTATCAGGCAAATAAGATCCTGTAGTTCTAATAAGCCATTCTTAACTAAATAAATTATAAAAGTATAATTTACCCTGCTCTTCTTTCTTTTCCACTTTTATCAATAAATGTTTAAGTTGCTTTTAATTTCAAAGCTTAATTTGGTTTAATAACTTCAGCCTTAACTACTTCAACAATTTATTCCTCTGCTCTAGGATAATAAGTGAATGGACCATTGCGTTACCTAAGTTATGTTTAAATGAAAATAATACCATTCTTCACCAGCTTATTTTTTTTTTCCTTCAACCTCAAAATCTCTAAGAGCAACTAATCTCAATGCTGTATTCTGTTAGACAATAAGTAATGTTTCTACTTTGCCATCTAACTTTTCACCTAAATTGTTGTTATGTTTAAAATTTACCAGGAAACAAGGAAAAAGGATCTGGATAATCATCAGCTGTTCTATATTCTATTTCTCCTCTCTAAATTTCCACTTCCCCATAAGCATTTTTAACAGGTTAATTTTTTTCATTTCTTTATATAGGATTCTGAATTTTGCAATATGTCTTAGGTGGTAAACTAATCATTTTGTTTGGACCTTCAATTATGCTTTCATGCTCTTTTCTGATGAATGTAAGAGGACCAACTTCTAATCTAAAATTTTCATTGATATATCATTACCTTGCAGTGTTAGTATTTTAATCTAAAACATGAATGTATTAATTTGGAGGAATTCTTGTTACGTACTCTGCCATTATAAATTGATATTTTAATTAATGAAATAAATATCTTTCTTATTGGGGATTTGAGATATTGATATAAAAGATATAAAATATTTATCATTTTTGGATACATTTTATAAATATATGTTGTAATATACTAAATAGCTCTAAATTAATATTAATATTTATTTAAAATAAGTTATATTATCGATTCAAGAATATTTAAAAGAAATCTGATATGAAGATAAACAAATTTGGAATACTCATATATAGTTATTTCATATTTGTACTTTATTATGTCTAAATAAAAACATTGATCACTTTTATTGAAATAATTTTATAACTTCACTTTAAATTATTAATAATGAAAAAGGTTGATTATGATCTTTTAGTGATTGATAATATCAATATCACTAAATATCGCAAAATAATTAGATGTAATTGTGATTCAACGGTACATCATTTAAAATAAAAGCTATCCCCAACTTATAATAGTAGCTTTGCAATTATATTTAATGATGAGATTTTGACAGAAGGAATGCTTCTTAAAGACATATTATCTAAACATCTGTAGAATTGTGTTATTATTAATCCAATAAACGAGCCTATGCCTGATTAGATAAAGAAACCTTCATTATAACTAAAATAATTCATTAAAGACAAGGAGCAAGATGAATTTTTAGAGCCATAAATAGATTAACCTTAACTAAAGAAAATTCTAGATAATCCAAATCAATTTTCAATAGAATAGGATTAAATAACACCTAAATGTTGTCAATCTTGTTAAGTTAAAAAATAAATCCTATGTAATTATGAAATATCAATGGAAAGTCTTTTAAATGAAAATGTCGAATTAAAAAATTAGATTTCAGAATTAGAAAAATAAAATAGAATTAGTATTTATAAGCAAAAGCTATAATAATAATAATAAAAATAATATAAAAAATGAATATGAATAAACTTTATAATCATAATAAATAATAATCAATACTGTTAATAAATCAATTATTTTAACATTAAAATTTTATAGAAAGCAATTCTTACTAAAGAGAAATAATAAATAAGAGTAGAAATGCTTACGAAATCGAATATTATATTAAATAATATAATTTTCAAATAAACAACTCTCTTAATTTAGTTATTGAGGTAACAACTTTATCTCTAATAGTTTTTAATGTTAAATGAAATCCCACTTTAATTCCTAAATCTACATCAATATATCCTTTTATAATTAAACTAGATTTATTTTTCTAACTTATTTTTAAACCTCCTAAAGTTAAATGACCTTCTTAAAATTCCTTTTTATATTCTTCACTAATTATAAAATTTAATTAATTACAATTTATCTTCAAATCTAATTGATTAAAATGCAATATAATATACTTCATCTATTTTTCTAATAGTTTTTAAATAAGTAAAATATTATTACTTAATCATTCCTTATCTATTTAATATGATTTCACCAATTTATTCTTCTTCATTTAATTTTTACAAATTATAAGTATTGATTAAATCAAAATCAAACAACTTTTTATCATTTGACCAATTTAAAAATGTTGTAATATCAGTATTAAGATCAAAAGAAAATCTAAGATATATTTATGAATACTTAATTATTAAAAACATTTTTTTATTTCTCATTTGATGTGAAGCATATAGATCAAGTTCTTATCCATTAACAAGATACTCACCAGATTCATTATTTTCAATTTCAATCTTTTCCATAAATTATTTCATAGCTTCTTAAGCATAATAATTAAATTCTTATTGATTGATATTATTTATGCTTGATAATGTTATTAATTCTCCTTCTTTAAAAGAAAGAGGATAAGGAGAGTCTAAACTTGGATTAGTTTTACAATCTTCATTAATCATAAATTATTATTATTCATTTTGATTTTAATTTGAATTCATTTATGAAGACCTAAGAGCAGATAATTATTAATTAGAAATAGTTTCAAGTGTAATTTCATTTTCATTTTTTTCATCTATTTATGAAATTGTTCTTTCATTTGATTAAGTTGGATCTTAAGTGAAACCTAATTAATAAAAATTGAATTAACTTATTTATTGAGCATTTATTTTCCCTTATGTTTCTTCTTCTGGATTATTAGATAAATTGACCAACTAATGAGTTTATATTTAAGATGTTTGTTTTCGTTTATTGAATTAAAAACAATCTTTGCATTTCATTAGTATATTTCCCATTTACAATTTCTGTATAAAATTTTAGTTTATATTTCTATATTAACATTAATAAAATTACTTAAAAATTCATTTCATCTTCCATATTGATTTTAGACTTTATGAATTGTAAAATTATGAAATGAATACAAAAATCAATAAACATAGTAATTTTCAGTGAACGTTTTAGTCTATCATCACATTAGAAATAAAATATTAATTCCATATCGAAATTTATATAACTAAATATTGAAATAATACAAGTCTCATAGTTCAAATGATTATTATTTTCTTGCCTTAAATGGATTTAACCAACTTCCATAATCACTCTATGTAGTACTTTAATCACCTCCAAATTTTATTACTGTCATTGGACCTATTTAAGGAGATTCACCGATAGTTTATTAAAATATAATGGCACTCTTTTTTGGCTTTTCACTATAATATTCTAATGCAAATACTAATAATCTTATTCTTTCTTTGCTGGGTCAGTCTTGAACTATATTCCCAATGATCTCAGATATGCAACAACTCTCCTCTCTACTTCTAATTATTCTCTATTTTCACAATGAAATTAAGGCAAGAAGCTGTCTAATGACTCTACTGACTCAGTTACTCTTTAGAAATCTTCCATTATCTCTATCTTTGATCTTGATAAATCCTCTGCAAGTTTTTTACCGTATTGCATGTATAAATATGATAATTATAAATAATTTTTCAAAACTTATCAAATCACCTTAAGTACGCAAATAGTTTGGTTTTAAATCTTATTTTCTTGATATTAAATATTTTGTATTTCTAATCTTCTTTTTTAGACGTATATTTATTTTATTATTTAATCAATAATATATATTTCCTATATGGACTCTTATCTCACGCTTGAATTAAGAAGAAGATTAAACTCTTCTATGACTTACCAAGAATATCTAGATGCTTATGATAAACCCCCTCCAAAACCTAAATTGAAGTATGAACCTACATCATTTTAATTTAAGACCAAAAGAATCACCTGTCGTTGCTGAATTACTTCTATTAGAACCCCCAAAAGGGCCTAAACCTTAATCATAAAAATTAGAGATATATGAACCAGATGAAATTATCATTGAGGAATCAGAAACAGATGAAAGATCACGAGCACAATCCCCAATACAGAAACCTCCTTGTTACAAAGCTCTAAAGGCTAATGTAAATTAGATCATGTTTTAAATTTCTAGAATGTAAGAGAGAGAAGCCAGAGTGAAAATTTGGGGTTTTCAGTGTATCGTTTCTTGTAAAACAAGCAACATGTCCCTAAATAATGATAAAACTAAATTCATAAAAACTAACATCTAAGCTATTTATAAGAATTTCAATTCTCCTTAGTTATTTCCATTTCCCAAACACTCCATCCTTTTCTTTCATTTTGACATCTCTTCTATCTACATCTATAAATTTAGCATTTAAAATAGTAAAGTCTATACAAATAAACTTTTATATTAACCTTACTCTAACAAATCTAAATAAATATAACAGAGTCACATAACTATAATATGATAATGAGATTTTTTAAATATTTCAATTCCTTAACTAGATCAAAAAATATATATTTTCTATTAGATTAATCCTTATACATGTGTAATTAACATGAAAGGATTTATATAAGTTTCAATTAATTAAATGTATGTTTATATAATGGGAAAGTAGTGAAATAATAAGAAAACAAAATATATTTTTGGATAATTTAAAATCTTTCAAGAAGTAGTATTCAAAATATTTTAACAAATATTTATAAGAAAGATATGAGATTTAATACATTAATAAACTCATTTATTCTCTAATATATATAATACTAAAGAGAAATTGAAAAAATTAAAGTTACTAAACAATTAATTGTTTTAAATTTCTAATTAAATTATCACTTTAATTTAATTGAATACTGATGAGAATTTTATTATTATTACATTTACAATTAAAGAATGGTTAACATAATTTATGTAATATTTTGATCTTTATCAGAAATAGTTACCAAGGAACTTTTATTCCTTTTTGAAGACCATTTGAGCAAAGAAAACAGCATCTGTCAAACATTATTCACTTTGAGAGAATACATGTTTCTAACCTTCGAAATTAGGATGATCAAAAATTGTCAAAGTAGTTCCAGATGGTATTTACAAAGATCTTATTTCATATTAGAAATCTCTAAATAATATTAATAATTAAATATACTTCATTTAGCTTAGATCTCCACAAGTTTTCATTGATTCACCTTTGAAATAACATTAATTATAAATGATAACACAATCATTTCCATCACTATTAATTAATATTTATAATATTTTACTTTACTAAAGCATCATTATTATCTAAATTAATATCATTAGGATCTGAACTATTATTAGATTCTGTTTCTGTTGAATTATTATCATCAACTAAGACATTATTAGATTCTTATTCTGTCTAATTATTTTCTTCAGTCAATTCTTATGTCTAATTTTCAATAACGACTACTTATTGATCATCAACAATTTATGCCTCTGCATTATTTGATTCTTCATCAGGAATCAATTTAATTTCTTAATTAACAAGATTTTGATTAGATGGTGAATCATAAAATTAAATTGTTTCTTCTTATGTTTAAAGATCTTATTAATTGTTATCTTATTCAATAGATTCAATATCATTTTATTTAATATCTTCTTATTAAGCTTATGGTACATCATCAATATAATTTTCACTTTCTTAATTATCTTATTAGACATCCTATTCAGTTTAATTTTCTGAGTTTTATTCATTCTCAAATACAACCTAAACATCTTGTGCTTCAGTATCTTATTATTATATTTCATCATTTTAAACTTCAGATTATTAGACTGAATCTGTTTCAGGATCAGCATAAGCATCTTCATTTTAAACTTATTGAATTTCAACATCATTTGTATTTTCAACATCTTATTAAGCATCATAGACATCAACATCTTATTGAACTTCAACTTAAGTTTCATCAACATATTAATCAGTTTCTTATTAATCTTGAACTTCTGCATATTCATCAGTTTAGGATTAAAGTTCAACATCATCTTATGTTTCAATTTAATCATATGTAGCATCTTATTCATTTTATGTATCTTCATTGAATTCATTATTTTATTATTATTCTGATAAATCATTATTATTGTCTTCAACCTCTTACAATTATTCTGAATAATCCTAATCTTATGATTAAAGATCATCATAATTTTCTTACTCTTATTCTTAAACAACCTAAAGTAAATGAGGTAATTATTACTTCAATATTGTTTTATGGAGTCTCATCATCTGGATTTAACATTTATTGTGATTCATCAGTAGTGTTAATGTCAGTGTTCAATTGAACATCATCTAAATCCTACAATTAATTAACAGAAGTATTGTCATCTTAAGACACTAATGTTGTTGTCTCAACTTCAACATCCTCATTACTTAATTCTTTTGTATTCTCAATTACATTAACAGCATCTTCTCTAACTATATATATAATAATACTAGTTAGTTTATAGGAATGATAAGACAACAGTCATTTGCTATGTTGCCACCAATGCTAACAATAAAATGTAAATTTTCATAATTATATATTATAAGTTTTTATAAAACGGATCCTTAAAATTTGGAGTTCTTAATATAACTAAATTTGGTTTTTAGAAATTAAGAAATCCTTAAAATTAGATAGAACCTTAATATCAAAATATAAAGACATTAATCATTCTAAGCTATTATATAAAAAGTAATATTTGGTTTAAATAACTATGATACATCAATAATAATTGTATCTCAAATAAGTGAATCTTCATAGGTTTCTAAATTCATTTAATATTCCCTGAGCTTCCAATAATTTAATTTCTTTCTCTTCATACCATTTTATTCTAACTCCTTCCTCCCAATAACCTATTTTTTCCATATTCTGATTTGTCAAATAAATACCAACTCCATGTTATTTATTTTATTTCCAACAACCAGCATATTTACGTCCATCTTCCCATTTGAATACTCCTTTCCCATGTTTTTTATCATTATCATATTCCTAAATAACTATTAAACTCTTGATTACTTACTCCTTTATATATTTTTCCATCAGGCAATTTTAATTCCCCAATTCCATTCATTTTATTATTCATCCATTCTCCAATATAAACTCTTCCATCTAACCATTAATATGTACCATGTCCTTAAATTTCATTTTAAAAAAATTCTCCTTATCAAATTGAAATAACTGAATTACCTTAATAATAAGATCCATCTGCAAAAACAAGTTTACCATTACCATGTTTCTTACCACATTAATAATCCCCTTCATATTTTGCTCCATCTGGCCATTCCTCTATTCCTCTTCCATGTTATCTATCATTAAGCCACTAACTCCTATTATTAGATAATACCTCTCCAATATACTTAGCTCCATTATCATGAGTATATGATCCTAAACCGTTAGCTTAATCATCTAACCAATCTCCTTCATAAATATCTCCATCTGCATGTACGAGTCTTCCCTTAAATTAAATAAACTTTAACAACTTTTCCACAAGATTTATCATTTTTCCATTCTCCTTCATAAACAGAACCATCTGGCCATTATTATTTTCCATATCCCTCTCTCTTTCCATCTAACCATTCCCCTTCATATGTAGCACCATTTTATAATAAGATCATCTAATGAATAATAATTAGGCAACTTTACAGGAAGTTTAATTTTTTCTTGCTTCCCTAAAGTTTTCCTAACCAAAGGATGTATATTTTAATTATCAGTTTGACTATTCAAATTTTTTTCAATCTCTTTTATAGAGACCTTGCTATGTTAAGATTAAATCTGTATATCATTTTAATTTGCATCTTCAACTTACCCTGGATTTGTATTTTTATTAGTTAAAGAATGTTTTGATTTTTTCACTGAGATTTCAATAGAACGATTGGAATTCTTTACAGTTTATATTTCCTCTTTAGCACAACAAGTGTTTACACTACATGTTTAACCCATATTGGAAACTTTTAAATTTCTAAAATTAAAATCATTAACAAAAATTAGAGATCTTAGAATTCATTTTCTTTATTATTATATCGTAAGTTCTAATGCATATAAAATTGTATTTTATTATTATATTATGATATTTAAATCATGAATAAATTTAACTTACTATTGCTCCTGTAAATCCAGAAATGCCAGCCACAATCATTATCAAAAATGTAAACATAATATTGAAATCTGACCACTTTTTACCATCTTTAAGTTCCAATTTAATATAAATCAAACATGGTAATACAATTACCATAATCATACCAAATATTCCTCCTAATAAACCAAAAATTGCCCTAATTTTTATAAAACTTATTGATTACTTAACATTTGGATATATCATAGCAATAATTCCAGTTGAATATTATAAGACTACTGTACAAATTACATAAGCATTCCAATTGTTTTCTTTATCAATCAATTGCAAAATTGTAAATCTAGATGGATTTAAGTTAATTGGAACTGCAAAAAACATAATAAATGCAAAAAAGGCTTAAGCAAAAGTAAACTCAATGTTTCCTACATAACCATCAATTATAATTTTTGGTGTTTATTAAAATAAGGTCAAATAACCAAAGATCATTAATGTTAAATAAATGATTAGTTCTGAAAATATGGCTCGATTGAATATTTTGGACATTCTTCTGAAACTTGATCTATTTAATTCAGATCTTATTGGGAAAATTAACTAATGACAAATAAAACCAAAAAATGTTGATGCAAATGTACTTGTTAATTAAATATTAAAATCAAAATACACAATTTTACTATCATCAAAGAGATTTGAAAATTCAGTGAAGAAGTATATGATTATTATTACTAAAATATATGCTATAATTATTATTTAAACAACAGTAAAGTATCTTAATGAATATAAATCCTTCATCATACTTATAGGGAAGTTAAGAATCATAAATAAAGCTCCACCTATATATCTGACTTAAACCTAATATGATTAATCAAATCCACATACTAATAAGACTTACCAAAGGAATTATATAAACAAAATCTAATAACAAACAATTGCTCCAAAAGTATAACAAATCATATCCACTGAATAAAATTTTTACATTTTTGAACCTAAAGCAAATTTGACTAATTCTGCATAGGAATGTTAATTATTTTTGAATGCACACTTCATTAGTATATGCATAGAAAATCTAGACAATAATGCACATATAATCATCAATATGATGCTATTAATTAATCCAGATTAAACAGGATTTGCTATAATATTAAAATAAATATAAATATACATGGAAAGGATAACATTCCTGAACCCATTGCAGCACACATAAGAGCAATTATAGATTATCTCAGTGATCCTTTTTTCATAGTTCCACAAGTTCTTGCAAACCAAGAAGTATTCTAAGCATTCTATTCTAATTATCCTTAATCATCTAAATTATCTTGAGTTTAGTTTATTGCATCATCTTACAAGTGATTGTAAATATCATTTTCAGAATTCTCTATTTTCATTCTATTATTATTATATATGAAATATATTTATATATAAGATATAAATTAATGATTTCATATAATTTAATAAACTCTAACGTTCTAAATTATNATTGATTACTTAACATTTGGATATATCATAGCAATAATTCCAGTTGAATATTATAAGACTACTGTACAAATTACATAAGCATTCCAATTGTTTTCTTTATCAATCAATTGCAAAATTGTAAATCTAGATGGATTTAAGTTAATTGGAACTGCAAAAAACATAATAAATGCAAAAAAGGCTTAAGCAAAAGTAAACTCAATGTTTCCTACATAACCATCAATTATAATTTTTGGTGTTTATTAAAATAAGGTCAAATAACCAAAGATCATTAATGTTAAATAAATGATTAGTTCTGAAAATATGGCTCGATTGAATATTTTGGACATTCTTCTGAAACTTGATCTATTTAATTCAGATCTTATTGGGAAAATTAACTAATGACAAATAAAACCAAAAAATGTTGATGCAAATGTACTTGTTAATTAAATATTAAAATCAAAATACACAATTTTACTATCATCAAAGAGATTTGAAAATTCAGTGAAGAAGTATATGATTATTATTACTAAAATATATGCTATAATTATTATTTAAACAACAGTAAAGTATCTTAATGAATATAAATCCTTCATCATACTTATAGGGAAGTTAAGAATCATAAATAAAGCTCCACCTATATATCTGACTTAAACCTAATATGATTAATCAAATCCACATACTAATAAGACTTACCAAAGGAATTATATAAACAAAATCTAATAACAAACAATTGCTCCAAAAGTATAACAAATCATATCCACTGAATAAAATTTTTACATTTTTGAACCTAAAGCAAATTTGACTAATTCTGCATAGGAATGTTAATTATTTTTGAATGCACACTTCATTAGTATATGCATAGAAAATCTAGACAATAATGCACATATAATCATCAATATGATGCTATTAATTAATCCAGATTAAACAGGATTTGCTATAATATTAAAATAAATATAAATATACATGGAAAGGATAACATTCCTGAACCCATTGCAGCACACATAAGAGCAATTATAGATTATCTCAGTGATCCTTTTTTCATAGTTCCACAAGTTCTTGCAAACCAAGAAGTATTCTAAGCATTCTATTCTAATTATCCTTAATCATCTAAATTATCTTGAGTTTAGTTTATTGCATCATCTTACAAGTGATTGTAAATATCATTTTCAGAATTCTCTATTTTCATTCTATTATTATTATATATGAAATATATTTATATATAAGATATAAATTAATGATTTCATATAATTTAATAAACTCTAACGTTCTAAATTATCAAATATAATAAAGCTTTCTAAAATTGCTGAACAAGATAAATAATAAGTTTCACTCTCTAAATATGTTATTACAATTAATTTCATCTCAATAAGTAGATTTATATATATATAAATTTTAATTAATATATTTAATGTATGGACGAATTAAAAGACAAAAGGTTAAAATTCTTAGGATATTTTATTTTGCTCAAGATTTTATTGATTTTTAGATGGCAATAGAATATAATAATTATTCATAACAATATTACTGTAATAAGAAAAGTACATTATTAATTCTCATTTATGTTCTCCACTTTTTACATTGATCATTACTTTTGAATGCAATCTTTATGAAGATTTTCTTCTCAATTAACTTGTCAATGTAGCATCCATATTTTCCTCTGCTATTTCTGTCTCTTTAAATAGATGTACCTTCCTCCAACAACCTTCAGGTATTAATTTAAATATTATTCCAGCTAGTATTCCCAAAACACCAAATCCTGTACATATCAAATGTTCAATTAGTGTTAATTATCTCACTTTAACATAACTTGCAGCAAATTCTAACAATGCAAATTAAATTGCTACTGTTAATAATTATATTAACCAAAACATTCCATTATTGAATAAATTATTAAATGGATTAAGTGATTGATAATCTAACTGTCTACAAGTTATTGAATTGAAAACTTACATAATTACAAAAGTTTAAAAAAAGATACTGAGTTTAGTCAACTAATTTATAATAATTAATTAAATACCTCATCAGAAGGATAAAGAAATAAAATACAATTAAGAACAGCCAATTAATAGAGACTTTGACAGCATATTGTTCTATACATATATGCTGAAACAATTGGTTAGGTTCTTTTATATGGTTATCTATCCAAAAGTGCAGCACTAGGTGGTTCTGTTGCCAATGCTAAAGAAGCAAAAGTATCCATAATTAAATTAACCCATAACATTTAAATAGTATTAAGAGGAGATTAATTTAGAATGACAGCTCCTAAAAAAGCCATAAATAATGCTACAATATTAACAGTCAATTAAAATTAGATAAATTTTCTAATACAATCATAAATATTTCTACCCCATTTAATTGCTAATAATAATATGAATAATTTTTACCTGTNTATGCATAGAAAATCTAGACAATAATGCACATATAATCATCAATATGATGCTATTAATTAATCCAGATTAAACAGGATTTGCTATAATATTAAAATAAATATAAATATACATGGAAAGGATAACATTCCTGAACCCATTGCAGCACACATAAGAGCAATTATAGATTATCTCAGTGATCCTTTTTTCATAGTTCCACAAGTTCTTGCAAACCAAGAAGTATTCTAAGCATTCTATTCTAATTATCCTTAATCATCTAAATTATCTTGAGTTTAGTTTATTGCATCATCTTACAAGTGATTGTAAATATCATTTTCAGAATTCTCTATTTTCATTCTATTATTATTATATATGAAATATATTTATATATAAGATATAAATTAATGATTTCATATAATTTAATAAACTCTAACGTTCTAAATTATCAAATATAATAAAGCTTTCTAAAATTGCTGAACAAGATAAATAATAAGTTTCACTCTCTAAATATGTTATTACAATTAATTTCATCTCAATAAGTAGATTTATATATATATAAATTTTAATTAATATATTTAATGTATGGACGAATTAAAAGACAAAAGGTTAAAATTCTTAGGATATTTTATTTTGCTCAAGATTTTATTGATTTTTAGATGGCAATAGAATATAATAATTATTCATAACAATATTACTGTAATAAGAAAAGTACATTATTAATTCTCATTTATGTTCTCCACTTTTTACATTGATCATTACTTTTGAATGCAATCTTTATGAAGATTTTCTTCTCAATTAACTTGTCAATGTAGCATCCATATTTTCCTCTGCTATTTCTGTCTCTTTAAATAGATGTACCTTCCTCCAACAACCTTCAGGTATTAATTTAAATATTATTCCAGCTAGTATTCCCAAAACACCAAATCCTGTACATATCAAATGTTCAATTAGTGTTAATTATCTCACTTTAACATAACTTGCAGCAAATTCTAACAATGCAAATTAAATTGCTACTGTTAATAATTATATTAACCAAAACATTCCATTATTGAATAAATTATTAAATGGATTAAGTGATTGATAATCTAACTGTCTACAAGTTATTGAATTGAAAACTTACATAATTACAAAAGTTTAAAAAAAGATACTGAGTTTAGTCAACTAATTTATAATAATTAATTAAATACCTCATCAGAAGGATAAAGAAATAAAATACAATTAAGAACAGCCAATTAATAGAGACTTTGACAGCATATTGTTCTATACATATATGCTGAAACAATTGGTTAGGTTCTTTTATATGGTTATCTATCCAAAAGTGCAGCACTAGGTGGTTCTGTTGCCAATGCTAAAGAAGCAAAAGTATCCATAATTAAATTAACCCATAACATTTAAATAGTATTAAGAGGAGATTAATTTAGAATGACAGCTCCTAAAAAAGCCATAAATAATGCTACAATATTAACAGTCAATTAAAATTAGATAAATTTTCTAATACAATCATAAATATTTCTACCCCATTTAATTGCTAATAATAATATGAATAATTTTTACCTGTTATAATACTACTAAAATTATCGTCTACTAATATAATATCAGCTGCATCTTTAGCAACATCAGAACCAGATTCACCCATTGCAAATCCTACATCTGCTTTCTTTAATGCTGGAGCATCATTAGTACCATCTCCTGTTACTGCTACAATATTTCCTTGATCAATAAGACCAGTAACTAACATAAATTTATCTTCAGGAGTAGCTCTGGCTAATACTTTTAACTATTTGCTAATTTTATTAAATATTTCTTAATTAGCAATTCTTAATACTTTTTTACCATCTACTTAAGATGTCACAAGTCCTCCAATACTTTCTCTAAAATCCTTTCCTTCCATACATTCATATTCCTTAGGTTGTGCTGATGATAATATTCCACTCTCCTTAGCAATTGCAATAGCTGTTAAAGTATTATCTCCTGTAAGCATTCTGACTTATATTCCAGCTTTGTTACATGCTTTTATTGAATTAGGAACATCTTTTCTTATTGGATCTTTAATTCCAGCTATTGCAATTAAAACTAAATCTTTTTCCAACTCCTCTTCAGTTAAATTAAATGCTAATTCTTTTAATTAATGTTGGGTTCCTTTATAATTTGTATCCTTATATGCTATTGCAATAGTTCTCAAAGATCTTGAAGCAAATCTATCAATAACATCTTATTTAATTTATTTTTTTTTATTTTCATCTAAAAAATGTTCTTATCCTTTTGCAATTAATTTAGTTGATTGATTCAAAATGATTTCTGATGCTCCTTTAACAAATACTCTTAAAAATCCTTTATAATAAATAACAGTAGCCATCTTCTTTCTTCTACTACTGAAAGGTAAGACTTTAACAATTTTATCAGTAGGTCTGTATAAAGATATACTATATCCAAATTTATCTGTTAATTCAAGTAATGCACATTCAGTCTTATTTCCAGTCTATATAAAGTTTCCTGTATCTGTTTTAGTAGGATAAGCCGTTGAATTAAATGTTACACTTTCAGCTAGTAATTCTTACATTTATTTTGGTATTTAAGCATCCTTTTTATCATAAATAGCTTAATTCATAAAAATATCATTTTCAATCCATAATCCAGTGACAGTCATTTTATTTTATGTTAATGTTCCTGTTTTATCACTACAAATAGTATTAGCTCCACCCATAGTTTCACATGATGCTAAATTTTTAACTAAGTTATTTTCATCCTTCATTTTATTTACAGAATATGCTAATGCTATAGTAACTGCTAATGGCAATCCTTCTGGTACTGCAACTACAATAATAGTCACTCCTATCATGAATGATTATATAACAAATTGTAATGTTTCTACACTCAAAATTTTATTATAACCCATAAATCCCAAAATTAATTAATGTATTGACAATGCAAAAAATGTAATAATAGCAACAAATGTACCAAATTTACCAATATCTTCAGCTAATCCTTCCAATTTTTATTATAATGGAGTTGGAGGAGTTTCTTAGTCTAATAATAATTTTGTTTTTCCAGCACATGTATTTTATCCAACTGTTAATACTAACATAGTTCCTGTGCCATCCATTACTTTGGTTCCAGAAATCATAAATGGAGATGCATTTTTTAACTATTTCTTTAATTAATTACTATTTTTCATTTATTAAGATTAACTAGATTTCATCATTAAATATTCAGTTATTTCATTATATGGTAATTTACGTATAGAATCTGATTCTCCTGTAACTGTTGATTCATCCATTTTCACTTCTGATCCAGATACCATTAATCCATCTACCTATAATAAATCACCAATATTAAAAAAAAGAATATCTCCAACAACTAATTCTTTGCTATCAATTTATTATACTTTGGAATTTCTAATTACTTATTACTTTGATTCATCTAATTTATGGTATAATTTTTGAAATTATCTTTCTTTAACATAATTATTTCCAACAGTAATTGAAACTATTAAAAATACTGCAAAGAATATTGTTGCTCCTTCACTCCACCCAGTCTCAATACCTTCTTTATAGATACCAATCCCAGTTGAGACTAATGCAGCGATTAATAATATTTATAACATGGTGTCTCCAAAACACTCTATAATCATAGAAAATATAGAAGATAATTCTCTTTCAACAGGCAAATTTTCTCCATACAATTATCTAAGTCTTAAAACATTTTCATTTGAATCAACTCCATTCTGTTATAAATCAAATATTAATACATTAACATTAGATTAAAATGCTGTTAACAAACCCTGATCCCCTCCTATTTCAATTAATTTTTTTATGCTCTTTCCCTCCATAATGTTATTCATTTCGAACAAATTACTCAAAAAATCAATATCGATTTTTTCCATTTAAATACTTTATTAAACTTGAATCTCAAAAATAAAAATTTATCACTTTATTATTGAATATCATCATAAAACTATCTATTATATTAAATATAGATTNTAGGTCTGTATAAAGATATACTATATCCAAATTTATCTGTTAATTCAAGTAATGCACATTCAGTCTTATTTCCAGTCTATATAAAGTTTCCTGTATCTGTTTTAGTAGGATAAGCCGTTGAATTAAATGTTACACTTTCAGCTAGTAATTCTTACATTTATTTTGGTATTTAAGCATCCTTTTTATCATAAATAGCTTAATTCATAAAAATATCATTTTCAATCCATAATCCAGTGACAGTCATTTTATTTTATGTTAATGTTCCTGTTTTATCACTACAAATAGTATTAGCTCCACCCATAGTTTCACATGATGCTAAATTTTTAACTAAGTTATTTTCATCCTTCATTTTATTTACAGAATATGCTAATGCTATAGTAACTGCTAATGGCAATCCTTCTGGTACTGCAACTACAATAATAGTCACTCCTATCATGAATGATTATATAACAAATTGTAATGTTTCTACACTCAAAATTTTATTATAACCCATAAATCCCAAAATTAATTAATGTATTGACAATGCAAAAAATGTAATAATAGCAACAAATGTACCAAATTTACCAATATCTTCAGCTAATCCTTCCAATTTTTATTATAATGGAGTTGGAGGAGTTTCTTAGTCTAATAATAATTTTGTTTTTCCAGCACATGTATTTTATCCAACTGTTAATACTAACATAGTTCCTGTGCCATCCATTACTTTGGTTCCAGAAATCATAAATGGAGATGCATTTTTTAACTATTTCTTTAATTAATTACTATTTTTCATTTATTAAGATTAACTAGATTTCATCATTAAATATTCAGTTATTTCATTATATGGTAATTTACGTATAGAATCTGATTCTCCTGTAACTGTTGATTCATCCATTTTCACTTCTGATCCAGATACCATTAATCCATCTACCTATAATAAATCACCAATATTAAAAAAAAGAATATCTCCAACAACTAATTCTTTGCTATCAATTTATTATACTTTGGAATTTCTAATTACTTATTACTTTGATTCATCTAATTTATGGTATAATTTTTGAAATTATCTTTCTTTAACATAATTATTTCCAACAGTAATTGAAACTATTAAAAATACTGCAAAGAATATTGTTGCTCCTTCACTCCACCCAGTCTCAATACCTTCTTTATAGATACCAATCCCAGTTGAGACTAATGCAGCGATTAATAATATTTATAACATGGTGTCTCCAAAACACTCTATAATCATAGAAAATATAGAAGATAATTCTCTTTCAACAGGCAAATTTTCTCCATACAATTATCTAAGTCTTAAAACATTTTCATTTGAATCAACTCCATTCTGTTATAAATCAAATATTAATACATTAACATTAGATTAAAATGCTGTTAACAAACCCTGATCCCCTCCTATTTCAATTAATTTTTTTATGCTCTTTCCCTCCATAATGTTATTCATTTCGAACAAATTACTCAAAAAATCAATATCGATTTTTTCCATTTAAATACTTTATTAAACTTGAATCTCAAAAATAAAAATTTATCACTTTATTATTGAATATCATCATAAAACTATCTATTATATTAAATATAGATTATCAGTAAAAAAAAAGATGATATGAATTTATGAATAATTACTTAATAACTCAATTCTTAATTTGTACTTGATTCATCCTTATTAAACAATCGACATCTTTTAAATTATGGATTCTCTTTTTTTTGTAGAAGGTTTTCCTAATACTAATCTTTCATATGTTGTTAAACCAGAATAATAATTTCTTATCTACGTGAGTATCAAATTTAATAATGGAATCATAAACAAAAATTCAATGATAGTTAGTATAATTAAAATTGTAAAGTTATTTTTTTCCATTGTATTTTAATCTGTCAGTGCCAAAATTCCAAGTATTATTATTAAAAGAAAATCAAGAAATAAGAATAAAAGAAATAACCAAAATATTGATTAATTGTCATTTCCAACCTAAAATTAAAGTAATTATATATATAATACGCAATTATTAACCCAAGGACAATGATGATCATATTTAATAACGCATCTTTTACAAAATTCACAATGCTTTGATCTATCAGGAGTTTAAATAAAACAATCGTAACAAATTTCAAAAGGTTCCAATTTATTTAATATAGACTTCAAATTTTATCTAATTTTATTATATGAATAAATACTCATCTTTTGGATTAGCATATCCAGGATTTGAATATGAAACCAATACAAAACAGATGAAAAATAATGTAACAATTATTATGAACATAATAAAACTTCCTGTATTTTAGTCTTTGTTTGTTGAATTTTAAACCAAGAATATAGTCCCAAAATTTGTGATCGAAAAAAATAATAAAAATATTAAAGACTACATATATGATCTTTTTCCTAAATATAATAGTTGATACTTGGTTTCAAATTTAATTAAAGTAATAGAGATTTCCAAGAAAATCGAAATGATTTTAAAGCATCAAGAGTTTAGTAATCCTCAGCCAAATCTATTGGTAACTAATCTTTTTTATTTCTAATATTAATGCTTCCACCTCTTTAAATTAATTTTCTTATTAATTTATAACTATTATTCAAAGCAGCAATATGCAATGGTGTATTTCCATTTGCATCCTAAATATTTATAGGATGCTTCCATTTCATCAGAACTATAGCAGCATAATCACTTTTAGTAGAGCAAGCTAAATGTAAAGGTGTGACAGCATCTTGATATTTATTTTTAAAAGTTTCTTCCTTAAGCTTTTCTCTAATTAGTATCATTGTCAAAACATCATTTTTAATTGCAGCCATTCCTAATAGATTTTTGGGAATATAATATCTAGATATTTCATCTAGCATATCAATTTTACCTGAATAAATAAAATAATGAATGGCTTAAAGATCATATTTATCTTATTTTTACAACCATTCTTTTGCTTAAGACTGAAATTTAATCAAAAGCCTATTAAATATAAATGAATTAGAATTTAATGCTAAATAATGCAAGACTGTTCGTTTTTCGCTATCTTCAAGGTCGTAAATATTTGGCACAGTGTCTACAGATGCATTTAATATTGGCATTTTATTTTTTTTTGCAGCTTCAATTAGATCAGATCCGCTATGAACTTTAGTTATATCCATAAAATTGTAAATAGTTTTGTTCTCTGGTTCTACATTATTACCTAGAGTTACTACTGCTATGAAAAATATCTTACATTAAATTNTATATAATACGCAATTATTAACCCAAGGACAATGATGATCATATTTAATAACGCATCTTTTACAAAATTCACAATGCTTTGATCTATCAGGAGTTTAAATAAAACAATCGTAACAAATTTCAAAAGGTTCCAATTTATTTAATATAGACTTCAAATTTTATCTAATTTTATTATATGAATAAATACTCATCTTTTGGATTAGCATATCCAGGATTTGAATATGAAACCAATACAAAACAGATGAAAAATAATGTAACAATTATTATGAACATAATAAAACTTCCTGTATTTTAGTCTTTGTTTGTTGAATTTTAAACCAAGAATATAGTCCCAAAATTTGTGATCGAAAAAAATAATAAAAATATTAAAGACTACATATATGATCTTTTTCCTAAATATAATAGTTGATACTTGGTTTCAAATTTAATTAAAGTAATAGAGATTTCCAAGAAAATCGAAATGATTTTAAAGCATCAAGAGTTTAGTAATCCTCAGCCAAATCTATTGGTAACTAATCTTTTTTATTTCTAATATTAATGCTTCCACCTCTTTAAATTAATTTTCTTATTAATTTATAACTATTATTCAAAGCAGCAATATGCAATGGTGTATTTCCATTTGCATCCTAAATATTTATAGGATGCTTCCATTTCATCAGAACTATAGCAGCATAATCACTTTTAGTAGAGCAAGCTAAATGTAAAGGTGTGACAGCATCTTGATATTTATTTTTAAAAGTTTCTTCCTTAAGCTTTTCTCTAATTAGTATCATTGTCAAAACATCATTTTTAATTGCAGCCATTCCTAATAGATTTTTGGGAATATAATATCTAGATATTTCATCTAGCATATCAATTTTACCTGAATAAATAAAATAATGAATGGCTTAAAGATCATATTTATCTTATTTTTACAACCATTCTTTTGCTTAAGACTGAAATTTAATCAAAAGCCTATTAAATATAAATGAATTAGAATTTAATGCTAAATAATGCAAGACTGTTCGTTTTTCGCTATCTTCAAGGTCGTAAATATTTGGCACAGTGTCTACAGATGCATTTAATATTGGCATTTTATTTTTTTTTGCAGCTTCAATTAGATCAGATCCGCTATGAACTTTAGTTATATCCATAAAATTGTAAATAGTTTTGTTCTCTGGTTCTACATTATTACCTAGAGTTACTACTGCTATGAAAAATATCTTACATTAAATTAGAGGTTCAGCTGTTGCTGGTGATTCTTCCATTTTTTTATTACTAATGTTATAAAATAATTTCATTTAATTTATAATCAATCATCATAGTAATCAGATCATTTTTGTTTATTCTTCATCACTTGTTTTTGTATCACTAAGTTTTGAGTTTGAAATAAAATTTGAATGATGATATACATGGTTATGATTGTTTCTATTCTATTTTCTCACAATAATCTTTTTTTTTAAAACACTCATCTAATTGTCAATATCATGTTAAATTAATTCTGCCTAATCTCTTTATTGCATTTCATATTCCTAAAATTATAAACATTTCTACTTCCTATAATGTTTTTATCTTTTCAAAACTATTATTTAGATCTGACTGAACTTGTGCTTGTTTTTCTAATTTTAATACTGGCAAAGAAAAATTATGTTAATGTCTATGTCCAATAGGTGTTTTATTCTCTGTTATAAGGTATTATTCTTTCAAATTCAATAAAGTAAAAGGTCTAGATAGGATGAATTGCATTTTTTCTAAGAAATATTATTTTATTGGGTCCTTTTTTAAATCATAAAACATCACAAGCTCCCCAATACTTAAAATAAGTTACTCTAAATCTTATTTGTCAGCTTCTTCCTAATAGAATCTTTATTCTAAATTATTTAATTTGGTGTAAAAGTTAGTATCAAATTTTTGTTGATTAATTGACATTCAATATATTAATTACTACGCTTGTAAATATCAATAATTAACTTTAATCGAAGAATTAAATCAGTTATATATACTAAGAATATTATAAATTAATTAACGAATTATGAAAAATAACATTCCATAAAGTCCTTCCCCATACAAATTAAAGGATTCTAATTTAAACTATGATACTTAACAATATCAAGAATTAATGAAAAATTTTGAAAATTTAATCAAAGTCACTTAAGACAAACTCTATTCTAATTAAAAAAAAATAGAAGAAACTTGTAAGTGTTCAATAGAAGATCAATATTAAGCTTTATTAATGGAAAATGAGAATCTAAAATAATTGCTATCTGAATTACAAATGAAATTAGAACATGATAATTCAAATGTTAAACCAATTGAATAACAATAATAATTTGAATCCTTTATGAAAGAAGCTGTATTAAAATCAGAATAATAAAATGAACTTATAGAAAGATTATAATAACAAACATTTGAATTTTAGTAATAATTGTTAATTGAAAAAGGTTAACATTGTTAAACCTAAAAATAACTTTCAGATATTCAGGAAGATTTTCATAATTATAAAAAAGAACGAACTCTATAATAATGTTATGATTTCGAAGTAACTGAAAAAATCACTCAAGGCTATTCAGAATTAGTTAAAGAAAATCAAAAATAGAAATAAGAACTTAAAGAACTTTAATTAGAAATAGACAAGTTAAGAATTGCATTAAATTAAGCATACATATCATTATCAAAACAATAATAATAACATAAAATATCTTAAAGAATTATAAATCAAGAAGAAATACAAACAACTGGAACTTAGACAGAGGCTATAATATATTAACAACATGAAATATTAAAGGAAAGAATAAATAATTAAATGTACAATTTAGAAAAATTCATCTCTTAATATTTAGATAAAAAGAAGATGAGAAATAAATCAGCCAATGAAAATAAATTTTATACTGATCTAAGTTGTTGGGTTGAATAAGCAAAATATGAATTGATTTCTTTAAAATAATAAATTACAGCATTGGTTACTGAAAAAGAACATTAAAAAGAATAACTAATTGCAGTCAAATAAGATTTCGAATAAGTTTAGAATTCTTTAATTTAAGAAACACAAGTATTAAAAAGTGAAATTAAAAGTTAGAATGATAAATATTAAATATTATTAGAAGATTTTAATAGAGCTTAAAATAAATATATTGAAATTGCTGAAGAGAAGAAATTAACTCATAATATCAGAAATTAATTAGAAAGAGAACTTAATGAATTAAAATTAAAACATGAATAATTAATATTAGAGTCTAACTCTTATGATACCTAATTTAAAATAATTACTTAATCCTATTAAAGTGATAAGAAATTATATGAAGATTAATTAGATAAATTATAATAGAAAAATCTATCTTTAGAATCAGAACTCAATTAAAGTTTAATATAACATGAATAAATAATCAAATAACTTTAAGTAGCAAATATTAATATTTAACAATTATAATAATAATTGTAAGAATCTTAAGAAATTGCCAATCATTAATCTGAATAGTTTTAATCAACATAAGATAAAATTACTTAGATAATTAAGGAAAAAGAATAACTTTTAATTACAAATATGGAACTTGAATAAAATTAATAATTATTGAAAGAGAATATAAATAAACTTAAAGAATTTTAATCCAAATCTGATAAAGAAAAATAAAGCAATCAAAATCTCATCTATGAAATGGAAAAAGAGAAGGAAGATTTAAAAATATATTGTTAAAAATTATAGTAGGATTTAACAGATAGAAATGTTTAGTTAACATCTTTAAAAGAGCAAGTATCAAATATGGAATATTAATTATATTTAACTCCATCTGATGATAAGTCTAGAATTGAAAATACCTATATGTCATCAAAGATTGAGGATTTAGAAAGTATTTTGAAAGAAAAAGATTAAAAAATTGAAGATCTTGAAAGGTTGTATCATTTAACTAACTATGAATTGAGAATCTTATAGGATTATTAATCAACATTTGAAAAAGATTTAGATTTTTATAAAACCAAAGTTTCAAAATTAGAATAAGAGTTAATAGAATAACATAATGTTTTATCCATTTCAAAAACTTCAGTCAATTCAAATATACGTAAAATATTAATTTAAAACATTTAGCAATTAATAAATTTGATGAATAAATTAAAATCATGTCTTCACCTATTTCTTCTTTAAAAATAGACTCTTAAAGTAATAATGGATCTCCTTAGATTTAAGTTAAAATATTATCTGGTGAAATTCAGAGACTGAGTCAAATTGTCAAAATATAATAGAAGAAATTATTAGATTTATAATATTTTATTGAAAAAATGATTACATCAAATGAATAAAATAGATTATTAGCTAAATAAATCCTTCTCTAAGCTAGTTAATGTGGAGAAATTAATGGATATAATTTATTTGAAAAAGTAAATCTTAATACACAAATCAGTGTTAATTCATGTGAAACTTTTGGTATTAATGTTCAAAGCATTGAAAAACATGAATTTTGATTTATTTTCTATTGATATAAACACTTATATTAATTAATCTTGAGACAGTATGGGGATGACAGAATGTAAAGAATGCCATTAGGCTTCATTAGAAGATCAATTACCATAACCTTTTTAACTATCAATAAGAGGAAGATCTCATTTAATTTCTATCACGTCTTATTAAGGAGAAGTTAAAACAGTAATTCTATATAATATATTATAGTTATCTGTGGAACCGAATTTAGAGATTGCCTATCCACTTACATAAGAAGAATTAGTTGAATATGAAGAATAATTGAAAGCACCAATTAAACAAAGACTATAAGAACTTGAACCTTTGCAAATCAGACCACTTAAATCAGTAAAACAAAAAGTTATTATGATAGTATGAATATTCAGAGAGAGCATATAAATTAAAAAAAACATAATCGATTTATTTAGGATAATGGAATAATGGAATACCATAAGGTTTTGGTATTATAATAAATCCGATTGAAAATTCATATTATGAGGGATCTATTTTGGGAGGTAAACCTCATGGATTTGGAAGAAAAATTTATTCATAAGGAAACTATTATTAAGGTAGACTTATTGTATCATTTTATAAAGGTGAATTTGAATATGGAAAAATATCTAATCAAGGTTTAGTTGTAATAGGAAAGGAGAAAGATGATACAAAAGAATTAAATTAAAACGAGTATTTACAGTCAATTAATCAAAATATGAAAATTGATTCTATATAAACTGAAAGATCTTAAGTAATGAGTTCGATAAAAAAATGATATTGTAAATAATTAAAAATTTCAATATATAAAATGCACTTTTTTCTTCTATAATTTATATTATTGATTGATCTTAAATGATTCTTGATATTTTAATTTGAAAATTTAATATACATAAAAGATTTAATCTAAAAAATGTATCAAAACAATATTTATATTTTGTATTCATTATTTTAATAATTGCTTTATTAGAAATGATTTTAGAGTTAATGCCTATGCAATATATAATATATTTACTTTATATTATTTTATAAATTTCTAATATTTTATTTATAATTATAATAAAGAAAGAGAGAAAGAATAATTAATGTGTATTTCTTCTCATTTAAAATCCAATTTTTTTCCTTTACTTTTCCTGATTAATTCACATAAAATCATTTTACTATTTTAATTATTTAGATTATAATATATTATTATTATAAATCGTTAAAATTATTTCAAAATTTTTGAAAAGCATATCAATATTTAGTAACAAAATCTTTAATATAGAAAAATTATATATTATAAGAATTCATGTAAAAAGGCAATCATAAATTAGAGAAGAATAAATGCTCTGAACATAATGAGAAAGCAGTTTTTATTAGAACATCATTTACAAACAATAAACATCTCAAATTATGCTATAAGTGCATTCTAAATTAGAATAAAAATCTTATGCTAATAGAAGATGTTGAACAATAATTTTAGAATGCAAAGATTCAAATAATTAAAGAAATAAAAAGTAAAAGAGAAAGAAATTCTATTATTTTTAAGAATATTAAAGAAAACCTTTTAAAATTTTAGACATCAACTTAAGATAAAATATCATAAATTATGCTCAATATTGATGAGCATTTGAAATAAATTGCAAATACAAATTATGAAACTTTGGAAAATTTAACTGTTTTTAATTTTGATGAAATAGAAAAACTATTGATATCAAACACAATAAATTTTGAAAAAATCAAAAATATGCTTTCCAATAACTTTTAGTCACTATCAACTAGCTATTTTATAAAAGTTAATGAATAATACTTAGCAAAAATAGAATTAGAGGAAGAAAATTATAAATTTAGATTAAATTAAGAACTTACTAATTGTAAGATTTAAAATACAATTAAGTTGCCTAATAACAATCTAATTTGTGAAAAGCATTAATCTCAATTAATGATGGTTGATCTAAGTGAACAATCAAATTTACCAAATAGAATAGCATGTTATTATTGTATTACAGAATATACAGCAAAATATACATCATTTGAAGAATTTCAATAAGTTTGGATGAAAAATAAATCTAGATTATATGAATAATTTATTACTTATTAGAAATAGGTAAATTCTCAGATTGAGAATTCAATTGAGTTGATAAGTGTTTTTAAAGAAAAGATGATCAAATTTTTAGATGTCCATTAAACTGCATTAATCTAAATAAAAAATATACCCAATTTAGAATCAGTTTATATTGTTCAATAGTTGATATCTAAAGAATGGATTGATTTAAATGAATAAGAAATTATAGAGATTGCCAAAACATTAAGCTAATTGAATAAAGGATAAATGGTTAGTAAGGAAATAAAAGAAGAATTCGATTAAAAATTATGGAAGTTTAAGGAATCTTCAAATCATTTAATTTCTTAATTTTAATTAATGCAAAATTAATTTATTCTAGATATTAAAAATCTTTAGAAAACAGAAGAAGAATTAAAAGTGTCTAATTGTGGAATCAAGGAAGATTTATCATAGAATACAAATATGAATTCTAATAAAAAACCAATTAATTATGATTTTATAGAATAAGATCCAATGTTAGATCTAAATATCAATTCTATCTAATTTAGTCCTGATTCATTAATATTAATTGCAGGATGCTCTGATGGAAAAATACAAGTGTTTGAATTGAAATCTGAAAAATTAAAATTATTGGAAGTATTACATGAACATAAAAACTAAGTGGATTCATTGTTATTTATGAAAAAATCAAAGGAATTTTTATCAGGGAGTAAAGATGAAACAATGGTTATTTGGTCAGGGACTAAACAATATAAGGATTGGAGAATTAATTAAAAATTAAGAGGAAATAATGGAATGTTAAATTGCATGGCATTAAATAATGATGAAAATTATTTTGCAGCTGGCTGTGGAAAAACCTTAAAATTATGGTCCAAAGATAAAGAATGGAAGTTTTAATATACTATTTTGGAAGATAAAACAGATATCTCAAGTATTTGTTTTAGTGACTCTTAAAATATATTAGTTTCTTCATCTTATAATAGTAAATGCATTTCGATATTTCAATTAAGTAAGGCAAATACATGGGCAAGATCTTAAACAATTATGACTAATTAATGGGGATCCAATTTAATATTCTTAGATAGTACATCATTCATATTTTAACCTTTTAATTAGGATATTTTGTAAATACATGATTTTCATCCATAATTATAACAATATGAAAAATCTAAGCAAATAAGAATTGATTTTGGAAATCAGAACAATTACTCACCTTCTACATAAATAATTAAATCTTAAGATTTTCTCCTTTATAGAGCTGGATAAAATCTTAATTTAATAAGATGCTTTAAGAATAAATAATTCAATATTGAATGGTCACTAAAACTAAGGGATGGCAGATAAATTTGTACAATCAGTGATAATTCTAAATATATAGCAACATGGAATTAAGATACGAAAGAATTCTTAATTAGAAAACAAAAGGATTGAGAATATATAATAAAAATATCATAATTTAAAAATTATATTAATTTCTGCTATGTTATAAATTTAATTTTTCTTAATTCAAAGACATTAAAGGTCTACAAAAAAATCATTATCTAAAGATTTTGGTTGAAAAATAAACACCTTCATAACTAAAATGCATTTTATTAAGATCAACTTTAACAGAGAATTTTGTAAATAACTGACTTATTTTTTAAATTATTAATTTTATCATCCATAAAATTATATTCTTTGTTATTTATATATTCGCTTTTAATTTTATTAGAATGTGTTAATGTTGTAATCTAGTAGTAAGAAAACTACCATTTGCTTGACATTATTCCTAGATTAGGAGGAGGAGAATGTTGAGCAGCAACAATTCCTTAAGATAAACTACAAAATTCAATAATAATTTGCCGATTAATTTTGCATCGAATATCAATGATCACATCAATAATATTTCTGAAAAATCTTATACTTTTTCTGGTAAGTTAAATTAAGACGATATACTCTCTTCATTTTAATGGTTTTACAATCATAAAGAAGATTTTTTAATTCTTTATTATTGTTAGAATTAAATGAACTCTATATATATTATCATTGCATTGAATCTTGTGGAGAATAATTATTAAAATAGTTGATAGTCTATAAAGCTGTCTGGATTTTTGTTTGTTAATTTCTAGACATATGCAATGTTCTATTTAGAGTAATGTATCCTATTAATTAAAAAATTATGATAGATATTGTAAACTAAAAATAATTTTTTTTTTCTAGTTTTATTTTTTATCAATTCTTGTTGTTTAAAGTTAATCTATGCTGGTGAGAAGAGCGAAGTGCTGAAATTATAAACCACTTTATCTGAGTATAATTTAGAAGCTACGCTTTTGCAAAAGAAATCTTAACAGTGAAAAAAAAATGTCAATTTTAAATCAAATTTATATCTCTAACATGAAAAAAACATAAGTAACAAAATGTATGACTTAAAAATATTGAAAAATTGAATTTTTTTGGCAAAAACCAATTATTTATAAATTTTTCCAAATCATTTTAGTATATGTAAAATAAATAATATTATTTGAGAGACTTTTATTGCATTTTGAATTTTTGATTTAAAAAATAGTCTTAAAATACAATACTATTTGTCCACTAAACACAAGTAATCAGTTACTAATAGTGACAAACAATAAACGCAAGGAAATTTAAACCAAACTTTGCTCGAAATTATTTCGATAATAGAATCTTAAATAAATATTGAAGCTAATAATATTTAGAAAAAAGGAGTTGAATTTAAGTTCCAATTAATCAAGACTTTTTTTTCATTGTAGTAAGAACTCTGAAAAGATGAAAGATTTAGCAATTGCTATACTATGCAGAGTAGCAAGTTCAATCTCTTAATTATCTCTAAGTAGTAAATTCATAGATGGCTTGATAACTTCAAATTTTTGATGATAAATTAATTTAACAGCCGCTTTAAAAATATAAAATATACATCTTTTTGAAAATTAAAAATGATCCATAATTTATTAATCGAAATTAGGTTATTCAGTCTACAAAAAGTTAATATAATTTTGGATGGATATAATGTTATATATAACCATCAAAGATTGAATGATAAATTTTTCTTGGATTAAATTTATATCTGATTTGATTTCTTATAGACCAATTGTTTGTAAGATTATATTAGTCAGCTTAAAACTCTAATTAACTAAATGAGAATCAATTAATAGTATAAAATTAGATTGTAGTATTAACTTATGGCAAAGTATTAGGTATACTATAAATTTATGGAAAAAAAGGTAATCTCAATTTGAATTAGTTTCAAAAATTGGTACTTAAGCAGTTTGACATTAACAATATGTTAAAATTACAATTTGAGGTGAGGAAAGAGGAATATAATGTCCAAATATGGGTAACAAAATGATTGGTTGCAATCAATGCAAAATCGATACTCATGGTAAAAATAGAACACCATCATGGACTTTATTATCCTAAAAAACCACTAATGACTGTAAATTGGTTGTTGGAGATGAAATAATCATTCCATCCAGCAAATAAGCCTAAAGAGAAGCTGAAAATAGAAAAATTGTATCAATTTCTAGTGATAAAAGAACTTTGACTTTGAATGAGACTCTGAATTTTATTCATGAAACAGTCTTAGAACATTTTGATGCAGTTGAATTTTTAAGAAAGGTGGAGGTAGGATGTTTGACCAGAATTATCAGAATCTAAGGTGATTAAATGAATTATCATGGAGTTCATATTTACATTTAAGGAAAACAAAATGAAGTCACTGAAGCAAAATTGAAAATGTAGAAAAGTAAATAGTGTTCAATAAAGATATTTAAATAGATTCCCAATTAATTTCAATAATGATGGAGTAGTTTCAAACTCATATATTAGAAGCAATTACATTCACAATTCAAATGCTCGTTGTATAGAATTATAAAGTTTATCACATTTGGATGTTACATATAACATTTGCCACAACATTGTTGGCCACACTATCTACATTTAAAATGGTAATGAAATGTACAAAACTTTTGAACTCAATCTTGTAGCTGTTGTTAAATCATCTTGCTAATTATATCAATCAGATGCAACAGCAGCAGCCTTCTGAATTACAAATACTAAGAATATATTTTTCAATAATAGAGTAGGTGGAGCATAATGGTTGGATTCTATTTAGCATTTAAATCAAAACCTTCTGGTGTTGCATCTAAACCAAATATTAATATGAATAATATGTTGGAGTGGAGATATTGCTCTTTGGGATAAAAATATAATATAAATTGTAAAAAATTGGTTAAGTCTATCGATCATTTCAATACATAAGTTCTCAAGAATCTGGTTTTCTATTCAGATTCAACTATACTGTTTAAAGAGGAACAGAAATCACAAATTCCTTTCAAATTAAAGTTAAGTTTCAGAAATTCCAAATCCCAATACTTGTAACAATGGTAACTAGTTCAAAGATAGAACTACATGATTCTTTAAAATTTTTATCTCTGCCAAATAAAGAATACAACAATATTGAGTTGCACCATCTGGAATCTTCTGTAGGGAGACTTGCATATTTTTATGACGTTCTTGTAAAAATACAAAAGAAATGATCAGACGTTTCTATATGGCCAAATGGTAGATTACCAATAGCAGGAGAAAATGTAACAATATCTCATGAATACATTATCATTATTGACATAGAATTGCCAGAATTTGATACAATTTTAAATCTAGGAGAATTATGGTTTGATAATGGAAGAGCAGTTACTACAATATAAGCAAGAAAGATCTTTGTAAGAAGCAATTAATCCAAAATTCCATTTTAAAGTGGTTTATTTCTTAGCTAAAGCTTTAATTATGGATAAGCATACATTAGAGAATGTTCGATCATCAATGTTTGGATTAAAGGGCATACAATAAATGGATTGGCTCCTTCGAAGTGACCAGTTTTTCTCGCCCTTTTTAGTTACCATTCAGGAACAATGGGAGGGGTAAAACTGATGAAGCTCCAAATTATTAATCAGTTGTAGCATTAAAAAAGACTCAAAAATAGAAAAGAACAAGATGAAATTTGTGATAAGAGGAATTAAAAAATTAAGAACAGTAATTAATCAAATGATAGTATAAAAGAGTAAGTGAACTAGAAAACCAGCAATTCTTACGTTTTTAGATTTTTTTAGTGTCAACACAGGATAATAATTATATGGTCATACTGATTATGTCTACTCGGTCTGTTTCTCTCCTGATGGAAATACATTAGCTTCTGGTAGT